TATTCTGTCGGAAATTAGTAAATTTCGACTTCTTCAAGTAATTTTCCCTCTCTGCTTGGTATAATTCTGTTGGTTGGGTAGCTGTCTCTGTTCATGGCATGATGTAAACAGAGAAAGTCATAGAAAAAAATCAAGTTCAGCAGGTAGAGCAAGCACGAACTAATAGGCCTATAGTAACATGAAAAAAGAGAAAATGTACTTGATAATAATTGCAAAAAATGAATGAATGAGTTTGTCCTCTTTTTTGACAGTTGTAGGAAAAATATTGTATGGAACACGTGCGTAAAGTGTTTTTTTTTGGCCATAGGAATTGCAGCACTCTGCCTTCGGCGTCTTGTGTCAACATATTCTGCTCGTAAAAAAGTAGCACTTTACACACTTGTTACAGTTAATAGTACGCCGATATCGCCCTGTATGTTGGTTTACCAATGATTATTCCTAATACCGGGAATTCTATCTGAATATTTAGCACTATCCTGACGGGCTTGCCATTTCTTCCGCCATTGGAATACAAATAAGGTATATACCTATACTATACAGGGAGCATCCAAATATACAAAATATAGGTCTGAATAACTTTCGAACTACCGTCTGCCGATGTTGGTGTTACTGTAAAATATTGTGTTTCAAATATATTGATTAAGTATATACAGGGTGTTAATTAATTTAGTGCCGGTAATAATGTGAATGTGAATCCCCGGGTGATAATCCTCTTGTTTTGAGCTACAGGGTGTTGAAATCAGAGGCGTACAGCTTTTTTTAAATCAAAACATTCACCATCAGGCCTAACATCACTGGTGAAAGTGTAAAATTGATTTTCGTCCCAAAACAAAATGTGTTTCCACTTATAGTGGGTACCTGCTAAATTTTAACAAAATACCAAAAACCACCTCAATGAACTGAAGGGAAGATTTTTTTTTCTTACGCGAAAACGGTACGTCGTATGAAAGTAAGTCTGGAAACCAAATTTGCTCCAAAATAAATGGGGATTTCGAAATAATTTTGGTTTTAGAAAAATCAGTGGCGTACGCAGTTTTTGTCTTCGAAAATTCAGTTCCAAGTCTGTACGTACTACGTACGGACGTGACTGGTGAAATTTTCAAAAAATCTTTCACCTCAGAAACTGCTCCTTAATGATGAAAAGGTGTGTACGAAATACGTAAGTATATACAGAATGAGTATGAATAAAACCGACAAACTTCGTATACGGATTCCTTCACTCATTTTGGGATGAAAACTTCCTATCAAAGTATGTCGTAAAATGTAGAGTCACTGAATGGTATTAGTAGATACAGGGTGTCCAAAGTACGAAAAAAGTTGAGATTTTTATTAATCTCTTCTGAATACCTGGTCACCTGTAGAAAAAAAAACTTGGTATACTATTCCAGAAAAATCAAGATAATTAGTTTTCCTTTTCATTTTCGAATTTTGTCAGCTAGTGGCGTAATTACAGTCTTTTAAATGTTTCATATTTTCTCTCACATAAAATGTCGAATTGGGGTGTGACATCAGTGATGCTTATTGGTACTCAACCTAAAAGTAATAACATCCTACGTGACTATATGTAGATATTTGCGAAAAACTGAAGATTTGTCTTGAGGTGATGTGTTCAAGAACAAACATTTTTTATCTTCACCACCCTGTATTTCGGGAACGGAGCAATTTTGGACTGAGATAAGTGGCTTTAAATCGGCTTATTTTGACCTCAGGAATAAGTGCTTAGATTTTTTACAGACCTTTTTGGGACACCCGGTACAATTAATATATTGCAGGAAATAACAAATAAGCTAAATGAGAGAACGCAAAAAAATCATGCAATTCACCTTAAATTTAATGATTGTTGAAGATTTTCTAATCACAGGGGATATCCTCTCTCTGTGACTCATTATAAATAAATGAAAATAATATTGTCTGTTTCAATGTTTCGACAACGTTTAAGGACAAATTCAAATCGATTTTTCTCATGTATTTGTACAACTTTATAACCTACTGTAAATTTTGCATCATTCACCTCGCAAAAAAAAGGGAATCTGATTTTTTTATTTATATATTTTTTAATTGTGATTCTGCAACTATGTTTCTAGTCCAAGGAAACGTGATCAGCATAAGAAAAAAAGAAGAGATTTCGTGTACAGATATACAATTTTTTAAATATTTATGGTAGGTAAGTAAAGGTATGCAATAAATCACGACAGTTATTGAATCTTCCATATTAGTGTCGTATTTTCCCATGAATTAATTATCACAGGAAATTATTTATGTTCACATCATTAAGTATGTCCATGAATCGATTACCTTTACTTTCTGATTTTCCTTCAAAAACGCTATGAAGCATCATTTCACGGTTTTATATTTTTCCAAATAAGTTGTGAGATATGAAAAATGTTCCGCCAATAATCACTTTATTTCCGTAAATTTATTGTTTACTAGGTGGTACCTAATTTGATAACAAGACACAAAGGTGATTGATTCTTCACTGTTTTAAGGAAAAATATCATTTCCGTTAGGCATTATGGTGTTTATATGGTGATATTCCACTTATAATATACCGAATCATTAAAAAAGTATTATATATCTATGGATGAGAGTCATATAGAACCAGACATAGAGATAACGATACATAATTATCATAGTATATTAAACTATACCTACCGCATAAAATAGAATAAGCCCAGACAGCACTGGATATTCCTAGAATATTCTCTAAATATGCTAAAAAGGAGGAGTATATTCCGAATATTCATCGATTATTCCTAGAATATATACATGCCTCTGGAACATCTAGAAGGAATATTCCAAAGTGATGTTCAGGGAATATTCAGGTATGAATTTTCCAGGAATATTCCCAAATGAATATTCTCTCTTGTATATTCATGAAATATTCGCAACTGAATGTTCTGTGGGGTATATTCATGGAATATTCTCAACTGAATATTCTGTGCGGTATATTCATGAAATATTCTCAATTGAATATTCTGTGGTGTATATTCATGAAATATTCCATGAATATTCCTATGTATCTCAACCCATAAATACCCATCATTATTTCACAGTTGTGAGTATCGAACATCAAAATAAGATGTAAGGGGATTTTGAAACAAAAAGTGTTTATCATCCGATTTCGAACAACGCTCTCACAAGAAATTGATATGTATAACATCATTCAATTCAATTACTGGCCTAGTGGTCAAGGCGTTGGTCTGATAGTCTTGAGGTCACGAGTTCGATCCCTACTAGGGTCACTTTTTTTATTTTAGAATATGTTTATTGGAATATTTCAGGAATATTCAATATGGAATATTCTTTTGGATATATTCTATGAATATCTGAGGAATTCCCATTCGCATATTTAGAGAATATTCCACAGATATTCCGGAATATTCCAGATTATTTCCAGAATATTCCAATATTCCAAGAGGAATATGATAGGGAGATTCATGGAATATCTGGTGCTGTCTGGGAGAGACACGCGACCAATGATAAAAGTTCAAGTTATTCCAACTTTCACACTTTCTGTGTTGAATCCTTGAATCTTGAGTCAGAATCAGTCAGATATGGTTCAGTGAACACTATATGAACTTATAGGTATAACTTTTTCTGGCCCATTGATGATGAGTAAATTAGTTACCTACCTATACGTGAATATAGTAAATGGATCCTTATATAGCTCATTTTAGGAGGAAGAAACTTTCATATCAGCATATGCCCTAAACCTCTTAACTTTCGGACTATAGGGCGTTGAAATTTTATTTTCTCTTCATTTCACAATTTGAAAAACTGAAACATGAAACGTTTATTAGGAATACTTGTCGAAATAATACAGCTCAACGTAATCGATCAAATGTCATTGTTATAAGCAAGGCACTAGCGTATACCATAGTGTATACTGTGGTTCAAAAGAATTCCGTTACCTATGCCACAAACGCATAAAAATGTTTTTTTTTTTAAACGGAAAAAATTCAGCGAGTCAAATTGTTTCGAAATAAATGAGTATTTCAAAAATGATTTTTATTCTCGGAAAAATCGAGGGGGGTATATATATTTTTTATTTAAATCTCCAGGGTAAATCCCATTCTGACGCCACTGGTAGCAATATTTAAAAATCTCCTGCACCAAAAAATGCCTATTGGTGCTTATATAGTAGGCGCATGTCAAATTTCATGAGAAAATCTAGAACAGTATTGAAGTTAATTATGATAAAAAATCGATTTTTCTATAATTGTAACACCCTCCATGACACCCTGTATAATTCAAGATTCGGGTGGTAGATATTTTTGAGAATAAAAATGACTGAACAGAGTTTAAATTCTCCTGAACTTCATTATTAGCAGGATTACAAGGTATATATTTGTACTTGGCGATACAAAAATCCTCAACAAAATAATCATCAGTTCTACCTACCTTGATACAAAATAACACGTCGCCCCACCTAACGGCAACAACATAAACACTTCTGAGCGATTTGTTTTGATGATATGACCAATAAGCACAAACATAAAACAAATATGAACCAATGAAAACAAAGTAAACAGGCGGCTTTGACAGCTTTCAAGAACTCCGATATATGACGTAAGCTTATTTTCTACGGCGATCATATTTATATAAAAGTCATGATGATCGAAAGTTCAACCTTACATTGGTTTCAATGATCTAAGGTTCAACCTTACCTTAGATTATGCAATACCGTACTATGGATCTGAATGATCGTCCATTCTTGATCTAAGGTTGCAGAACTCGAATAATAAGGCGTGTTCATTTGTGTTCGCTTTACTATTATAGCTCTTGCCTACTAACTACCTAGAACCTAACTAGGTTGTCATCTAGAACGACAATGGCTCTACCTGCTGAACTTGATTGTTATCTACGACTTTATCTGTTCACATTATGCCATGAGCAGAGAAAACTATGGGAACTAAATCATTTTCAGCAAATTCAGCAACACAAACCAACAGAACTGTATATATCAGTTGAATGATCTAAGGTAAGATGGCGTATGACAATTATGACATATTTTTTTTGTTAGATAAGTAGATGACGATTGACACGTCATTTTTAGGTTATGGAATGGGGTGTAATGTTTATTTTGAGGAATTAGTAAAATAAACAATAATATCTGGGTGAAAATGTTCAAGAAACTGAAGGAGAAAATCACTGAAGAAGTGAAGATTTCACCGCAACGCTTTGCCGAGTTCACTCAATCAGTTAGCGATAGACTACAAAATAGTACAAATTCAGATGACAACTTTTTTTCAATAGGAGAAGATGACAGTAATTAGAATATCCATAGCTCAGATAATGACACATCTAAATTACTGTTTTTATCTGTAGGTGCTAACAATTCAGCTACAGTAGCCAGTAGTAATGATCATGGGTTTTCTAGTGTTACTTTAGTCTCTCCCACACAAGAATCTAAGACCAGAAGGAATTCAACTTCTTCTATTGCAAGCGACGTTTCTTTTTTACCTAGATATGACCCTGGCAGCACCTACCACTTACAGGTATCTCACTGTAAAATCAATTATCAAAAACTGATAATTCCTGACCTGACCTATTTCAGTCTGATCTTGATATTTCTGCTAGTGAAGTAGAGGATAATGCTTCTACTGCTTCCTCTCAACTTGGGCATCTCAGCAAGGAACAGATATACTCAGCTTTCCAGAAGTCCCAAATGCGTTATCACAAGTATAGGGGGCGCTACACTGACTTGAGTAGGCATTACAAGGATCTAGAAAGGGAAAATTCCAAAATGAAGGTATAGTATGCAAATTGTGTTCAGATGTGTTCCCTTGTGGATAATGTGTTCAAAATGCTGTCTGAATGAGAATAACAACCATTCTCATTGTTGTATACAACCTGTTGATATTATGATAGTGACAGCCAATCCCAGCATATTGATTCTTTGGTGTGTAGGCTTTGCAGGTGTTTTCATTCAAAGATGCTAGTAGAAAGTACTAAAAATTTGCTGGCAGTTGAAGAAGTTTGGCTAGCTAGGAGGATAACAAACATTTTTCATGTTTTTAGGGTTCCAAAGTTTCAAAAATAATAAAGAAAACTTCTTAATTAGAAAATTAGGGGTATACAAACTCGACTGTGGATTTCATCCAAGGTATATATTGGTCAGACAAGTTGAATGTTCAATCACTGGATTCATGAACATAAGATGATTTTTTTGGAAAATAAATCAAGTCCAACATACAGGGATCATATATTAAAAGAAAACCATAGTTTTGATGGAAATTTCGAAATTTTACAGATAAAAAATATTGGAATAATACTCAATCAATTGGAATCATTAGAAATCAACAAATGCAAAAATTCTAACATTTTACTAGGTACACTTAATTTTAATGTAGATTATTGTTCCTAATTTCTGAAAATGAAGGCTTAGCCAATCTTTCCATGGGTAAGTTTAATCCTTTAGGTATGAAGAGTAGGATATAAAAGTTCTGCAAGTCAATGTATAGTAGCTACAGTGTTAGAAAAACAAGTCATGTGGTTCAGAATTTTGTGAAAATCTCATCATTCATATTTTTTTTCACATTCACTATGGATTTTCATCAAGTAACAGCCCAGTCACTTGAAAAAAAATCCTTAGTAAAATGTAAATTTTTTGATGGTGCACTAAAAATCAGAATATATGGAGGTTATTTCAACCTGATATACAAAATTTTTTTCTGTTCTTATTTTTATTGTACAGGGTGTCCCACCTAAATGTGTCACCCCTTCTTATTTGTTATCATATTTTGACCATTCAAAAACGTTTCTGGAACATTTTTTTACGGATTTTTTGACTCTGTGCTCACTTTTTCTTCATATCAACAAAATTCAGGGTAGCTAAAGAAAGTTTTTTCAAATGAAATGATCTAAATTTTATTCGATAATAAGATATTAATGATATATATATATATATAGATAGGCAAAATTAACATGTTTTAGAACATATATGCTTATTTATCTCAAAAACGGTTCGTTTCTCGAAAAAAATTGACGAGCAAAAAATGCCTCTAAATTGAACGATCTACACAATTTGATCACTGAAAGATGCCAGAGGCATACTACGAAAAAGTTTGAATGGGATAAAGAAGCCTCTACCTCCAAAAACGTATCACCCTGTATATTTTGAAGATCTTTAAAATGCTTGAAATGATGATCTTCTATGAAGTATTGACCACACCAAATTTCAAAATGATATCTTGAAAAGTAAGCGAGATATTTCAATTAATAGAAAAAAATAATTAAACTTTGACCCCCTGTAGCTCCGCTACTGAACGAGATCGGACTGATGTTTATATAAACTTTTTTGATAAAAAGGATGAGATCTATCTCCTATTTCAGTTTGTGCCTTAAATCCTAAATCACCCTGTATATAATATACACTGTTGATGGCTTTTGTTGTGCTATAGTATATAGTCTCCGAGCAAGAACTGCAAGTCCTTTTATCTTCCATTGGACTTCGCGGTTAAGTATACATATTACTAAACAACCACTAAATTCGCAATAATTGAAATCAAATCACAGAATTAGACTGACAGAAGTGATATCAGATATTTGATTACTTCAAAAGAATGATGAAAATGTCTACAACGCAGGTGTCCCTACTGTTAAAAACTTGAAATTTCACGTCGATAGTTTTCTGATTTCAAAGGAATGTAATATCTTCTCAATAGTGATTCGTCCTTTCTTCTCTCACTGAAAAAATAGTGTATTATACACGGGAAAAATATTAGATTTTAGCTCACGGTTTTTTGTCAACACAACCTGGGGCTAAAATCTACTACTTTTTTCCCTTGTATAATGAATAACTATTTGAAGATTCTGATATCTTATTTAGTTCCCGAGTGTTGAAAGCGTGAAATCCATAGTAAATCATCCGTACATGTTTTCTCCTATTGTAATGAGTGATATAACTTGAATTTCCTTTGCCATCATCACTGTAACTCGAGCATCTGTCAATGAGCAAGTGTTTTCGGTATTTCAACTGTTAGTTTGCAACGACACATTCACGCTATGGATCGCTTAAACACCTCTCAACGCATTAAAATGCGTCATAGGAAGTCTTAATACCCAAAAACTACCGACAAATCGACATTTTACACGCCCCTAGATGATTTTCAATGCAACATTTGGCGGGAAAAATATGCAACTTTGTTATTCTTTAGATCTAGAACGAAAATCGCAATCCTCGTGACATTTTACGTAAGTCTACAATCTTTCCTGACTCAAGCAATGTTTGAACCATGCGGCAAAAATATTCAACCGTTATCCTCTTTATCTGTGACAAAAATATGTATAGATTCGGAATCCTCGTGACATGATATTCAATGCAAACTGTGGGCAAAAATGTGGGCGCGGCGGCAAATTTAATTTTACTAGTGTCTTTGAAACAATGTAAATAAATAATTGACAACGAAAACTTTCAAACTAGAATTCCAGTTTGATTTTGTTAATTGGTAATTCGCGAATGTGTTGTTGCAGACAAACATTTTAGATTATGATAACTCGGATTTTTTGGCAGCTGCTTGATTGACAGTGTTGCCAGTACATAAGAAACTGTATTCGGCTCACTCGACATTATCTGAGGATGTAGTATTTTTTCTTTTCACCCCTTAGGCAGTTCTTGTAGAAACTCAGGACAAGGCAATTAGAAGAGTAACAGAATTGAAAGAGCAGTGTAATTTAGAGCAAAGGGCTAAAGCACACCTTGAAGCTGCTATGAGGGATGATATTGACGAAAAAGAATATAAAATTAAAACTTTACAGACCAAAGTAGAATTGTTGCAAAATGAGGGGAAATCCAGTTCTTTAACTGTAGTTGAATCTCAAGAAAACAGTACAGATAATTTAGAAAATTTAACCAGCTATTTAAACGATGCTAGAAAGGAAATAGAAAGCCTCAACGCCAAAATTCAAGAAATGAAAGCTAGTTCGATTGTTTTTCAAAGTAAAGAACAAGAATACAAAACGAGGATAACGAACTTAGAAAAAGAGATCACCCAATTTTCCGATAGAGAAAAAGAAAATAACTTGAAATTAGCACAGAGTAAAATGGATCTGCACAACGAAATTCTGAGCAAAGACATGGATCTCTCAAACTTGAAGAAGGAAAATGAAGTACTAAAACAAAATTTAGAAACATTACAAACTGAAAGCAAAACCAATGCCAACGTGAAGCTAGAGAATTTGCAGAGTCAGAATAAGAAGCTGATAGAAAAAGTAGAAGCGTTAACACAAAAATCGAATACACAAGAAAGCGATTTATTGAAGATAGAAATATATAAAATGGAAATACAAGATTTGAAACAGAACGAGGCTTTCTTGCAAAACGAGTTGGCTACCCTTGAAAGGGTCAATTCAGCAGCTAACACGAATTTAGAACATGCGCGAAAAATGAATGAGGAGTTGACCAGAGCAAACGCAGAGCTGATAGAGAAATTATCAAGGGAAAAAACCCAGTTTGAAACTCAAATATCACAGCTTCGCGAAGACGCTAAGAAGGGTTTACTTTCTTTGGAGCCTAAAATAAAAGAAAAACTCCAAAAAGAATACCATGAAAAAGAGGAAGACCTCAAACAAGAATTCACGAAAAAAATAGAGGAGTTGTCGACAAGCAGCAATAACGTGAAGGAGTTGCAGCTAAAGATTCTACAAAAAGATGACGATATTAAAAAAATGCATGATGAGTTAGCAACTATCAAGAGTGAATTGACTAAAAGAGTTGACGACTACAATAATCTTGAAAAGAATCATCTGGAGCTGATTGAAGATACCACAAAACTACGCAATGCAATTGCTAACTTTGAAAAAGATAAACAAATTCTCGATACGTATGAAGAAAAAACCACCCGTCTAGAATCACATATCAATACTCTACAACAAGAAGCTAGAACTCTAGAAGATGTTATGCGACAAAAAGAAGAAGAAATAGTTAGCTTGAGCAAAGAAAACGCAGATCTGCAACAAGAATTACGGAAAACCAGCGAAAAGTCACGAATCCTTGAAGAAAAAACCGAAGCAATCGATCTGGATTCAACAGAAAACAAACTCCTAGAGTTGAAGCTGCAAAAACTCGAAGAAGAACAAACCAATCTTCTATCTGAGTTCGAATCTGAAAGAAGAATGTTCAACGACATGCTCGACAACAACAACGAGCTGCAAGAAAAACAGTTGAACATCGAAATCCTCAAAGAAACTTTGAAAAAATGCCATGAGGAGATTGATCGTTTGAAAAAATTGTTGGAAGAGCAACAAATCGAGAATGTTGAGATCCATAAAGCAAAATTGCAAGACGAGAAGCATTTGAAGAAGCTAGAAGAGAGGATAAGGATATTTGAAGAAAAAGATGAAGCTATCAATCTAGATAAGAACGAATGCGGTCTTCTGGAGTTGAAGCTTCAAAAACTGGAAGCAGAAAACAAAAAGTTGCTGGATAGCTTTGAGCAAGAAAGAGTATCGTTTGCTAAAGATTTGGAAGCCATCAAAAATGATTTAACACCTGTAGTAGAAAAAGGAATGGAAAGCATGCAGTTCAACGTTGATAATAATCTGAAACACAAGCTCAATGAAATCAAGAGACTTTCAGAAGCAAGGGAGGAAGAAAGTGTTATCTTGGCCAAGGAAAATCTAGAGTCGCAAAAAAAGATTGATTCTTTGTCAGGAAAATTGAGGCTTTTGGAGGAAAAACTTGAGACTGCCCAAATGGAAAGTACAGAAAGCCAACTGTTGAAATTGAAGGTGCAGAATTTGGGAGAAGAGAGGGAAAAAATGTTTAGAGAGTACGAAGTGGAGAAAAAAATGTACGAGGGTTTACTAGAAAACCATAAAGAAATAATTGAGAAAAATAATGTGATATCCCTATTAGAAGATGACTTGACAACTCATAAAGTTAAAGTTGCTCAGCTCCAATCACAATTGTCAGAAGAGGAGAAGGAGAAGATACATTTAGCAGAGGAAAAACTCATTCTAGAGAAAGAAATCGCGAAGTTGCAAGAGAAAATAAGGATATTCGAAGAAAAAGAAGAAAGCTGGAGTATTAATACAACTGAGTGTGGACTTTTGGAATTCAAACTTCAAAAATTGGAAATTGAAAATCAGGATCTCATAAAATCTTTTGAAGTTGAAAGAGCGAATTTTGAAAAACAGTATAAGGAGATTTCTAGAGATTCACATAAAGTATCAGAAATGCAAGAGGAGATATGTAACCTCAAAGTACTTTTAGATAAAGGTAAAGTGGAGATTGCCGAACTACAGTTGACGATAAAACATCACGAAGATCGGTACCAAGAAGCTGAAGCAGAATATTCAGCAAAAACTACAGAGCTGAAAGCCAAATTGAAGATCACAAATGAAGAATTACGTAAATTAAGAGAATCCTCATCTGAAATGAATAAATCGCATATTGATAAATTGAATAGCATCACATCCGAGAACGAAAAACTCAGAAAAGAAATAGAAGAAAAAGATGAAACAGTTTCGGAACTATCGAAAAACTTGCAAAGCCTAAGCCAAGTCATCCAAAAACAAACACTTGAATTCAACAGCCTGCTTGAGAGAACGCAACAACTCGAAACGGTATTGGAAAAAATGAGAAGTGATAGTACAGAGGCGATCAAGAAAGAGAAAGAACACCAAAACGAGTTAACATTAAAAATACAAGAACTCCAAAAAGAACAAGACCAAAAAACCGAGGAATTCGTAAATTTGAATAAAAAAGTAACGGAACTAGAAATTCTATATTCTGAAGAGAAGAAGAACTATCAATCGAAAATGCAGGAAACAGAAAGCCTACAGAAAAAATTGGCCGAGCTCCAGGCGTTAGAAGACAGTTATAAAACAATGGGTGAAGAGCAAGAAGTAGTATTGGCAGAGCTTGCCAGACTAAAGTCCATAGAAAACGAAAAAAACAATCTGGAAACCAAGCTCAAAACGCTCGAGCAAGACTCTAAGCAATGTTCCATGCAACTGAAAGTGGGAGAACAAGAAAACAGAATCCTTCAAGAAGAAAAAGACGTTTTGCTAGGCGAAATCGAAGACTTGAGAAGCAGGATAGTGGAATTAGGCAAAGAACACCATAACCTCAAATCAGAACTTTCTCAAAAAGGTACCTCAGACTTAAAATCGCGTCAGCTTCAAAGTGAAAATGAAGCTTTAGCGTTAGAAAACGAGAAAAATAAACAGGAGATCGACGAGCTGAACATCAGGATTCAGCAAGTTTCAGCAGATAACAGACACCACACTGAAAGGAACCAAAGCTTGATGGACGAGACAGAGAGATTGAAGATTCAACTGGAGCTTTTGGAGAACGAGAAGAGTCAGTTCGATATCGCCAAAGACAAGTTGAATGAGGAGAAGGCTGCGTTGAGTAACAGCTTTGAAGAAGTAAAACAAAAGTAAGTTTGAACGTTATATTTTTATTCGAGCTATGAAATCTACGCCCTGTTTTTCACCATACGGCTGATTTCATCCTTGGTTTCACTATTTGAAACTCAACTGCTGATCAATTGAATCGCAAACAGGCACTTTTTTGCATTGAATTCAACATTCAGTATTATCGCGAAAATTCCATAATTATGTTTGGATGTTGTTTATTCATTTTGAAGATAAATCCATTGAGTATATTATGACTTCTAGACCGCTGATGAAAATACACAGTGACATCTGATACTACAGAGTGACTACCTCTGCAAAATATTGAAGAATTCTCCATGCTCCCAATTTGATGGAATTTTTTTCCCATTTTCATAATGCTCAAGCATATTTCTCTAAATTGTTTTGCAATTCACCTCTTGAAAAAATATTATATGACAAATGTGAAATTGCGGTCTGCGGACCAGAATATATTCTTCAGTGCAGCGCTATTTTCAGAGATTTTTTTTAGATTGTTGATACTATTATTCGTATAGGATCTCATATTTCTTATAGGTATTGAGATTGTTTTGCAAAAGGTTGATAGAAATTGTATTCAGATAAACTTGGGAAGTTTCTAAATTTATTTGATCCATCAACAATTACTTCTTTCATCACTGGAATGTTGCTCAGTGTGGAATATACAAGGTGATACATAATAACTTGCCTATTTTTTGTTGAATCACCCTGTATATGCATTATCTTGTTCTTTGTGGAATATCGTTGTCTGTCATCAGAACAGCCCATTCATGAAATATTCTATGGAAATAGCGCTGCTATGAGAAATATTTCTAGTCAGCAGTACTAAAACTCGTATTTTTAGAAAAATATTTATTTTTCAAATGCTTGAAGGGATAAGAGAAATATGACATAACCATTTCGAGTAATATGTTTGAGCATTATGGAAATATGATTGAAAACAATCCCAAAAATGTTCCATCAAATTGAAAGTATGAAGTATTTTTCAATATTTTGCAGAGGTTTGTTTTTCATCCTGTATTACCAGTTGTAACCATGTATTTTCATCAGCAATCTAATAATAGTACCCAATGGATTTATGTTCAAAATGAAAAAAACCGCATCCAAATAATAATATGTGGAATTTTCGCGGAAATATTGAATGTTGAATTTAGTGCAAAACTGTGCTTCTTGAGGTTTAACTGATCAGCAGTTCTTGATCTTTTTTTCAAAATTTTCCTCGCAGCTGCTGATGAAAGAAAATTAGGTCATTGATAGAGATTTAAACAGTGTCTAATTTTATACGAACCTTAATACATGATGTATTTTTCATCTAGGACTTCCAGTTTGTAACGTTTTTGTCTTATTTCCAATATGGTTTTCATTATATAAAATAAAAGAAGGTGGACCTTATTTATCTTCAAAAATGTTTGTATGATATTTTTTAGGTTAGACCAAGTCGAGAAACACAATGAATCCTTAACAAGAGATCATAACACAGCTTCAAATAATGGCATCGAAATCGCCCAAATTCAAAAAGACTTCTTCGACATCAAAACAAAATGTGACGAACTTTTCATTGAAAACAAGAACCTCAAAGCCGAGTACGGCAAGCTCGAAGAAAAGTGCAATAATTTCGGTAAAATCAAGAGCAACTTGGAAGGTCAAATAACCGAATTGGAGTCGCACTATAACGAGATACTGCACGAAAAGCAGCTGCTGCAAGACGAAATAGAAGAGCTGAAAACATCACCAGTCAACTTCCAGAGCGATATGACGAGGCTGGATAAGTTGGCGACGCTTCAGAAAGAGAAGAGCTTACCACCGGAAAATGGAGGTAAGTTTTCTCCTTATACAAGGTGTTGTATATATTATTTGGCTCTCATTTTTTTGTTGAATGAAAAGCTTCGATTCTGTTTTTTGATTATGTTTATTTGAACCTTCAGAATTTAACTGGTCAAGTCGAGAAGATGATATCGTCCAAATGGGCGCCGCCACAATTGATTGCTCGTTTTATGGCATTTTTCATCACTTCGGCGAGATCTTCGGGCGACAGATTCTGGCACTGACTAGGCACGTTTTCAAAAATTAACAATGCAAGAAGCATTTCATGTAACAATTGGGGAAACAACGTTTTTAAGGTATTTCAACCCCGCTGAATACGAATCTGCCTGTTGCCAAAGCGAAATTTGGACCGGAAGTCCGGTATCCAAGATGGCGGCCGAGATGGTGGTCAAAACACTGTTGCCCCATATCTCCCATGTCCGTTGGCTTGTAATAATGGTTCAAACATCTGCTTAGGGGTTTTCCCGGATGCTTGGTACTTTACAGTGCTTGAAATTTACTTACCTCAAGTTATGAGTGCATGGGCGTCAAGATGGCCGCCGAAGGAAGTGAAGGAAACGACCATTCCAGAGTCCGAACACTGTTTATTGCAGGATTGTGGGAAGATAATGAAAAAATAGTTCGGTAGCTGATGGCAATAATACAAAAATGATAATTAATCAACCATTTGAAGAGTTAAGACATTGGTGAGAGCGGTGGCACAACTTGGTGCAAGTCAGTCCATTCTTCTTGCACGTGCACATTGTTGTCAGGCAGTGGGACAAACAATTACAGGTTGAAATATCCGTGCAAGCTTTGGGAACGGGCTCAAGTGTCATAGGGATGGGAATGTACTCGTCTTGGTGTAGCTTTCACCCATATGACTCAGGATCCATCACCTCCGGTCGGGCATGATGAGCATTTTCCCACACGTTCACCTGAAATGTTTTTCATTATGATTACCGAAGAACAACTGGTTATACTGATCACAGTATGCTTCCCACCATTTCTTTACCTGGTAATGGCATCTTAGGAGGTGTAGCCGCAGCGCATCGCTTGTTGGAGGTAAGGCTTCTGGCTTTTTCACAACATCAAAAAGTTAATATCTGGCTTCATCCCCGCTAGATACATCTTTAGTCACCTGTTCAGAGAAATAGAAACGTTATAATCGATATTTGGACTTGCTGAAACACCTGAAAAAACTTTACCGACCTTATAGAGCTGAACGAGAAACTTCTCTGCATTCGCCCTTGATGAGGGAGTTAGCGGAGATTGCCCTAGGTTGTCTAAAAGTTTGCAGGCCGTTCCATTGAAGACTTTCCACGCTGCCTTCTCCGTTATCGTTGCAAGGTGAGACGTCGAGTCGCAACCCGTAACTGCGTGGAACGCCAAGATGTTCTCCTTTTGAACATTAGGGAGAATGTTGCAAATCTCATGTATTGGGAGATACTTCCTTTCTTTCGCTGTGCCACTCATCATCCACACTTTAAAACTGGTCATTTTGTCAAATTGATGGATCAACAGCGAACAAATGTCGGTATCCCTGGCATGAGAATTCCTTTTTTGATAGAGATATGGAGGGCAGATTTGTGCATTCCTTACTACTTAGGCATCTCAACTGGGTCCTCCGAGATGCACAAGTACTATCTATCAAGGAGTTTTCAAGCCATAATATGTAACAAATACAGTAATAGTCTACGTACTAAGTATATATTCAACCACTGAAAACTGTAGGTATATCTGACAGATATTGCACTCCAAATACAAGAATACGTAAACAATAAAGTTGCGGCGACCATCTTGGTCGCTATTTTGGAACCCACGCACTCCAGGCTCAGGGTAAGTAATTTCTGAGCTTTTCAATATGATAAGCATCCGAAAAAACCACTAAGCCAGCGTTTAAATCAATATTTTGAGCCAACCAAAAATGAAGATATGGGGCAACAGTGTTTTGACCACCATCTCGGCCGCCATCTTGTATACCGGACTTCCGGTCCAAATTTCGCTTTGGCAACAGATAGATTCGTATTCAGCGGGGTCCAAATACCTCAATATTGTTGTTTCCTCAATTGTTACATGAAATGCTTCTTGCACTTTATAGAGATGGATTTCCTACTCATGGGCCTGGTCACATGTCCTCCAGTCCTAATTCGTTCAATTGCGGCAGAAAATACTCGGTAAACATGGACCTATAGCGCGCACCGCCCACTGTTGTCGTTTGACCAGCGGCGACCTCGAAAAAAATGGCCCGATGACTCCTCCAGAGTAAACAGCGCACCATGCAGTCACTTTGAGCGGGTGTAATGGCTCCTCGTGCATCACTCGTGGATTTTCAGTGCCCCAGAAGCGATAGTTCTGCTTGTTCACGTACTCGCTGAGGTGGAAATGAGCCTTGTTGCTCATTATGATTTTGGTCGAAATATCGTCCACGAGATTGAGGATGGCTTGGCTTGGATTATTCCGCTTTCTTGGGGAGTGTATCGCTCCATTGCTTGTTCACTTGTATTCTACATCTGTGTAGTTCACAAATGTCGAAACAGATCTGACATTGGCCGCCATTTGCAAAAATAAGAGCATCTTCCAATAGGGTGATTTCTTTTGGCCCACCTAGTAGATTTCCTTGGAAATAACTAGAAACGTGTGTTTGTAAGGTCTCGAATCTTTGCAACAAAACCACCGAACAGACTCACCAGGTCAAAATACTACAATTTGGTACCCTGGAATTACCTGCTAATTGACAGCTGCTTCAATTTGTATCATATATACAGGGTGATTCACGGTGGATGGCACATTAGACGTTTCTGGAGAACGCAACTAAGGATTATTCTGAAAAGTTGGTGCCTTGTATAATTAGTTGTGTTCTATCGACCTAAACTATTCTCAGCGTTACGACGTTTCCGCTCATATTGAAAAGTAGCAAGAACTTTGATTTTTTCAATGGAACACCCTGTATATCATTCCATTTTCAGATTCTTCCTGAAGAGCTAATTCCATCGATCAATCACACATGGGGTCTAGCGGGAATGATAACAAAGATATAGGGTGTGAAAAATCGAAATTTTTCAACTTTAAGAATTTTTTTTGTCGAAACTATTCATAATTTTTCAAAACTATTTCCATGTTCCTATCCCAACATTTTATTCACTATCAATTGATATTTAATTGAAATAAATACAGGGTGGTTCAGAATTAACATTTTGACCACCCTGTATCTATTTCAATTAAATATCAATTGATAGTACATACGTGAAAAGATAGGGACATGAAAACCGTTTTTATCAATTATGAATATAGTTCCGACACAAAAAATTCTTAAAATTGAAAAATTTCGATTTTTCACACCCTATATATCTTTGTTATCATTCCCGCTGGACCCCAAGTGTGATAGATCGATGGAATCAGCTCTTCAGGGAGAATCTGAAAATGGAATGATATACAGGGTGTTCCATTGAAGAAATCGAAGTTGTTGCTACTTTTCAATATAAGCGACAACGTCGCAACGCTGAGAATATTTTAGGTCGATAGAACACAACTAATTATCCAAGGCACCAACTGTTCTATATAGTCCTGAGTTGCGTTCTCCAGAAACGTCTAATGTGCCATTCACCGTGAATCACCTTGTATATACAGGGTCGCTGATATGTGTGGAAACAGGTGAATATATCGGTAACAGTTTGTTAGATTTTCTTCGAATTCATCAAAAACCTAATTTTATGTAGTTAGATAATAACTCTATGATAATTCCTTCAAGGAATAGTTCCTCATTGGATTACTCTTCATCTCCTTCATTGCTACCTTATGACTGCGCCAAAAATGTAAACATCGGCTGATCTTGATATACTATAATGAAGTAAATCACTTGTTATAGACTAATCGAGAGTCCAGAAGCGTACGTTCATTTGTGAGTGGGTTTAAAATCCTAAAGTCAAGTTTTCGAACTTTTTCAGAAGTTTGTCGACTGTAAATAATTATAGAGCAATCTTTTTCCGTACATTGATATACACTCCGGCACCGGGACGATCAATTTAGATACATTTTTTTCTGACGGTTTTTTTTCGGTTTGTGTAGAATATAAATCGAGACCTCAGGAATTACGACCCTACCACTTGCCTACTATTTTTTTCTTTGAAGATCGCCATCTCCGAGAAATCGAAATCCTGCGCGACAAACTGACCAAATACAAGTCCCTGGACCTGACCAACAAAAGCTCCATCGAATTCTACGAGAACGAGCTGCAAAAGACGAAAAACGCCAACGACAAGCTGAGCAGAAAGCTGGACGAGACGTTGGTCACGTTGAACCACTGCGCCGAATTGTCCACGTCCACCGAGGTGGAATATTTGCGCAACGTCCTGTACAATTACATGTTGGGCAAGGAGAGCATGGTGCTGGCCAGAGTGATAGCGGCCGTGTGCAAGTTCGATGCCCAGCAAACAGAGACGATTTTGCAGAAGGAGCAACAGAAGCAGACCTTGGTAGGTGGATTGGTTTCTCTTCTCATTATCTCCTTTTTCTCACTCTATTTTCACCCTGTTTACTTTCACACGCTCACTCATTCTATTTGGTTTTCTCACTTACTTATTCACGCCCAGTCACACTTTCACAGCTATTCACACTCACTCACTTTCTCTCATTTTTACTTTTCACACCTAGTCACTCACTCACCTAACTCACTTTATATTCAGCCCTTCTACTAACTCTCATCACTCAACTCTCATCAACTCTTTCAGTCTCACCCTGTCACATTACTCAACATTACTCATATGCTCACTCTTCAGTTCACTCTCACTCATTTCATCTCTCATACACTCACTATTACTTCTTCAGATCTAGTCACTTTCACACTTAACTCACTCATCTCTCAGATTCATGTAATTCTCAACAACTCCCCCTCTTACATTCCTCAAACTTTCTATCATATTCTCCCGCTCACATTAACTCACTCATCCTACGTTCTCGCTCACTCAACCCTTACAATTTCACGCTTACTCAACTCACCATTTGTCATTTATCTTTTAGCCTCATAACACTATCTCACTAATTCACACCTATTCAACTAACCCATTCACACTTACTGATCCAGTGTCTCTCTTACTCACTCAACTCTCAACCTTTCACACTTACAGATTTCTCTTTCAGGCTCTAATTTAGTCCCTTACTTATTCACACTTTCTCACTCACTTATTCACCCTTACCCACCCATTATTCCCTCTTACTCGCCCATTATTCACACTTACTCTCCCAATATTCACACTTACTCGCCCATTATTCACACTTACACTACGCCATTTTCTCTTTTCAGCTGGGGCAACTGGGTCTCATGTAACACACAGATCAGTCTTAGGGACTTTAAGCAGCCGATTCCAAGCCTAGCAGAATACTGCCCGATTTAACTACGTCACTAACCTGTTGACGCTCTGAGTGTGGGAGCAGGGATGCGCATTTATCGAGAGGTTGTTTTGAATGTGTATGTACAGGGTGTGTCATGGAGAGCGTGAAGAACGATTTCGAATTCCAAATTGAAGTGTTCTTTTTGATGTTATTATTTGGGTGTGACATACCTTGTATTTATTTTTGCAGACATGACATTCCGAGACTATTTTAAGATACTCCAAGTATTATATAAATGTTTTTTTTATGAATTGTACCTGTGTTGTCAGTCTTTGGAATAAATTATAACTTTTATCCTTGATTATCGTCCAGAAATTTTATTAATAATGCACTGAGTGAATGTAAATATTTGTTATATGAAATAATTATTATAAAATATGTATATTGTTATCATGTTTTTCTTTCTCTAACCTTTTCCACCATGATTGAAAAGATCAATGATTGAAATCACTAAGGGAACTCAAAAAGATCTCATAATCTTGAAAAATCTTTTATGGCCAGATTCGGAGTTGAAATCTTTTTAGAAAACAAATATTGTATTTTCCTAAAGTTTTCCAAAATTTTGGTTTCTCCTAAGCTAATGTTGATGTGACACGATTACAACACAGAAGTTCCTGCTTTCAAAATGCTGTGCGATAAGCTCGAATTTCCAGCGGTTTCCGAGATACAGAACATTTTTTGAGAAATAAGGACGTTAGAAAAAAATCAACAACTTTTTCGTGTTGTCCAGGTGAAACTCTATACGAATCGAGAAAAACATTTTTTCGAAAAAAAATTATTGCATTTTCCTACAATTTTTCGAAATTTTCCAAAATTTTAGTTTTTCTTAGGCCAATGTTGATGGGACACGATTACAAGACACAAGTTCCCGCTTTTGAAATGCTGTGCGATAAGCCTGAATTTCCAGCGGTTTCCGAGATACAGAAAATTTTTTGAGAAATAAGGACGTTAGAAAAAAATCAACAACTTTTTCGTGTTGTCCAGGTAAAACTATACGAATCGAGAAAAAAATTTTTTTGAAAAAAAAAAGTTGCATTTTCCTACAATTTTTCGAAATTTTCCAAAATTTTGGTTTTTCTTAGGCCAATGTTAATGGGACACGATTATAAGACAAAAGTTCCCGCTTTTGAAATGCTGTGCGATAAGCCTGAATTTCCAGCGGTTTCCGAGATACAGAAAATTTTTTGAGAAATAAGGATCTTAGAAAAAAATCAACAACTTTTTCGTGTTGTCCAGATCAAACTCTATACGAATCGAGAAAAAAAAATTTTTCGAAAATAAAAATATTGCATTTTCCTACAATTTTTCGAAATTTTCCAAAATTTTGGTTTTTCTTAGGCCAATGTTAATGGGACACGATTACAAGACACAAATTCCCGCTTTTGAAATGCTGTGCGATAAGCCTCAATTTCCAGCGGTTTCCGAGATACAGAAAATTTTTTGAGAAATAAGGACGTTAGAAAAAAATCAACAACTTTTTCGTGTTGTCCAGGTCAAACTATACGAATCGAGAAAAAAATTTTTTTGAAAAAAAAAAGTTGCATTTTCCTACAATTTTTCGAAATTTTCCAAAATTTTGGTTTTTCTTAGGCCAATGTTAATGGGACACGATTATAAGACAAAAGTTCCCGCTTTTGAAATGCTGTGCGATAAGCCTGAATTTCCAGCGGTTTCCGAGATACAGAAAATTTTTTGAGAAATAAGGATCTTAGAAAAAAATCAACAACTTTTTCGTGTTGTCCAGATCAAACTCTATACGAATCGAGAAAAAAAATTTTTTCGAAAATAAAAATATTGCATTTTCCTACTATTTTTCGAAATTTTCCAAAATTTTGGTTTTTCTTAGGCCAATGTTAATGGGACACGATTACAAGACACAAATTCCCGCTTTTGAAATGCTGTGCGATAAGCCTCAATTTCCAGCGGTTTCCGAGATACAGAAAATTTTTTGAGAAATAAGGACGTTAGAAAAAAATCAACAACTTTTTCGTGTTGTCCAGGTCAAACTCTATACGAATCGAGAAAAAAAATTTTTTGAAAAAAAAAATTGCATTTTCCTACAATTTTTCGAAATTTTCCAAAATTTTGGTTTTTCTTAGGCCAATGTTAATGGGACACGATTATAAGACAAAAGTTCCCACTTTTGAAATGCTGTGCGATAAGCCCGAATTTCCAGCGGTTTCCGAGATACAGAAAATTTTTTGAGAAATAAGGACGTTAGAAAAAAATCAACAACTTTTTCGTGTTGTCCAGGTCAAACTCTATACGAATCGAGAAAAAATTTTTTTTGAAAAAAAAAAAAATGCATTTCTCTACAATTTTTCGAAATTTTCCAAAATTTTGGTTTTTCTTAGGCCAATGTTAATGGGACACGATTACAAGACACAAGTTCCCGCTTTTGAAATGCTGTGCGATAAGCCTGAATTTCCAGCGGTTTCCGAGATACAGAAATTTTTTTGAGAAATAAGGATCTTAGAAAAAAATCAACAAGTTCTTCGTGTTGTCCAGGTCAAACTCTATACGAATCAAGCAAAAAAATTTTTCGAAAAAAAAAAAAAATATTGCATTTTCCTACAATTTTTCGAAATTTTCCAAAATTTTGGTTTTTCTTAGGCCTGTTAATGGGACACGATTACAAGACAAAAGTTCCCGCTTTTGAAATGCTGTGCGATAAGCCCGAATTTCCAGCGGTTTCCGAGATACAGAAAATTTTTTGAGAAATAAGGACGTTAGAAAAAAATCAACAACTTTTTCGTGTTGTCCAGATCAAACTCTATACGAATCAAGAACAAAAAAAATTTCGAAAAAAAAAATATTGCATTTTCCTACAATTTTTCGAAATTTTCCAAAATTTTGGTTTTTCTTAGGATGTTAATGGAACACGATTACAAGACACAAGTTCCCGCTTTTGAAATGCTGTGCGATAAGCCTCAATTCCAGCGGTTTCCGAGATACAGAAAATTTTTTGAGAAATAAGGATCTTAGAAAAAAATCAACAACTTTTTCGTGTTGTCCAGATCAAACTCTATACGAATCGAGAAAAAAAATTTTTTCGAAAATAAAAATATTGCATTTTCCTACTATTTTTCGAAATTTTCCAAAATTTTGGTTTTTCTTAGGCCAATGTTAATGGGACACGATTACAAGACACAAATTCCCGCTTTTGAAATGCTGTGCGATAAGCCTCAATTTCCAGCGGTTTCCGAGATACAGAAAATTTTTTGAGAAATAAGGACGTTAGAAAAAAATCAACAACTTTTTCGTGTTGTCCAGGTCAAACTCTATACGAATCGAGAAAAAAAATTTTTTGAAAAAAAAAATTGCATTTTCCTACAATTTTTCGAAATTTTCCAAAATTTTGGTTTTTCTTAGGCCAATGTTAATGGGACACGATTATAAGACAAAAGTTCCCACTTTTGAAATGCTGTGCGATAAGCCCGAATTTCCAGCGGTTTCCGAGATACAGAAAATTTTTTGAGAAATAAGGACGTTAGAAAAAAATCAACAACTTTTTCGTGTTGTCCAGGTCAAACTCTATACGAATCGAGAAAAAATTTTTTTTGAAAAAAAAAAAAATGCATTTCTCTACAATTTTTCGAAATTTTCCAAAATTTTGGTTTTTCTTAGGCCAATGTTAATGGGACACGATTACAAGACACAAGTTCCCGCTTTTGAAATGCTGTGCGATAAGCCTGAATTTCCAGCGGTTTCCGAGATACAGAAATTTTTTTGAGAAATAAGGATCTTAGAAAAAAATCAACAAGTTCTTCGTGTTGTCCAGGTCAAACTCTATACGAATCAAGCAAAAAAATTTTTCGAAAAAAAAAAAAAATATTGCATTTTCCTACAATTTTTCGAAATTTTCCAAAATTTTGGTTTTTCTTAGGCCAATGTTAATGGGACACGATTATAAGACAAAAGTTCCCACTTTTGAAATGCTGTGCGATAAGCCCGAATTTCCAGCGGTTTCCGAGATACAGAAAATTTTTTGAGAAATAAGGACGTTAGAAAAAAATCAACAACTTTTTCGTGTTGTCCAGGTCAAACTCTATACGAATCGAGAAAAAATTTTTTTTGAAAAAAAAAAAAATGCATTTCTCTACAATTTTTCGAAATTTTCCAAAATTTTGGTTTTTCTTAGGCCAATGTTAATGGGACACGATTACAAGACACAAGTTCCCGCTTTTGAAATGCTGTGCGATAAGCCTGAATTTCCAGCGGTTTCCGAGATACAGAAATTTTTTTGAGAAATAAGGATCTTAGAAAAAAATCAACAAGTTCTTCGTGTTGTCCAGGTCAAACTCTATACGAATCAAGCAAAAAAATTTTTCGAAAAAAAAAAAAAATATTGCATTTTCCTACAATTTTTCGAAATTTTCCAAAATTTTGGTTTTTCTTAGGCCTGTTAATGGGACACGATTACAAGACAAAAGTTCCCGCTTTTGAAATGCTGTGCGATAAGCCCGAATTTCCAGCGGTTTCCGAGATACAGAAAATTTTTTGAGAAATAAGGACGTTAGAAAAAAATCAACAACTTTTTCGTGTTGTCCAGATCAAACTCTATACGAATCAAGAACAAAAAAAATTTCGAAAAAAAAAATATTGCATTTTCCTACAATTTTTCGAAATTTTCCAAAATTTTGGTTTTTCTTAGGATGTTAATGGAACACGATTACAAGACACAAGTTCCCGCTTTTGAAATGCTGTGCGATAAGCCTCAATTCCAGCGGTTTCCGAGATACAGAAAATTTTTTGAGAAATAAGGATCTTAGAAAAAAATCAACAACTTTTTCGTGTTGTCCAGATCAAACTCTATACGAATCGAGAAAAAAAATTTTTTCGAAAATAAAAATATTGCATTTTCCTACTATTTTTCGAAATTTTCCAAAATTTTGGTTTTTCTTAGGCCAATGTTAATGGGACACGATTACAAGACACAAATTCCCGCTTTTGAAATGCTGTGCGATAAGCCTCAATTTCCAGCGGTTTCCGAGATACAGAAAATTTTTTGAGAAATAAGGACGTTAGAAAAAAATCAACAACTTTTTCGTGTTGTCCAGGTCAAACTCTATACGAATCGAGAAAAAAAATTTTTTGAAAAAAAAAATTGCATTTTCCTACAATTTTTCGAAATTTTCCAAAATTTTGGTTTTTCTTAGGCCAATGTTAATGGGACACGATTATAAGACAAAAGTTCCCACTTTTGAAATGCTGTGCGATAAGCCCGAATTTCCAGCGGTTTCCGAGATACAGAAAATTTTTTGAGAAATAAGGACGTTAGAAAAAAATCAACAACTTTTTCGTGTTGTCCAGGTCAAACTCTATACGAATCGAGAAAAAATTTTTTTTGAAAAAAAAAAAAATGCATTTCTCTACAATTTTTCGAAATTTTCCAAAATTTTGGTTTTTCTTAGGCCAATGTTAATGGGACACGATTACAAGACACAAGTTCCCGCTTTTGAAATGCTGTGCGATAAGCCTGAATTTCCAGCGGTTTCCGAGATACAGAAATTTTTTTGAGAAATAAGGATCTTAGAAAAAAATCAACAAGTTCTTCGTGTTGTCCAGGTCAAACTCTATACGAATCAAGCAAAAAAATTTTTCGAAAAAAAAAAAAAATATTGCATTTTCCTACAATTTTTCGAAATTTTCCAAAATTTTGGTTTTTCTTAGGCCTGTTAATGGGACACGATTACAAGACAAAAGTTCCCGCTTTTGAAATGCTGTGCGATAAGCCCGAATTTCCAGCGGTTTCCGAGATACAGAAAATTTTTTGAGAAATAAGGACGTTAGAAAAAAATCAACAACTTTTTCGTGTTGTCCAGATCAAACTCTATACGAATCAAGAACAAAAAAAATTTCGAAAAAAAAAATATTGCATTTTCCTACAATTTTTCGAAATTTTCCAAAATTTTGGTTTTTCTTAGGATGTTAATGGAACACGATTACAAGACACAAGTTCCCGCTTTTGAAATGCTGTGCGATAAGCCTCAATTCCAGCGGTTTCCGAGATACAGAAAATTTTTTGAGAAATAAGGACGTTAGAAAAAAATCAACAACTTTTTCGTGTTGTCCAGGTCAAACTCTATACGAATCGAGAAAAAAAAATTTTCGAAAATAAAAATATTGCATTTTCCTACAATTTTTCGAAATTTTCCAAAATTTTGGTTTTTCTTAGGCCAATGTTAATGGGACACGATTACAAGACACAAGTTCCCGCTTTTGAAATGCTGTGCGATAAGCCTCAATTTCCAGCGGTTTCCGAGATACAGAATTTTTTTTTGAGAAATAAGGACGTCTGAAAAAAATCAACAACTTTTTCGTGTTGTCCAGGTCAAACTCTATACGGACCGAGAAAAAATTTTTTTCGAAAAAAAAAAAATATTGCATTTTCCTACAATTTTTCGAAATTTTCCAAAATTTTAGTTTTTTTTAGGCCAATGTTAATGGGACACGATTACAAGACACAAGTTCCCGCTTTTGAAATGCTGCGCGATAAGCCCGAATTTCCAGCGGTTTCCGAGATACAGAAAATTTTTTGAGAAATAAGGACGTTAGAAAAAAATCAACAACTTTTTCGTGTTGTCCAGGTCAAACTCTATACGAATCGAGAAAAAAATTTTTTCGAAAAAAAAAAATTGCATTTTCCTACAATTTTTCGAAATTTTCCAAAATTTTTGTTTTTTTTAGGCGAATGTTAATGAGACACGATTACAAGACAAAAGTTCCCGCTTTTGAAATGCTGTGCGATAAGCCCGAATTTCCAGCGGTTTCCGAGATACAGAAATTTTTTTGAGAAATAAGGACGTTAGAAAAAAATCAACAACTTTTTCGTGTCGTCCAGGTCAAACTCTATACGAATCGAGAATAAAATTATTTTGAAAAAAAAAAGCATTTCCCGCTTTTGAAATGCTGTGCTATAAGCCCTGATTCCCAGGTCGAAGTCTATAGGAATCTAGAATACAATTTTTCTCGAAAAAACGATTTTCAAAATTTTCCAAAATTTCGATTTTTCCTAAGAAACTGTTAATGGGACAAACTAAGCAAAGAAAACATATTTGAAACAGTGTAGAAACTTTTATTATCGACAGTCCAATACAAATTCAATACAATTCAAATCAATTTGAGTAAAGCTTAATAGTTCCATCAGCTCCTGAAGAGAACAGCCAGGGCTGCAAAGGATGGAAATGTACTCCAAAAATTCCAAAATCATTGAAATCGTCGTGATCTTGAAGACGTTTCAATGGAACGATGAGCGGGTTTTGCAGCAAGTCGCTAAAATAAAGAAACAGAATATTAGCCAAGTGAATAAATATCTATTCAAATGATTTCATATTGTAGTGCCAAAATTCAAAAATAATTCGGCATTTTGTGTTCGCCGCCATATTGGGTCTGAAGTATTTTATTCTACTTGGAATACCCTTTCATTTGATACCCATGTCAAGGGGATCGTAAATAATAAGTTAAAAGCCATTTTGATTCGTCCGCCATATCAGATTTGAAGAGAAGATTGTCATACAGTTTATTGAATTCTTCTTCACAAAGCATTATGATATCCAAGTCAAGGAAAAAAGTAGTCCGCCATTTTGTTTCGACCGCCATATAGGATTTGAATTGTCATACAGCTCATCATATTTTACTTGACAGATCCTTCCATTTGATACCCATAACAAGGGGGTTGTAGAAAAATAAGTAGTCCACCATCTTGTTTTGGCCGCCATATTGGATCTGGAATAGTATTATACACCTTATCCTATTCGACTGGACATAATATCCTTTTATTTGATACCCATGTCAAGGAGGTTGTAGAGAAATAAGTAAACCACCATTTTTTTCCGTCCGCCATAATGAATTCAAAGAAGTGTCATACAGCTTATCGTTTGGGGGTTGTAGAGAAATAAGTAGTCCGCCATTTTGTTTCGGACGCCATATTGCATTCACAATAGTGTCATAGAGCCTATTGAATTCCACTTGACATATCGAGGGTGTTGGAAATAAGTAATTTATAAGCAATTTTGAGTCGGCTGTGCCATATTGGATTTTGAGAAGTGTCAAACAGCTTAGTATATTCTACTCGTCATACTCTTTCATTTGATACCCATGTCAAGGGGGTTGTAGAGGAATAATTAGGTATTCCGCCATTTTGTTTCAAACACCATATTAGATTTAAACAAATGTCATACTGCCTATTAACCTACACTTGACCTACCCTCCCATTTGATAGCCATGTCAAGGAGGTTGTAGAGAAATAATGACCCCGCCATTTTGTTTCGCCCGCCATATTAGATTCAAAGAAGTATCATACAGTTTACTATACTCCACTTGTCAACTACTTGAAAAACCCTTCTATTTGATACCCATGTCACGGGGGTTACACAGGAATAATAAGTAATTCGCCATTTTGTTTCGCCGGCCATATTGCATCCAGAGTATTCTCATATAGCTCATTGTATTTTACTTGTTATACCCACCTATTTGAAAGCCATGTTAAGGGGGTTGTGACAAAATGATTACCAGGTGACTCACAAAAAATCCCAACTCCGGAAGAAATCTCAAAAACAGGGTGTTCCATTTGAAAACATTGATTTGTGGTTTGTCTCGCTTCTAGAGGTCACTCTATAACACTTCTGATTAAAGCCATGAAACGGTATTTCCTTGGCATTCAAGTCACGTATTTTCTTCTCAGTGAAAAATTACGTGAATAATAGGGGTGGGAAAACAAATTCCAATGATGTTCCTTTTTCGGATTCTAGCTAATAATTTTTTAACGGAAGATCGAGAGAAAAGCACCTAAAAATATGCCAAAATATACCTGCTTCCAAATTAGGTGAAACGTGAAAATTCAGTTCAAAATGGTCTTTACTCAACCTCACTCAGGAACCTCTTCTCATCTTTCCCCCATACTACAGCCGAGACATCCGAGTTTCACTCACCCTGTACCCACAAAAAAAAAAGAAAAAAATTCAACTTACTTGTACACCATCCCGTGCGACACAATCAAACTCCTGTCATCAGAACCAGAAGCAAAGAGCGGATACCGCCTGTGGAAGGCCACCCCTCGGACGGCGGTTCCGTGCAGCCTGAGCGTCTGGTAGGGCTTCGTGCTCAGATCGAGGTCGAACCACAGCATTTTTCTGTCATAAGTGCCGACCAACAGGTTGTCGCCGCCCGGATGGACCTGCAAGTTTTTTTTCGCTCGATCAGAAATCCACCAACGAACAAATATGAATATGTGATTTTCTTGGATTGTTTGGTTACCATTTGGGAACATGATTCTGGTATGCATGCGCTCGGACATCGAGGAAAACGTTGAAAAATCGTCACACAATCAAATCACATGCATAACGTGTATTCAACGTTTGTTTTCAAACGACTCGTTTTCCACGGTTTTTCAACGTTTCGACTCATTGTTCACCAGAGTAACAACAAAAAAACGTTGGAAAAACGTAACAGAAATGAATCACATTGTTCCCATAGCTCACATACTTCAAAAGCGCCAAGAAAACATTGAATAGAACGTTTCATACAAACAAATCACATGCGTTACGTGTTTTCAACGTTTTCTTGACGTTTTTCTCATTTTGCATTGACTCGTGTTCCGGTTTTCCACACCTAATCATTTCTAATGCTTTGACTCATTGTTCACTTTTTAATTGTTTTTCAATGCTTTGAAATATTTTTCACTTTCATCAATCGAGGAAAACGTTGTGAAAAACATCACACAATAAAATCACATGCATAACGTTTTTTCAACGTTTGTTTCGATGCTATGACGCATGGCAGTCGTTTTCTTTACGTTTTACACGTTCCAATAATGGTTAATTCATTGCTTGGACTTGTTTTCCACGATTTCGAATGTTTTTCAAAGTTTTGACTCATTGTTCGCCAGAGCAACAAAAAAACCGTTGGAAAAACGTAACAGAAATGAATCTCATCGTTCCCATAGCTCACATACGTCGAGAGCGCCACAAAACATTGGAAAAAACGTTTCATACAAACAAATCGCATGCGTTACGTATTTTCAACGTTTTCTTCACGTTTTTTTCATTGCATTGACTCGTCTTCCGGTTTTCCACACCTAATCATTTCCAATGCTTTGACTCATTGTTCACCTTTTTAAATGTTTTTCAATGCTTTGAAATATTTTTCACCTTCATCAATCGAGGAAAACGTTGAAAAAAATGTCACACAATAAAATCACATGCATACCGTTTTTTCAACGTTTGTTTTGACGCTATGTCGCATGCCAGTCGTTTTCTTTACGTTTCATAGTTCTTATAACGGTTTATTCATTGCTTCGACTCGTTTTCCACGGATTTTCAACGTTTTGCCTCAGTGTTCCCAGAGCAACAAAAAAACGTTGTAAAAACGTAACAGAAATGAATCTCATTGTTCCCATAGCTCACATACGTCAAAAGCGCCAAAAAAAACACCGAAAAAACGTTTCATACAAACAAATTCTACGTATTTTCAACGTTATTTTCATTGCATTTACTCGTTTTCCGGTTGTCCACACCTAATCATTCCCGATGCTTTGACTCATTGTTCACCTTTTTAAATACTTTTTCAATGCTTTGAAATATTTTTCACTTTTATCAATGTTCTTTCTATGCTTTGACACATGTGAGTCGTTTTCGTGATGTTTTTCAAGGTTATGCGACTTCTTGTGACTCGATTTCGTGACATTATTCAACGTTTTTTCGATGCATTGACGCATGTGAAAAGAGACTTATTTTTCACATTCTACGTTTATTTTTATACTTGGATGCGTATTTGTGAAGATCTGGTCTCTACAATGTTCTGAGTTAAAAAAACACATAATCTACACTACCTACACTAAGTTAGTGAAGCATCAACCTACAATTCCTTAAAGAAAAATCATACAAGACAGACTTTCAGGACTCAGAAAAAATAATATCAATTCGGTTTTCAAGATTGACTGATATTACTTACGGCCATGGTGGATATCCACTTGGAGTTGGTCAAAAGTTTCTTGAGCAAGGTCTGCTTAACCAAATCGTATATCCTGACGTGTCTCTGTGTGGCCACAAATAGACAGGGTTTGGTAGGGTGGAATAGGACGCACTGGACCAACCCTTTGGATTTCGTGAAGGGTAGTTGAGACCTTCTCCTTGATATCTGCAATAGGTATGTTGACGATTATTCAAATCACATGTAAAAATCTGATATTTGAATAATGCTGATAAAACTGCTCCTCCTCGATAAAATCCTTGTTTCAAAATCATAGAACTGCTAAGATTCAAAACGAAAAATCTAAATGTTAGGTTCATTTTACTATCGAATCTATGGAACTGATTATCACAACTCTTCAGAAGCGACCCGTTTGGAAGGAATATTTTACTAATTTTTTGGCGAAAAACATCGCGCCAGTTTCCTGGAAACGGTTTTGGAATTCTTGCAATTGTCACACTCATTACTGAAATTGAATCAAGTTTTCATTAATTTTTAATCACGTGACAATTGTTCTTACAATGAATATGTTGATTATGCACCATTCATGACAAGAGCACATAGCTAATAAAAATTATAGTACCAAATTATGCATTATTTCATAAAAACATGTTTCAGTAATGAGTGTGTCAATTCCAAAAATTTAAATACTCTTTCGAAAAAACGAATGGTGCCATATGTTTTATATCACATAAAAATATTTCAGTTCAGTTTCAGTTCTCAGTGTCATGACAAATTCGATGACAAATACGAATTTGCCATACAAAAAAATCCATTTTTATGTTGAAAACGGGAGCAGATTCGTTCCCGAAGATGAGTAAAAATTTTATATGTTTTCTATATACCTTTATTTCTCTTCTCCAAACCTTTTTCAATACAAACTGTCACTGGCAAGCTAGTGAATTTTTCTTTCAAGCTCTCTCATAGGAATAGTTTTGTTTAACTAGGCAGTCAATCTACTTTGCTGCCGAGTTGAACATATGATGTTTTCTCCGATTGTTCATAATGATGTAGGAGGATATTGTATTTGCAAATTATTACAATTCCCACAATCTCTTTATTTTTCCTGTAGTGTTCAATTAGAATAAAATTTGATAGCAATCGCAGTTGTTGGAATGGTTGGTTGCTATGGAAATGTCCATAATAATTATAGTTTGACTATTCATGAAATTTCTGACAGTTGTCCGAAAAAATATCGGTATATTTAAATTATTATATAATGGACAGTGATAGCGACCTGGAAGTACTCACTCCTCCAGAAATAAGGGAGGTGGCAAACAATATAGAGTTGAATTTGTTTCCGGAGAAGTCTCGGATGAAATATGAAGAAAATTATAAACGATTTATGGATTTTTGCATGGAGAAAAATGTTAAGTGTTATGTAATAATTGCTAATAAATGTTTACGTCAAATGTTTTTTTCTCCGATTGGCAGCAAATATTAATTTTGCTGACACATATCAATCAGCAAAGTATTACTTTTCCTGCCTAGGCAGCAAAGTGGGTACTTTGCTGCCTAGGCAGCAAAGTGGTTACTTTGCTGATTGATATGTATCAGCAAAATTAATAATCCATAAATCGTTTATAATTTTCTTCATATTTCATTCGAGACTTCTCCGGCAACAAATTCAACTCTATATTTTTTGCCACCTCCCTTATTTCTGGGGGTGTAAGTACTTCCAGGTCGCTATCACTGTCCATTATATAATAATTCAAATATACCGATATTTTTTCGCACAACTGTCAGAATTTTCATGAATTGTCAAACTATAATTATCATGGACAACTGCGATTTCTATCAAATTTCATTTTAATTAAACACTACAGGAAGAATAAAGAGATTGTGGGAATTGTTATAATTTGCAATTACAATATCCTCCTATATCATCATGAACAATCGGAGAAAAAATCATATGTTCAACTCGGCAGCAAAGTAGATTGACTGCCTTAGCTGGATTCCTAGCCTCGCTACGCTCGGCTATGATTTCAGCCTCGGCAGTCAATCTATTACTTTGCTGCCTAGTTAAACAAATAACTATATTCCCATTGAGTATAATCACTTTGCTGCCTAGGCAGGAAAAGTAATACTTTGCTGATTGATATGTGTCAGCAAAATCAATATTTGCTGCCAATCGGAGGAAAAATTATTTAAACACAGTGACATTTTGGAGCAAATCTTCTGATTTGTCTTCATTACACGTATATTGAAATAGTATTCATATTTTTATTTTATAGAGACGAGGAGAGAAAATCCCAAAAAAATCTGGTGTAACGAAAAATATTTATAATTCCGCAAATTGAAGCTAAATAGTGCAAACTTGGATAAATGAGGTTGAATTAGAAAACACATTCAAGTGAATAATAATTCCCGTCAATCACGGGGCAATTACCTGCGAAATGATGACAGATCTGTTCTGTCCGTCGGGCATCACGCTGGCGAAATAATCCCCTTTGCCGTGCCACGTGACCTGCGTGACCTCCTTGAAGTGCTGCAACGATATCCGCACGCCTCGGTCGTACCTCGCCTCGTCAGGCTCCGCCCACTGTACCGTGGTGCGTACCCTTTCCGGTACCGCGGCGTCAGACTTGGGTACTTCGCGCAGTACCGAGTCTGTTTTGCTGCTCACCACGAAATCGCCTAGGGATTTCGGAAATTTTGTTTTTTTTTTCAATTTCCATCGTTCAAAAAATTATAGGTACGCCCCTGAAGTCGTAATTTTCAATTTTAATTATTAGATTTCGACCCCTTGGAAAAAAATTGAGCACGCTTGAAGTCGCATTTTTTTATCGAAGATGAAATTCGAAAATGCAGCATTTTTCATTGGCGACCCTTGTTTTGCTGCTCACAACGAAATCGCATAAGGATTTGGGAAAATTTGGATTGCCTACTCAAATTATTAGTTTTTTGATTCCCCTAAAAAAATGAGCACGCTTATGGTCGCCTCTTTTTAGAAGATTCGAACAAATTCCAAAATTCTAGCATTTTCTATTGGTGACCCCTGAAAAAAAAAACGCCTCTGAAGTCGTGATCTCAATTTTCTATTGACTAACGATCCCTATAGAAAAAAATTAGTACGTTTCTGAAGTCGCATATTTATTTTTTATAATGAGAAAACCTGTTGTAGTGTTAGTCCCCTCAGAAAAATATTGAGCACGCCTATCATCTAATCGTGTTTTCGAAGATTTTCGATGAAATCCCAAAATTCCAAAATTTCTTATTGGTAACGCCCTAGAAAAACGAGAAAAACGACTGTAGTGATCTCGATTTTCTATTGACTAACGATCCCTTTAGAAGAAAATTAGTACGTTCCTGATGTAGCAGATTTGTTATTTCTTAATGGATTAACATGTTATTGAACCACTCAAAAAAATAGTCCGTCATTATAATTTCAGACCCAAATCTTCTGAGTAAAAAACAACGAAATTTAAAAAATAATTTTCATTTTTGATCCTCTAAATAATTAGGTACGCCTATGAAGTCGTCATTTCGATTTTCTATCGATGTGTCCGAGAAATTTCTAAATTACGACTTTTACATCCACAGCCCCTTTAGGAAAAATTAGTACATCACTGAGTAATAATCTTCATTATTTCAACTTTCGTCAAAAAATTGGAGTACTTCAAAGATATCCGGGCGCCTCTGTCCCACTTGGATTTTTTGTTTTATGAATTTTTGACTGCTCAAAGAAATATAGGTAAGCATCTGAAGTAGCAATTTCAAATTTCAATTTTTTAGTTTTTGACCCCTCAGAAAAAAATTGTGCATGCCTATGGTCGCATTTTTTTAGTGAAGACTTCCGATGAAATTGCAAAATTTCACCATTACTTATTGGCAACCCCTGCAGAAAACAAAACAAAAACGACAAGTCGTTATCTCGATGATTTTCTATCAACGAACGATCACTTTGGAAAAAAATTAGTAGGTTCCTGAAGACACAGATTCGTTTTTTATATGAAGGAACATGTTTCAATTCTTGCCCCTCTTGAAATTATTGAAATTGAAGATTTTCAATGAACAAAAATTTTAACATTTTTTATTGGTAACCCCCGTTTTCGGAAAATTTGTATTTTTTGCTCAAATTATTGAGAGCTGAGGAAAAAATAGGTGCGCCCGTAATGTCGCAATTTTCAATATAGATTTTTAGAATTCGACTCCCTCAGAAAAAAAATTGAGTACGCCTATGGTCGCCCTTTTTTTAGAAGATTCGATAAAGTTCCAAAATTCCAACATTTTTTATTGGTAACCCCCGTTTGGCTGCTCACCACGAAATCACTTAGGGATTTGAAAAAATTTGATTTCTTACTAAAATTCTTGACAGCTCTCAAAAAAATGAAGTCACAATTTTCAATTTTAATTATTAGCTTTGGTTCCCCTAAAAAAAATAGCACACCTACGGTCGCATTTTATTTCGAAGATTCAATATAATACCAAAATTCCAGCATTTTTTATTGGTGACCCCTGAAGAAAAAAAAATGCCTCTGAAGTTGTGATCTCAATTTTCTATTGACTTAATGATCCGTTTAGATGAAAAATAGTCGAAGATTTGTTTTTTCAATTGAAGAAACATGTTTTCACAACTTCAGACCCAAATCCTGTGAGGAAAAAATTGAAAGAAATTGAAATAACATCCATTTTTTAAGTCTATGAAAATTAGGTGCGCCCATGAAATAATCATTTCGATTTTCCATGTGTCGGAGTCATTTAATAATTTCAAATTTCTCATTTTGGACCATTTTATTACAAAAATTAGTATGCCACTGAGTCAAAATCTCCTTTTCTTTCGAATAATGTCGAAAAATCGGAATTCCCAACAAAAATATATGGTACGCCAATGAAGTGACGATTTCAATGTTTTATCCGGATGACGTCAGAGAAATTATTTTTAGCCCCCCTAAAAACAATTGTTTTGTTTTTGGATGAAGAAAAATAAATTTCAACGTTTTCCATTCTGGACCCGCTGACAAAAAAATTAGGCACATCCCATGAGTCCTAAGTGTGATTTAATATCGGGGTACCACAAAAAAACAATTCAATTTGATTTCCAGGAATTGATAGGCCGAAAAAATTTCGAAATCTCATTTTGAAAATTGAGGTCGCACTTCAATTGTTTTTAAAAAACGACTAAATTTCATAATTCGAACATTTTTGATTTGTTACCTTAAAAATGGACACGCCTCTGAAATCGTTATTCCATTTCTCCATAAACTTCAAGTGAAAAATATTTCGAAAATCCAATAAACTGATGGCTGATCCCAACAAAAAAAATCCCTGTAGCCACAACTTCAAGTATTTCCCATCAAAACCACCAAAATCCCGTCATTTTCCAATTACTCACCGACATTCGGGTTGATCAACATCACCTCCTGCCCAGATGCTACCAACACCAAAGACAACGCCGCGTTCGGACACCACTCTACCGATCTGACAACGCTGTCCGTTACGATAGTCTTCACGCATCTGCCGGTGTTCACCTCCCACACCTTGACGGTGCAATCGTCCGAGCCGCTCAACAAAAATTGACCGGATTTGTCTGTGCTTATGCTGCGCACCATGTCAGTGTGACCTTGAATATTGGGAATTGATAATCGAGCCTCCCTATATGATGGATTCGTATCTGATCACGTTGGGTTCGATTCAAATTTGAAGTCGATAGAGTTAGGTCTTCTGCTAGCATTTGGAAATCTTTCAAACACAGTGGAAAACTTTGGAAGACATTATGTAAGTCTTTAGAAGACATTGTAAGTCTTTGGAAAGACATTGTGAGTCTTTGAAAGGTGATATGAGTTTTTGGAAGACATTCGTAAATATTTTATAAGACAATGGGAATATTTGGAAGTCATCAGAGGTCTATAAAATACTTTCGGGACCTTTGGTGACATTGTAAGTCTTTGGGAGACATTGTGGCTTTATAGAAGACATTTTAAGTCTTTAAAAGACATTGTAAATCTTTGGAAGAGATTGTGAGTCTTTGAAAGACATCGTATGTCTTTGAAAGACATTGTGAGTTTTTGGAAATCATTCGTGAATTTTTGGAAGTCATTCATGAGTTTTTTGAAGTCATTCGTGAACATTTTACTAGACATTGAGAATATTTGGAGGTCACCAGAAGTCTCTGAGAAGATATTGAGTGCCTTTGGTGAAATTGTATGTCATATTACATTTCAAGTCTTAGAAAGACATCTTGAGTGTCACACATAAAGTCATCAAAAGTTTTTGAAAGACATTGGAAGTCTTTGGAGGACATTGCAAGTCTTTGGAAGACATTGTAGGTCTTTGAAATACATTGAAAGTCTTTATTAGGCATTGTGTCTTTGAAAGACATTGATGAGTTTTTGAAAGACTTTGTGAGTTTTAGCAAAAACAAACTTTGTGAGTGCTAGGAAAACATTCATAAATATTTTCAAGACATTTTAAAGTCTTTGAAAGACATTGAAAGTATTTGAATGACATTATAAGTCTTTAAAAGACATTGGAAGTTTTGCATGGTATTATGAGTTTTTGGAGGACATTTGTAGGTATTTTAATACAAGACAATGGGAATATTTAAAGGCCAACAGAAGTATCTGACAGACATTAAGAGTATTTGAAAGTAATTAAAAATCTTTCCAATTATGGAGTTTGAATTAATCAATAATATTTTTGTCTCACCCTTATATTCGATAGCCAAGACATTGGGAAAGGGTTGCAAATCTTTGGGACTCGGTAATTTTGGCACCAACGATTCTGGTTCGATGTTCAACTTCATCTTGATTGCTCTCGGACACAAGTAGAGATCCAGGCATCTCAGGAACCTTTTTTGTTAACAATCATAATGTAATTCGTTATATAAAAATACAATTCTTGACACTTTTCATTTTCTCGAAAAAAATTCTGATTAAAATACCTTTCTTTGATGAATCTCGGATAAGCTGGAACTTTTCTCAGAGAATCGAATTTCTGAGGAACAAAGTGCAGCTTCCTTTTCCACGGAGCATTCTTTAGTTTGTTCCACTGTTTGATTTCTTTGGCGTCAAAGAGATATTCCGGGGGGGGATTGTAGCTTTCCGCATGACCTGGAATGAAATGTAAGTGAGAAGGTATTTGAAAGAAAGTATCAGTAGGTTTTTGGATGTATGATAAATTGATATTCATCATACAGGACGTGGAAAGAAATTCTGAATTGGGAAAACCTAATCACCTAGAATATCTGCGATTGAGGTCTATGAGAATAAGAAGTGTCCACATCGTTCAAGTCTGAATCCTTTGATTGGCTGAAAGTATTGACAAGGAATATCCTCAGATATAATTATGAACACTAAAAATAGATATATACAGGGTGATCCACGGTGGATGGCCTATTAGAAGTATCTGGAGAAGGAAAAGACAGAACATTCTGAAAATTGGGATGCTTTGATGATTGAACATTCTCTATCCGTCTAAAATATTTTCATCGATACAGTGTTGCCACTTCTATTAGAAATAACTATCAACTTTGTTATTTCAAATGGAACACCCTGTGTTTTATTGCATTTTCAGATTCTTCCTGGTATAGGGTGTTCAAAATCGAGATTTTTCAATTTTAGGATTTTTCTTTCGGAACCATTCATTATCAACCAAAACGGCTTACATGTTCCTATCTCAACTTTTGATTAACTATCTACTGGAATTTAATTGAAAAAAATGCAGGGTTCCTCATGATTCAGAATTCTGATCACCCTGTATCTGTTCCAATCAAATGTCAGTAGATAGTGAATCGAACGTCAAGATAGGAACATGTAAGCCGTTTCGATCGATAATGAATAGTTTCGACACAAAAAAATCCTAAAATTGAAAAATCTCGATTTTGAATACCCTATATCTCTGTAATCATTCCTGCTAGATCCCAAGTGTGATGCATTGATAAAATCAGCTCTTTAGGAAGCATCTGAAGATGCCTCGGAAGATGCAATAAAATACAGGTTGCTCCATTTAAAATAACGAAGTTGCTAGTTGTTTCTGATAGAAGTGGCAACACTGTATCGATGAAAACATTTTAGACGAATAGAGAATGTTCAATTATCGAAGCATCCTTATTTTCAGGATGTTCTGTTTTTTCGTTCTCCAGATACTTCTAGTAGGCCATCCACCGTGACCCAAGACCCACCCTGTATATATTGTTGTTGTTGTTCTTTATTACCCCAAGAAACATATTTGTTTATAATAGGGATACATAAACATATGATATATATATATATATAAAACAATTAAAAAAAACTAATTAACAAGTATTTGAAACTCATCAGAAATCTTTGAGGTAGTCTTCAAAAGACAACGGAAGTAAATTTCGAAAACAATGGGAGACTATAGAAGACATTGAAAGCCTCCGGAAGACTTCGGAAGTATTTGGAAAAAATGATGGAAAACAATATGAGACATTTAAAAGTCATCTGAAATCTTTGAGAGAACTTGAAAGTCTTCCAAAAGACAATGGGAGACTTTTGGAAGTCAGTAGGCGTCTTGAAATTACAATAGAAGCCATTGGAAGACACTGGAAGATATTGAGTCCTTGGAAGATTATTGAGTCCTTGGAAGATATTGAGTCCTTGAAAGATTATTGAGTCCTTGGAAGATATTGTGAGTCTTTTGAAAATATCGTGTTTTTGGAAATCGTTAGAAAACATTCAGTTTTGGGAAAACAAAAGACAATGTTATTTCTTGGAAAATATCGAAAGTAGGTCGTTGGAAGACAATGTGAATCCTATGGAGAGAGTCTTTCAATCCATAAATTCTCAACGATCGAAGTTACAAATTCTCAGGAAATGAAAAAGTAATCATTTATTTGAGCTGATAAAAAAGCTACAGCCTTAGATCACGATTCCACTTACAAATTACCGTTTTGTCGGAAATCCAAAGATTCACCAGAATAATTATATAGATATAGACAACAATTAATTCAATATTCATACAGAAGTATAGAGAAACACGCAAAAAAATATCAAGTTAAAAAAATACACATTCCTTTCACAACCTATAGCCACCTAGACTTCAGTCTTTAAACACTCTTTTGAACTACCCTCGTATGCTCCGATCATACAACAGATTGTTGTTCGGAGCTCGTAATACACACTGCAGAAGAATCGGCTGCGCTTCATCTACTCTCCAACAGATGGCGTCACTTCCGAACTCTGAACGAAAGCTTCGAAATTGCACATAAATACAGAAGAAACCCATGACAAAATCGTGCCTTAAACTAATGAGTAAGGAAAATATACGAGCCTTGGTGACGCTTGGCTTACATGCTTAGCCCGAGGCTTTGCCTGTGAATTTTTGCAGGGGTACAGGTCGTCCCGTGGAGGGTTGCCTACTTTCAGCAGCCTACCTGGTGATAGCGATCTGCCCCGATATATCAATGAAAGAAAATTTGTCAAGCCTGAAGCAACCTGAAGGGCGAATGTTGCATATTGTTTATGGAACCCTCATAAAAATAGTAATAATTTCCGATGTTCTATTCCAAAAAAAAAATCAGGCATGATGTTCTGAAATTATTGACACTTCAAAAATGAGTTTTGAAACGTCCTACTACACGTGACAACTAACCAGTTGCGTAGTAATAGTATATTATGTAACAAGTGTTATAAACGTCCTTTTAGTAACGAGTATTTTAAGCACGAGCGGAGCGAGTGTTAAATAAACGAGTGTCTAGAAAGTTAATAAACGCGTTACATACTTTGCTTTTTCTACGAACTCCGAAAATTACATTAATATACCTGCTAGTCCTGCTAACCTTCAAAATAATTCTAAAGGAATGGGAATTGAGAGTAGATGTGTCCAGTCCATTGCTTACTAACATTCGTTTCATTTTTATTGTCATGCTTAGGGCAAAATAAATAAATTATTCTCAAAAATGGATGCTACATTTTTACACTTCTTGGAGATATGCAAGTACCAGAACATTCTCATCGATTTCACTTTCGTCTACTTTTCGCTTATATTTTTAATGAAGAATTCTGATACAAACGAATATTGTTTGAATAATTCTGATACAAAATTCGAAAATAACAGTTGACAGTTAATACAATTGACAGGCCAGACATGTCTCAACTTACTGAAGCTGTGTTTAATGAACTGCGTTGCCATGGTAATGTGTTTAAGAAATCGTGTTGCCATGGTAACGTGTTTAATATTTTGAATAAATCACAGATCGTCGATCCGATCGATCATTATCGTACATAGGAAAAGTAATATATTACACAACTATTGATGAACAAGTGCATTATGTGCTGCTTCCATGATATTACTTTGGAAATCAGAACTTTTTCCTCTCATGAACATATCAAAAGAGCCTATTTCGTGAATTTCGATGCAGATTCATGTCCATATATCCGTTTGACGGGTACTTCAAAGTGACGGGCGAACTAAACTTCCCTAAATTTTGTACATAATCGGTAGAACTCGAACACTTGTAGAACTTGTTACAACTGTAACAAAGTTACTTACTTCATACTTTCACTTACCCCATAAAATGAAAACACTGAAAAAAAACAAGAAGGAAAATGCCCTTGTGGTTTATGACAGTAATTTTAAGGTATTTCAGAATATTAAGAAATGATTCAGAATTCTGATAAAAAATTGTACTATACATGCCAAAGATTTATACAATATGAACTAAAGACAAACTGATATTCCAAAAAAGTGAAAAAAGTCAGTTTTTTATTAAATTAATAGTTAATTATTAAACAAGGGAAAGAAGTATTAGATTTTTGCTCCAGGTTGTGCTGTCTACCAATGCGTAAAGGAGAGATACAAACAACCAAGAGCTAAAACCTAATATTTTCATTAAAATCAGAAAATTATCAATGTAAAATTTGAAGTTTTCACCTGGTAGTACACCTGTTTGCAGGCATCTTTTTGTAGGCAATTTCATTGTTGCTATGGAATCTTTTTGAATCAACGGAATATGTGTCACTTCAATTCTGTTTTGATTTGAAAAAATTGCAAGCTTAGTGGTTGTTTAGTAATTTACATAACCATGTAGTGGAATGGGAGATAGAAGAACTTTCAGTTTTTTCTCGGTGACAGTGTTATTGACTTTTTTTTTAACTATAGCCCAACAAAAGCCATCAACAGTGTATCCGGGAAAAAAAGTACTGTCAACAGAGATAAAAATATGTCGAACACACCTACAAACTCAAGAAAAAATCATGAAACACTTATAATCATCGTTCTGCTCTCACCTGGCAACAACCTCTTTGGCGCCGAAATATGCTTGTGTATCCTTCGCATATCCTCCGCCCCATCGTCAGTCTGCCACAGCATGTAGAACTCGGGCTCCTTCTTGGCCCTCAAAGCGGCCTGCTCCGCTCTCGTCTTGATCCACCCCATTTTGAGGGCATGCACCAGCTTAGAAACTTGCTTGGCTTCATGCCTACTAGGCAGGAAGGAGCGCTTGTGCTCGGGAAACTTGCGCAGAGGCATTTGTTCCACTTCTGACGTGAACCATTCAATCCAAGGCTAAATGAAATAATTAGGAGTCACTAGAAGACCTTGTAACTGGAAAGCCTTGTGAGTCACTAGTAGAGTCTTTGGAAGTCACCAGAAATTTTGAAATACATTAAGAGTCATTAGATGTCTTTGAAAGACAAGGCAATGTCACTCTTTGAAAGACACTGTAAATCATTGGAAGTCATTAGAAGTTTTTGAAAGACATAATAAGAGCATGGAGGGTATTTGGAAGACCTTGTGAGACACTAGAATACTTTGTGAGTCACTAGTCGACTTTGAGAGTCTTTGGAAGTCGTCAGAAATTTTGAAATACATCAAGTCATTAGATGTCTTTGAAAGACAAGGCAATGTCACTCTTTGAAAGACACTGTGAATCATTGGAAGTCATTAGAAGTTTTTGAAAGTTATTATAAGAGCATGGTGGGTATTTGGAAGACCTTGTGAGTCACTAGAAGACCTTGTGAATCACTAGTAGACTTTGAGAGTCTTTGGAAGTCGTCAGAAATTTTGAAATACATTAAGAGTCATTAGATGTCTTTGAAAGACAAGGCAATGTCACTCTTTGAAAGACACTGTAAATCATTTGAAGTCATTAGAAGTTTTTGAAAGTTAATATAAGAGCATGGTGGGTATTTGGAAGACCTTGTGAGTCACTAGAAGACCTTGTGAATCACTAGTAGACTTTGAGAGTTTTTGGAAGTCGTCAGAAATTTTGAAATACATTAAGAGTCATTAGATGTCTTTGAAAGACAAGGCAATGTCACTCTTTGAAAGACACTGTAAATCATTGGAAGTCATTAGAAGTTTTTGAAAGACATAATAAGAGCATGGAGGATATTTGGAAGACCTTGTGAGTCACTTGAATACTTTGTGAGTCACTAGTAGAATTTGAATCTTTGGAAGTCGTCAGAAATTTTGAAATACATTAGGAGTCATTAGATGTCTTTGAAAGACAAGACAATGACACTCTTTAAAATACACTGTGAGTCATTGGAAGTCATTACAAGTTTTTGAAAGACATGCTGAATATTTGGAAGATCTTGTGAGTCACTAGAAGAATTTGTGAGTCACTAGAAGACCTTGTGAGTCACTAGTAGACTTTGAGAGTCTTTGGAAGTCGTCAGAAATTGTCAAATACATTAGGAGTCATTAGATGTCTTTGAAAGACAAGACAATGACACTCTTTGAAAGACACTGTAAATCATTGGAAGTCATTAGAAGTTTTTGAAAGACATAATGAGAGCTTGGTGGGTATTTGGAAGACCTTGTGAGTCACTAGAAGACATAATGAGTCACTAGTAGACTCTGAGAATCTTTGGAAGTGGTCAGAAAATTTGAAATACATTAGGAGTCAGTAGATGTCTTTGAAAGACAAGACAAAGACACTCTTTGAAATACACTGTAGATCATTGGAAGTCATTAGAAGTTTGTGAATGACATAATGAGAGCATGGTGAGTATTCAGAAGACCTTGTGAGTCACTAGAAGACCATGTGAGTCATTGGAAGTGGTCTGAAGGCTTTAAATGACATTGTGAATCTTTAAGATACATTGGGAGTTATGTGAGAAAGCAATGAGCCTTTGGGAGTCATTGTGATTACTTGAAAGTCATTAAATGTCTGTAAAAGACAATGAAACTGTAAAATCATTTAATAGTTACAGAATGTTGGTTAAGTTCTCATAAAAATAAAATCAGAATTTCCAGTATTCTGAATAAATTGAAAATAACAATTTTTCCTAACAAGTTTCCATTTTCATTGATTTTTTATGCATCCTGTAACAAGGTGTCAATAAAATAAGACATTATTAGTTTTCAAGGAAGACATCATGAGCTTTTGGGAGTGATAATGTGTTGTTTAGACATTGTGAGTCATTGAAAGACATTATGATTCCTTGGGATTTTTGTCTTTCACAATTCATAGGCAAATCAAATGAATGAAAACACTTATGGATTAGGTATATACAAAAAAATATAGTTATTGGTATTTTATTTTGGTTTTGGAATGAAGGTATTTTGTTAATGAATATATCAGTAAATTGTTTCCTTACTGCATATTCATCAAAAGTAACATCTGGAATCTTCTGTGCTTTTATTCTTTTGATCAGTTCAATGTCCTGATCACTAAGAACTACATTTTGTCCAGTCTGAGGATCTTTAACAGTCCTCCAGAAATCAGGATCCTCCATTTTCTTGAGGAAGGCATCCAACTGATCTCCAGTTTCTGGTTTGATTATTTGATTTCCATCCCAATCATACCCTAAAAAATATTTCATCAAATAGGTATTACTCATATTAGAAAACCACATAAATTAACTAATGCTAGTAGGTAATATTTAGTACTATAGGTTGTTGGACTAACCTAAGTGTTTATATTCATCATACCAATTCATAGGTACATTTCCTACAGTATTTCTGATATCTTCTTCATCTGAGGTGTCATGGTCATACTCATGAAAAACATTTGCAATACTTGCTGAAAAAAAAAATTTAAATGAATCATGAAAGGTAGGTAAATATGAATCTTCCCAATGATATAATACATTACCTGAATCAATAGTAGTTTTAGACTTATTAAGAGTTTTTTCTACACTGCTATCACTAGTTTTTTCGATGGCTGAGCCTTTCTTAGGCTTTGTCTTGACCTTGTCCGATTCATTCTGTAATTCTTCCTCACCACTACTTTCATCTTCTTGGTCGCTTGCACTTTCGTCTTTTTCACTTTCTTCGTCGATTTCTTCATCTTCACTATCGTCGATATCTTCACTCTCTTCATCAGCATCTTCCTCTTCACCACCACCTGCTGATAAAACGTCAGAATCTGCTTCAGATTCTTCTTCAGTAAATTCGTTATTTTCATCTTCGGAATCCTCGATTTCCTCGTCACCGTCTGAACTGTCTGCTTCCTCGTTGTTCACAACGTTAAGAAAATCTTCCTGAAGAAAAACCTTTATTAGCTGAAGTTGAATACATTGCCTCGAATATTCACCTCGTCACTTTGATCAGATTCAGATTCCAATTTTGCAGTCTCTTTAACGATTCGTCTCTTCAAGTTTTTCTCAGTTTTTTGTTTGTTACCCATAATTTTTTGAACCAAAACATGCACGTGAAAAGAACTTTGAAGTCTTCTTCTTCTTTTGGGTTTATTGGATTTCTGTCACCTTTCGGTAACAATTTCTCCAGATCAGGTAATTAATTTTTTCATGAATATAATATGGTTATGTAATAATATTATCTCTCGACTCGAGCACTAAAGACACCGTAGTCCGTCACCATGCCCGGAAGCCGAGTTCATCAATGTCCAAAGATTCTATCGTATGTGCTCATGCTGAGCACGTTTGATTTCAAGTATGGTAGTAAAAAACACGAACTAGAGAGGTTAGAAAACCCAAAAGTGAGGTTAAACCTTAGATCATTCAAAGTGTCAGTCTATAAACGGAGAAGAAGAAGTAGTTCAATCGTCTTCCGGCTAGATGACCTAGTAGTTAAAATACTATTTCGATTTAAAAATGTTTTTTTCGCAAGAAATTAGAACTAAGAAGATGCAGAAGGATAACCCGTTTCCAGCTGTCAGAGTTGACATTTTACAGTTTTACGTTTACTATTTTTTTTTTATAAATCTTATCAACATTGATAAGATGATAATTTGAGGATTTTTTCCATCCAAATTCGAGCAATGTTTCCGAAAGCAATATTCCTAGTGTGTGTGATATTAAATTTAAGTCATTCGCTCCACATTCGCAGTGTGGAATACGAAAGTTTCTTGGAAAACCCAAGGTACCAAAACTATGATGAACTGACCAATCTCCTGAAAAAATTGGAATCCGAACATCCAAGCCTCGTGAAACTGATCTCCGTAGGTAAATCTGTGAAAAACCGTGAGCTATGGGCTCTGGAGATCAACTCAAACGTTCAGAACAGGAGCCTATTGACCCCCATGTTCAAATTTGTGGGGAACATGCATGGAGATGAAACTGTGGGGAGGCAGCTCATGATCTACCTGGCTCTCTACCTCATCCATAACTATGGGAAACTGGATAGGGTGACTCAGTTGGTCAATAACACTGACATCTTTCTGATGCCATCAATGAATCCAGATGGATATGAAAATTCAGTGGTTTGTGGCTTATCTCATCTTGTCATCTATCTAAATATGAAAGTTATACAAAATGCAGTTTTTGGAAATTTTTTATTGTATGTCTTGATGTTTGGTTAAAAAATTGACAAAAATTGTATAATTATCTTGGCAAATGCCTTATCTATTGTAGGTATTTAAATAATTGATTTAAATGCTGTAACTAACAGGTGTTGTACATCCTGTTAAATTTCCATAAACATGAATATTTTCATTACTATGCAAATATTGGTCCATTATTGAGTTCCTAATGAAAAGGCATTAATTTTCACACTTTCATTCAAATTGGATTCAACAATACTAAATCCAGAGAAATTTGCAACACAATGTATACCTAATGAATCCATGTGCAAATAATTACAGTTTTATTTTTTGAATGAAATGCTTTTCATTCAAGGTCCTCCAAAAACAGGAGGCTAACATTGAAATTCAAAAATTTCATACTTGAACTTTGAAAAAAAAATTCAATGTAATATTGTGCCTAACAATATTTATATTTTTTATAGGAAGGAAACTGTGAATCAAAAGACCAGTATGTTGGTAGAGAAAATGAAAACCATGTGGATCTCAATAGAGATTTTCCTGATCAGTTTGATTCATCTAGAGCAGGTATTTAGTCATTTCAACTCATGCTTTTCTGCATCTCCCTTGACAATAATTCAACTTTTATTTTCATTATTTTTGTATTAGGGACAATTTTGGCTGGTAGACAACCAGAAACCATAGCCATGATGACATGGATCATATCTAGGCCTTTTGTACTATCTGGAAATTTACATGGAGGAGCAGTGGTAGCCAGTTATCCATTTGATGATTCAAAGTTGGTATTATTTATGTCTCACCTACTAGCTTAGAAATGAAATTATATTGCTGAAGACATTTTATTGAAAATTAATGAAACTAAAATGTTCTGCTTCAGTTCCAAAAGACAGTGTTGCAAAGAGAGCAGGTCTCCTGATGATAACCTTTTCAAAAAACTGGCCACAATTTATGCCCAGGCAAATCCAATTATGAAAACTGGAAAAGCATGCAGAGAAGACAATTTTGATCAAGGGATAACAAATGGAGCCTTCTGGTATGAAGTGAGAGGTAATGATTTTACTGAATTTTTAGCTAGAAAAAAGGTTACCTATGCTACTAATCAATAAAAAATTTTACTTTCCACAGAAATGATATATCTCCTGTGATGGGAATACAGTTCAAAATTTCATCTCTGTTGACAGGTTATAAAATGTCACTTTTCATAACTTACTTTTTTCCCATGGGAAAAAAGTGAGTAATATTTATGTACACTGTTGATGTCTTTTGTTGTGCTAGTTCTGAAAAATAAGCCCATCTCCCAGAAATAACTGCAAGTTCTTTTATCCTTTATTTGCCTTCATAGTTATACAGGGTGGCATTGTAATATGTGCAAATATTTCAAACTCTGAGGAAGCTTAAAATTGGAAGTTAGACCCCTTTTCCCACCCAAAGTTCAACACTGTAGCAAATTTGATGTGCAGTAGGCACAATCTCCCAGAGTTCAGTCATTTAAATTGTTTTAAAGTGGTGTACTTAGTTTTTTTCTTGTATATGGTTCAATTTTTGGGATTAAATTTCATGTCAATTAGAAGAATTAGAAAAAAATCTGATATCATGGGCACAGAATACTCAACAATTGTTGAGTATTCTGTGTCATGGGGATATTCCTTAGACTGTATCATATTAAATGTGCTGAATATTTGCACTCATTTCAAAAACACCTTGCATGAATCACTAAACAACCACAAAATTCAAATTTTTTTCAAAATCAAATCACAGAATTAGACTTTAGACTGACAGATATTTGATTACTTCAAAAATATAATGTTAAGGCACCTCTATGCCGCTGAACTTTTAATCTGGTGAATAAATACAAAACCTCAGTCCTAGTCTCATGAAAAATATTTCTTGGAGGGGGCACCTCTATTCCGATGAAATCTTAGTTTCACTTATAATTACAGGAGAGCTTTTTTTGTCAAAGTAAACTTGGCATGCATGTATCAATAAGAACAAAATTCGAATTATAAATGCCAAGTTCACTTGGACTAAAAACATCTACAGTGTAATTCGGTAAGACAATTTGATTCATCAAACATCTGTTTATGGCTGATTGTCATGCTTTCAAAAGTTAGGTTCCGTTATTGTCGCTGGAAAAGTTAGGGCAAACTTTTTTCGCTGTCATAATGACAAAATCACGTGACTTGTGGGAATTTTCATGTGTGAATTAAATGGTCATGACAATATTTCTCGGGGACACCTCTATTCCGCGAAACTTTTAATCTCGTGAACATATTTTTGGGGCACCTCTCTTTCGATCAACTCATAATCTCCTACAAATATTTCTCGGTGAACCTCTTTTATGCCAATCTCTCGATCTCATTGAAAATACACTCCTCGACAATAAAATTCCGGACTATGAAATTTTTAGCAAAATTGATCGCCCTGTAACTAAAGCGTAGAATTATGTTTCGCAAAATCAGCCTGATATTTTGTTCCGAAAAACATCTATTGTCCTAATCATTATACAGGGAAAAACAAAAGTAACTTTTTTACCCCCAACTAATTAACTCCCTGTGGCAAAAGTGAGCAATTAAAATCAGTTTCATTATGTTCAGTATTGGGGTATGATTCCTTCTTAACAAAATGGTCCATAAATCATATCTTTTCTTGAAGAGAAGACGCAAGTGTTTCAAGAAAATATGGCATTTTTTATACTCATCAACAATTATTCAGATCCTAGAAAACATTAACAACTTGAGATGAGAAACAAACAACTAAAAATCAATATGGCGTATTGCCACCGCGTTTTCTTAGTACTTCCTCTATGCGACGAGGCATACTCTCAATGCAGTTGTCGATGGCCTTTTGCGGAATATTTTCCCATTCTTCTAGGAGGGCTATCCGCAAATCCGGTAATGTTTCTGAGTGGCGATTGCGAACACGTCTACCCAGCATGTCCCAAACGTGCTCAATAGCATTCAGGTCGGGACTACGCGGGGGCCACTCCAATCGCCGAATATGTACCTCTTCTGTCACGATTCGCGCAACATGAGGCCTGTCATTATCTTGCATTAAAATAAAGTCTTGCCCAACAAAGCCGGCAAAGGGTACCACATGTTCAGCTAAACATTGTCAGATGTAACGATCAGCAGTTAAAGAACCATTCTCGATGAGCACCAGGTTCGTACGAGCATTTAATGATACTCCTCCCCATACCATGATACTACCGCCTCCAAATGGCGTCCTTGGAGATGATCAAATCGTTCACCCGGCCTCCTCCAGACACGGTCACGTCCGTCAGGGGAGCGCAAACAAAAACGCGATTCATCCGTGAATAACACCACAGTTAAAAGAATACAATATATTTGTATTCTTTTAACTGTGATAACACATTCGCCCAGTCTTGGGCTGCTCTCCAGTAGCTATGTTCACGAGCAAAATTAAAACGCCCTGTGCGATGTGCAGGAAGTAACAGAGGAAAGGCAGCGGATCTTTTCTTGCAATCTACGCTGAATGGTTCGTGCAAAAACTATTGTACCTCGTACATCTTGTATTCTATGACTTATAACTGTAGATGGTGTGCCACGATCTCGTAATGCTGTTGAGATGGTCATCACGTCGATTGGTAACACGTGGTCTACCTGATCCCCTATGTCGTATGTACTCACCAGTCTGACGAAACCGAGTAATCGCATCTTGTACAATACTTTTCACTGTGCCTAAGTATTCTGCAATACACCGTATACTACGGCCATCATCATTCAAGGCAACAGCACGTGCAACATCCTTGGGTCTCATTTTCAACACACAAAAAAAAAGCAGTTTATCATGCAATGGCAGAATACTCACAATAAAGTTAATAAAGTTACTCTTGTTTTTCCCTGTATAATGATTAGGAAAATAGATGTTTTTCGGAACAAAATATCAGGCTGATTTTGCGAAATCAGAAGAGGATTACTAAAGTTCCAGGACGAACAATTTTGATAAAAATTTTACTGTCCGGAATTTATTGTCGGGGAGTGTATTTTTGGGGGCACCTCTATTCCGCTGAACTCCTAATCTTGTAAAAAATCGCTGTTTTTTATCAGGCGGCATGCAGGACTTCAACTACGTGCACTCGAACTGCTTCGAGGTGACCTTCGAACTAACCTGCTGCAAATTCCCTAAGGCCGATCTGCTGCCTGAGGAGTGGCGCAACAACAAGGAATCCATGTTGCGGTTCATGGAGGCGGCGCAATGGGGGGTGAAGGGGGTGGTGAGGAACGAGCGGGGCGAGGCGGTGCTGGACGCCGACGTGGTGGTGGGGGGGATTGCGCACAACGTGACCACGTCGAACAGGGGGGAGTATTGGCGGTTGCTGTTGCCCGGGAAGTATGAGATCTACGCTACGGCTTACGGGTAGGTCCGAAAGTTGGAAAATGTATCGAATACAGTAATGACTTATTTTGGAATTCGAGTTGGACGTTAAGTTTTGCTTCAAAAAAGATGAAAAATGGCCTACTCAATCAGGGTCACGTGACATTCGTTACTTTTCAAATTAATCACTGATAGTAGGCTTATTTGTTCGAAAATCGAGAAAGTTTACTTGAAAAAGTTGTTTCTATTTCAATTTTACACATGCTCCTCGTATTTGATCTTTCTATTGCAACTTTTAGATTTTGATTTTTTTTTTTAATTTTTCGACATTTCTGTAATATTAGGAGAATTGTTAATTCCACGAAACTACTTCATACCAGTAGCTTTTTCATGCTACTTACTTTCAATTACTTATTATCACTGATTATGGACAGAAATATGATTTGATGCAAAGTTGATATATCGTCAAGCATTTAGGAACGAAATTCATTTAAACTGATCTTTTCAGTACTGGAAAAATAAATTTAAATGAATTTCGTTTCTAAATGCTCGATTCAAACATAACAGAATTTTGATGTTATGTTCGCATCAAACATAACAGAATTTTGAAGCGGAGATTATCATTTTCTGAAGAAAATCATATTTTTGTCGATAATCAGTGATAATTAGTAATTGAAAGTTAGTAGCATGATGAAACTACTGGTATGAAGTAGTTTTATCGAATTAACAATTTTTTTAATATCACAGAAATTTCGAAAATTATAAAAAAATATCGAAATCTAAAAAATGTAATAGAAAGATAAAATCCGAGTCACATATGTAAAATTCAAATAGAAACAACTTTTTCAAGTGAACTTTTTCGATATTCGAACAAATAAGCCGACTTTCAGCGATTAATTTGAAAAAATGTCACTTTTGACATGTAGCGAAAGTCACATGACCCCGTTTGAGTAGGCCATTTTTCATCTTTTTTGAAGCAAAACTTAACGTCCAACTAGAATTTCAAAATAAGTCATTAATAAAAGTTTTTCCCATATGATGCCGACTTTATGAATGACACTGTATAGTGAAAGAAATAGATAACGATCGTTTGAAATTTCGAGAATTTCTGAAGTTGATGAAAATCTAATACACTTATTCATTGGAAGAACAATTATTCTTTGCGACAATTTTCCTACAAAATTCATATTTTTAAAAAATTCTTCACAGGCCAAACAATTATCCAAAATCTCCTATGTGAAAAATAGTAGATTGTTTTATTAGGATCAAAAGTGACACTTTGTCTGACATGCGAATTTTGTATTTGCGGAGCGTTTAGCGAAGCCGAGCCAAAGCAAAATTTGCGAGTCGAACAAAGTCACTTTTGATCCGAATTAAACATGCTGTTTTTTCTGCAACTGAACCAATTAACTCAAATAAATATGTGAAGTTACCACCCATGCCGTGCCATATTTATGCAATGCAACAAATATTGACAAATAATCCGTGTGGTGAGAATATTCTACCTGCATCAACAGCAGGTTTATCCAATTTTCAAGGATGTTCAAATAGTAGATTCAATATAAATACAACCACAGAGTGAAATATTTGTGTATGGACCAGATGCTCGAATGGCAAATACCGCGCCAGTGCCAGCTATAGAAACAAGACGTGGAAAATGTTAGGTTAGTGAGTGAGCATATCAACAACAATAATAGTGATTATTTATTCCTCTCCATACTACACTGTGTTTGACTTGATAATCAAATGAAGGTTAACAATATCGTTGTTTGAGACAAAAAAACTATTGCTTGCCGTGATTATTCAAAAACAAGTTATCCATCCCGAGAATAACGAATGAAATACTTACAGATCAAGCAAGTATTTGAATCTTGAAGCCTTAGCTGATCAAAACGAAAATACTTGACTGAGATGTTTATAATACCAATACTCAACTATAATAAGGTGTATTTATATCTCCAGCATGTGTATGAAATGCCAAATCTGCCGAAATCGGAAACAAATGGTATGCGTCTCAACCCAAATAACCAACCGTAACAAAGTTGTTTATTCTTGATGACGTCCAGTACATCCTTTTCAGTTCCAAGGAGCTGAAGTTGAACTTTAGCTCCTAGGAACTAAATATGTTGCATAGCAACATACCTATATTTGTGTCAGGAATAGAAACTTCAATATAAGAGCTAATTTTGGTATCAAAATGTACGACTTTTTTGTCCGTTGCAGAAAAAATATTTTCAAAATGCAAGGAGAAAAAAAGTTTAACCAACATACCGGGTGACAACAAAATCATTGGGGCCAGGGCGTCATTCAGTTGTTTTTCATGTTACACTTTTGGCATTTGGATCGAGGATATAGTTCCTTAAAACCCATTTTTCCCATAAAAAAAAAACAATTATTGATTATCACTTCGGGTTTTACCGGAAATTGAAATTGGTCGAGAATTTTGAATTGAACCCTGTAGATATTTTTATCGAATGTATAGAGTGAAAAATTACTCAATGAAATATCACAAGTGGGCATTTGTTTTTAAAATCTCGCGCAGGACACCTCTAAAATCAATATGGCGCCACTGTGATGATCATTTAATTGGAAATCAAAACAAGAGACAGAGCATATCAAGCATGTTTCATCAAAAACTAATCAGAGTGCTTCGGTTAGTCACTATTTTATTAGATTGACGAAATTTTGATCGATTACGTCACAGTGTCGCCATGTTGATTTTAGAAGAAAATGTCTCCTGCGCCGCCATTTAAGAAAAATGCCCGCTTGTAATATGTCACTGACAAGGGAATATTTCGCTCAATCGAATGGCGGAAGAATATCTACAAGGTTTCATTCAAAATTCTCGACCTAGGTCTATTTCCGATAAAACCGGAAGTGATATCCAACTGTTTTTTCATAGAAATATATTATATTTTTAGGGAACCTTATTTCCGATCCAAATGTCAAAAGTCTTAAAAACATCTGAATGAAGCCCTGGCCAATGATCGTTGTCACCCAGTGTACAAAGAAGAAATATTTCTCAAAAAGAGTCCATAAAAATTGAAAACATCAAAGTGTATGAGTCACATCTTTTTTCGTTGTTATTTTCTTTGTAAAATCCTTTTTTTTTTTCAGGTATTTGCCATCAGAGAAGGTAATTGTATTCGTGGAAGAAGGCAAAACCAGCAGGCAGGATTTCACATTGAAATTACAGCCGGTCGTACAAGGTAATCACAAAAGCATTAACGAAGCTCCAGATTCTTGGGTTTGGTCAAAAAAATAACAGCAGAAAAAATCACTAAATTGACTTGAGAAGGAAATGTCCCAAGCCCAAATTTCATGGTACTTACACTGAACTTACTTCCATCTTTTGAAAACTCTTTATCTTGGGAATACATTTTCTTATCAAGAATATGAAATGAAACACATTTTTCTGGCATTGTTATGCATTCATCACACTAACTTTTTTTTTCTTTTCTGAATACTAATAGTGTGTCACCCAAAAATGGTTTAGTATAACTCTCATTGATTTCTAATTATATTATCATATTATGATCAGTAAAGATCGAACTAATACAGGGCGATTCATTTTTTTCTGAAAAAAACGAAGTGGGCGATAAATCTAGAAATATATTGATCTGATTCTCAAAATCTCCTAGCTTAGACCTATCGCTCACTTAATTTTTTTGGAAAAGATTGAATCACCCTGTAAAATTGGTTTTGAAAATCTTGTTGCCTACATTTTTGGGAACGCATATTTTTTCTTTTAGCAAGAACGTCCAACAAAGTGCAAGCAGTGAATAACAATACTCAATTAACCTCAATGATTATCATGGTTTATGTCAATTTTTGTACTTTTTTCAAACTATTATAACTGTCATTCTGAATGCGTTTTTCTTATTGCATAATACACTGATGATTGCCAAACAATATTTTTTATTTATCTACTCCATGGAATGATATGATCTGCGCACTTTTGAATGCCTACTGTTTATTTACTAACCCTTTTGTATTCATTTTCAAATAAAATACATATGCTTTTTGTCTGCTACATTCCTCATAAATAAAAAATTAAAAGACTGCGGAAAAATAGCAAGTTGAAATTACAATAATTGCATTCCTGTTATTTATTGTATAACTTTCATGACATTATACATAATTTCGTGTATATAAGGGAATGATCTGTTAACTTTTAGGAAGGAAAATATTTGTATACCTTTATTTGAATAAAAAAGCTATTGAATTAGACATGTGTATTTTATTTTTTGCTTTTTGTGCACTGGCTTGTTCATAATCCGCACTTTTTCACAAATCATACCTTCATTAACATTATTAACATTGCACCGTCTTGCTGTGAATCATAAATGTAACTATACTTTGCAGTTTCGAAAATATACCGGTGTTCTCCAAGGTAGACATTCTTTAAAAAAATGAAGTACAAAAACACCCGGAGCACACTTTATGGGAGAGACTATAGTGTGATAATTCTCCTAGTTTTTTTTTTTTCATAGAAACTATATGTCATTTTCTTAACAATAATCTTTATATGTATTTATAAAACTTGTACTGTGGCTGACCTCGGTCGATGGCCTTTTGAGTATTCATACTCAATAAAGTTCATTTTGTTGTTGTTGTTGAAGTACAAAAATAAAGTAGAATTCATTGAAACATACAAATCCACCAAATATTTCCCCAATGAAAGTTGCATAATATCGGAGATAATATAAATTGAACAATTTCATACAATTTGAAAAAATTCATTACGGTCCTGGCAGCACGAATATCTGTTCCGTGATTACCTTGCTACAGGTACAGTGACTTACACACACCACAGCAGAATTTTGTTTCTTGTATGTTCTAAACTACTCGGTACGAACCGTGTAACTAGCGCCCTCTATGAGAGTCAGATATAAAAACAAATTCATGCGATGTGTCAGATTTCAAGAAACATCCATACTAAATTTCATTACAATGTTGCCTGTAGTTTCGACATAATCGGGAAAAATGTGTAAAAAAATCATTTTTTCAACACCTTGTATCATGAAACGGATGTCGTTACGACATTTTTTCACTGTGTAAACCCAACTTATTTTGCAGTGTTCTGCCTACCCTAGCAAGGGAGTCAGGTTTCTTTTGAAAAACCCTGTATAAGCAAGCCAATGTTAGTTTAGTTCATCGTACCAGTATATCACCTGACGAAGCTACTGTGTTAGCGAAACATGTCGTTTGTTTGAGAATTTTGTGGAAATCTTATCGTTTGTGAAGTTTTTACATTTGCCATGGATTTCCATCAAGTAACCGCCGAGTCAATTCAAAAAATTTGAATTGAATTGAACATTGGCAGATTTTCGACATTGTCAGATATTTCAGGTGCCTACGAGGTCTCAGAGACTGTCAACACGAGCACGTACGATAAAAATGGATTTGTCATCAAAGACAACTTCAATTTCAAACACCACCATTATGAGGAGATGATCGCTTACATGATTCATTTCAATAAGTTGTATCCCAACATCACCAGGATCAATTCTATTGGTAAATCAGTGCAAAAAAGAGAACTGCTTGTTTTCGTCATTGGTAGTACTCCTGATAAGCATGTGCCAGGTAAGTTGTTCAATTTATGACATTTTCAACCAAATTTCTTCTATAATTCTCTCATTTCCACCAAAACTTGTTCATTTAATAATGCAGTAGATTTAATCCTCTCGTGCATAACTTAATTAAACAAATTCAAAATGATTTAGAAAATTATTAAACGATTCATAAAAGTATGGTAATAAACTGAAAAGATGAAATATTGACCAAACTTCTTGATTTTCTTCGAAAAAACAAATAACTAAATGTCCACTCTAGTGGACGTTATGCATTTTCCATCATGATAATTCATCCCCGACTGGTAGGAAAATAATCGGAACAATCACTACAGCAAGGTTCATCATAGTTTTTACATATACAGGGTGAGTCATGACTAACCAGCCATAGCCCAATGGCGGATAGAGGAAGGCAATGTTGATATATATGTGAAGAAATATATTTTGCCTATTCGTAACCAAAATACAGGGCATTTGATGAACGGTATTTGAGGAACTTCTATGTTATCGCAAAAAAATCCAGAGCCGGACTTGGAATTTGAGATGTCAAAATTTTGACCTTCTGGATCGTATTGTACAAAAACCATTATCCGACTCAGAGAAATAAGGATAAACGCTCCAAGTGTGGCTCTTCAGTTTGTACGGCACAATTTGACCGATTTTAGGTAAACAAATATCAAACAAAATTCTGATGAATATTTCTTCGATTTCGTCCTGGCACAGTACCTACTTCTACATTCGACCAAAAGTATTCAAATATTTTTTTTGCATATTGATATAGAAGCAGAGAGTCGAGAAAAGAGGTATTATCCAATACAAAAATTCAGGACCGGAGTTGGTTTCTGGAAAGAAATACAAAACAGTTATAATTTCGGGATCCTCTAGGATTTCGCCACTTTGATATCTTTCAAGAACTCCGATAGGTGGCGTACGCTTATTTTCTATCGTGAATAGTGAAATATTTTGTTATTCACATTGCTAACTACAATAATCAAGATGACGATTTATTACATTTTTTCCAGCGCCTCCATAAAATGTTCTGACAGGAACAACATTGAAGTCTTCCAGCAACCATTTTAAATTAGTGCAAATATGATTCAACAGATAGAATGACCCCTGATTTTTTTTCCAGAAGATGGTAACACTGGAGATATGTCAAAACATGTTCAATAATATTGCCAACCATAAATAGTTTTTGATGAAACATGGAATATTTCCATTATTTACAACTACTCATTCCTCCTGTCCACTCTGTAGTAGGCATTATGCATAAGAGGGTTAAACAGTTTCTACGGGGTTCATCATTGAAGATAAGAAAACTTCAAATACAGATACGAAAAATGTAGGGTTTGTTCTGAACCTCAAGAAAATAGAAATAAAAACCTCGTTATTTTCATCGAAACACCCTATGTATTTCTCGAAAAAATTGAAAATTTTTCTTTTCTGATTTCAAATAAAATATACGAGGTGTTTTTGAAATAGGTACATATATTCAGCACATGGATATATTGTAGTCTAAGGAATACTCCCATGATATCAGATTTTTTCTAATTCTTCTAATAACTGATGAATTTACTATGTTAGCGAAACATGTCGTGTGTTTGAGAATCTTGTGGAAATCTTATCGTTAGTGAAGTTTTTACATCTGCCATGGATTTCCATCAAGTAACGGTCGAGTCAATTCGCTTATTCTGACATATCACATTGGTGTTCATACTCATAATAATTGGGTTCGTTTCAAGGAAAACCCGAGTTCAAATACGTTGCTAACATGCACGGAAACGAAGTAGTGGGCAAAGAACTGCTGCTCTATTTGATCAAGTACCTTTGCGAGAGATACGGGACCGATGACAGAGTCACTAGATTATTGAAAACGACTAGAATCCATCTACTGCCCAGCATGAATCCAGATGGTTACGAAATGTCAAAAGAAGGTAAAGAATTGTAACCTCATTACCATGCACCTTCGATTATTTACACTAACAAGATGAACCATATCCTTATGATAGCAATGAAGCCACACATTCTATTCAGTATAGGTGGCGGTGTCTATGAGTGATAAGGTGAACTATCTACTTTTTGTTGAGAAGCGAGTGGTAGAGATCGTACCCAGCGAGGACAAAAACATCTCAGAGATGTTAAAAGTACGAGATTTCGAGACATTGAACCTCCACTGCGATGTTCTTTTCACACATGAATAGAACTATTATAGAACAGCCAATGTCCACCGCAGGCGGCAATTATCGAGATGTCCTTGATATGTCACAAAACTATCTTCTCCCTAGTTCTTTTTAAAGCCTTTTCATGGTCACAACAAAACATTTTCAACGCGTCTTGCGCACTTTAAATCGCTGTGAAAAAACCATTTTCGAGGTACTTTTCTGAAGCCTTTTCTCAAAATGAACTTTTGCATTAGGATTTCATTTCCCTTGAATGAAAAAATGTATTAAAAATAGATTGTACATAAAAATATTTTCTTGATATGAAATTACCTTCTTAATCGGTTTCGGAGTAGTGCTTACTACACACAGACATATAATTGGAAATAGGTTTCCCAATTTTTGAAATGTTCTCCACAATGCATAATTTTGCAACTGCGGAGAAGATGTGTATTGATAAATTCGTACTTTTATATATTGATTACAGTGAGGCACCGAACAACACATCTTGCATCTGATTGTCATTATTACAAACTAAATAACTCTTCTAACACAATAAACTTCACCAAATTCCTTTCTGTTCGTTAGCAGCGTGATGTAAGCGTGACACGCTGCAAACGCGAATGCCAATTGCGAACAAGAAGAACAAAATCGAAAACAAATCAGAATTCATCGTATTGTGACGTAAGCATGAGACGTTGATGTGGTAGGGCAAACAAAGAAAGGGTACAAAAGAACAAAAACAATACTTTCTAAGACCTCTTTGGGAAGTGCATATTACGCCTCAAAAAAACATCCTCATGCCTACATTTCTAATACATCCCAGGGATACCTCTCAGTAGGCAAACAAAGAAATGCCACAGAAGAACAAAAACAATACTTCAATATCCTTCAAAGACCTCTTTGGTCAGTGCATATTACGTCTCTAAATAACATCTTCATGCCAACATTTTCAAAACATCCCAAAACATCCCAGGGATGTTTGTGCTCGCTGGGTACTGGCACTGGTGGGGGACGTTTGCACGTCAGCAACTAGTCCCTAATGGGACCTCTTTGCAAGCCCCAAGGTGTTTTCAATGACTGATGTGGTTCGCTTAAGAGAGCTGGCTAACATCCTTTTCAGGCACCGCCCATCAGCTCTCCCTCAGAGTTTTTTGTAGGCTAGTAATGTACTCACTACCATATGCGCAGTGGCAGGCCTGCTAGCTATTCTCGTTAACCCCCGTTAGAGACCGGGGTCCACTAATAAGCAGCTGACCCGCTCTCACGCTCAGCTGGTAGTTTTTCCACACCCACCTACATACACAGTCCTACTTCTTCTCTGATGCTCACATCAACCACATCAGCATCTCTTTCTGCGTGTTCTGTGTAGGCTTTGTTACTAACTCCATGCGCCACTTTAGGAGCAGCACTGTTAATTGGAACGCAACAGCGAATCGTGCAGGATTTTCCCCAGCCGATGCTCCGAAACTTTACAATAATTAATTCGTGAATAGAATATTGAAAAAAGTTCCTTGCTCCTGCTGGAAATCGAACCCACGACCTTGCGGTCGTGAGATGGGCGCTCTTCCACTGCGCCAATTCCTGCGGTAGAGGTCATTAATGCAGAATATATTTGAAGTTCATTTTCAGATGTTAAAGATAGTGATTTTCCTGCTTCAGAAAGAAGGCTATTCCTATATAGTTCAGCAACTTGCAGATAGATGGCCTCGAGCATATTCCGAGAGTTGAGACAAATCGACTCTATAATATTTCACATGGAGGTGGATCATGTTGTTAGTGTAAATAATTGAGGGTACCACTTCTCCTCTGATTCGAATTTTGAGAAGCCCTTCTTGTTTTTAGGTGATCAATCCAGTCTGCGAGGTAGGAACAACGCAAACGATTTTGATCTAAACAGAAACTTTCCTGACCAATATGGTGTCAACAAGGTACGTAATATATTTCAGAGTTGACATTCAAGAAAATGATCTCTTCAAATTGTTGTAGTTCAATCGAGTGATTCAACCAGAAACTCAAGCTGTGATGGATTGGACCCTATCCCAACCGTTCGTGTTATCAGCAAACTTACATAACGGAGCTCTGGTAGCCAATTATCCGTATGATGACACTCCTGATGGCAAAATCGAAGAGAACTTGGCTCCTGATGACCAGGTTTTCAAGTACTTGGCTCATACTTATGCGAACGTGAGTATCTCATGACCGTAAACCAATAACATGTCTTTTCTCAGAAATAGCTGAAGGATAATCTCTGGCACTACCACACCATTCCAAAAAAAGTCCGCAGTTTATATGTACAGGGTGGCTGGAATTCGAGTCTCATCATTCGGATCCCGTATACCGTAAGAGATACAGGGTCGGTTAAATTATCGCAAAAGAGCGCAATTTGATGCCTAACAAAATGTAGTTTTGAAATTTGAAAAATTCTGATTACTTTCACGTATATGGAATGGAGATAGAATGTTTGGAGGGCACTGTTTGAAAGAGAACAACATCTGATTCAATGTTTTGTTAAGAAGTTTCCAAAATTTTATTTTTTCGAGTGTTGAAAGCGTGAAATCCATATTCAATCAACCGTATATGCGGTAACACTATTAGCAATACTCTTTAATGGGACATTTATGTGAGATCTATCACAGAAACTGGAAGCTTCCATGGAAAAAAAACTTATAAAATCATTGTAATGACCGCGAGAATTCAACCAAATAGATAATTTCCAGACCGAATACACTTAGAAAGTTGGTTGTTTCGATTCAGGGCCGTAATCATTTATGTATATGAATTAAAAAAATCTTCTTCAAGAGTTCACGAGGCCTAGATAGAATTTTGTAATATCAATTTAATGTGACATTTCCAGGTATTCGCGAAAAGAATGAACTAGAACTAAAAATATTGATGGAGCGAAATTTCAAGAATGAGATATTCAAATTGCATCCTGTGAAGAAGTATTCATTATACTCGCCCTGTGTATTATAATAAATGATGTGAATGATGTATACACATTGTTTTTGTCCGCCGTGACTTATTCTTAGCATGTCAGGTCAGAGCTGACGACTACACTATCTCTGCCTCGGTGTTAACTGGAATGCTGAAGGTGTATGTGCAACGACTTTCGCATATCAACCAGGCATACATAAAGTTTAGTATATTTCACTTCCATCCCATTAAAGTGCCTAACAAGCTATCACTCCAAAAATAATTTTCCAGGCCCACCGCACGATGCACAATGGCATCCCGTGCCCAATGTTCCCCAATGAGATTTTCCGTGGGGGTATCACGAACGGCGCCGAATGGTACAGCGTGACGGGAGGCATGCAAGACTGGAACTACTTAGCTGCAGGTTGCATGGAACTCACGCTAGAGGTCGGCTGTTACAAGTACCCGCTAGCGAAAGACCTCTCCGACTATTGGAACGACAATAAGGAGGCTTTGATCAGCTACATCGAGCAGGTGACAGACCAAGTCGAAATATACTTAGCTGTCAGTAGTGGACGTATGCCGGTTCTCTGTCACATAAAAACGGTACAATTGAGATGTTTATAAGAATAGGGTGTTTCTATAATCAAGGCTGGTTGCCATATGGTTAGATTGGTCAAGAACTGACGATCGACACTTATAAGGTCCTTGTTCATGGAAAATCCGTGAAAGGCGCTGATATCGTCATATTTTCAATGGTCATCGGACCAAATAACAAAAACATTCATTCTTACGACAAAAAATACAAAATTGGTGTAAGAAGGTTCATTTTTGAGAGTGTTCAATCCTCAAGTACTACTCACGGATCAAACTGACCCAGTGATATGTTTGAAATGCAGTTTCTTTTTCATGAAGCTAAAAAAAACCTTAACATTTACTACGGGTCAATTTGACCCGCGGGTAGTAGTTACGTTATTTTCTTGCGGGTTAATAAAATTCTGATAATAGAGTTCATATTTCCGCTTTGAAGAGAATTCGTACAGTGGAATCATTTTTATGGCTGTTTGTAATGAAACGAATTACGATAAAAACAGATAGTGACGACAACGGATGATTTGTTATTTCACCATTTTTCAAGATGGAACAGAACCGGCATGGGTCCACTACTGCTATCAAATTGTACGTCAATTTGAATGGTATATGTGAGCAATCCGATGTAGTACCACAACACTAAACTGTCTGCTCTGTTCACAAAGGTTCACAAAGGTGTTTCTGGTTATGTAACGAGTACAATCGGCTATCGAATAGAGCTTGCCGAAATCATAGTGGAAGGAAACAAACATGCCGTCAAGTCAGCGAAACATGGGGACTACTGGAGAATACTTTTGCCCGGAAAGTATAATATGACTGTGGCAGCCAGAGGATACGAGAGCTACACCTCAGAAATAGTAAAAAATATCTTTGTAGGTCAGTTGTTCCCAATAACATCCCATTATGTTTCATCCACAGGTAATTCCGGAATCAGGTTACTTAGAGTATAATGTTACTTTGATGAAAGATGACCCCTTGCATTGGGCCAGCGCCTACGATTTTGGCATCGGCGAGAACCAGTACAAACCGCAATACCACACCAGCCAGGAGATCAATTCGATTCTCTCGTCCATGGAGAATAAATATCCTGATGCTGCTGCTTTCCAAGGAGGCGATAATCTCGTATCTATGGCCATACGTTCCTTGAAAATAACCGATAAGGTGAGATCAGACAACGGCGTTGTACACACTAGTCGAATTTACGCCATATACCTATTTTATATTGATCATATTCCGAGTATAAATAGTATTGGATGCGATCATTCGTTATTCGAAATCACGAATACTTTTTCCAATAAGTTAAATCGGCACCTTGTTGATATATTCCTCTTTATTGTTCAACAACCAATGCTATCATAACCACATATTTCGACGCTGCCAAATTCATATCTAGTAATACCTTATTAGATTTGATATGACCAATGACAACAGTATTCATATTCACAAAAGACACTGGTTCCACCTGGTCCCTAATATAATCTCTTATTGAATACCTATATATCTTGATTTTTATAAGAAAAAACAATAGACTTTGAGACTTCTATTGTTTTTTCTTACCCGAACTATTTTGTGACCCTGGCAACAGCGTAATGCTAAGAGTTCACTGAAATATCGAGAAAAAAGAACCTAACCTGACTTTCAAACGTCATCCTCGTCTGTCACTTTTATCTTCAAAACCTATCATCTGGTTGAATTCAGGGTAAATCATATTATCTGATTCTTCGATTGTGTGTTATATTCTCTGTTATCTGCAGTGAATATTCAGTCTAGAAAATTCACTTTATATTTCGATAAAAATTACTATCAGAAATATTCTTGCACTTGTCTTACAGACATAGAGAGTGGATACGTAAGTCGAATCTTATATCGTTGCATTGGATTGTTCACGCACTTTCCATGTTATGAAATTTCGTGAATTTCAATATTCGTTTTGAAAATGTATTTTGAGTTCTGAGGAATAAATTATCTGTGACAGTGGACTAGTTGGGGTTAGTACTTCGAAATAATGAAATGAACTTTTTCACTGAAACAGGCTCATTCAGTGATTTTTTTTATCTAAGAACTTGTTTCTAGGTCGAAGCTGATGATGAGAAAAAGTTTCATGTGGCTGTGATGGGCAATCTTTTCGCTACCCAGCCGATAGGTAGAGAAATCGGCATATACCTTGCACGTCATCTACTCGAAGGATTCCGAATAGGCGATTTCAAAGTAAGTTGAGCCAAGGATAATCCTACAATTCTGATACTTTTGTCAGGTGAATTTAATCGCCATTGTAAAACATTAGAGATACAAAGTTGAGTCCGGATGATTTTTGACACTGGTTGCTCTTATAGCTGTTTTGTCCAAATTCTGGGTTAGATACAAAACAGTTTTGTTGATCTAATGTTCTAGGTTATGAAAATCTTTCTCACAAACACTTGTGATATTGGCACTGTTACTGAAATCACTTTTTAAGGTCGAATTTTCAAAACAAATTTTCACTTCTATTCATGTACCAATCATTGTAGAACAGTAGAGTAACAAAGAGGGTTCAAGATTTTTTTGACCCTGTTCATTCGCTGTTCCCCATCCTGGATTGACTTTAAACAAGTTTTGTTCATCTCATATTCCAGGTCATGAAAATACTCACAAACACCGTTATTCACATCATTCCTGTCATCGACAAAGCTTTCGAGCAGATTTGGGGAGACTACGAAAAAATCGTTTTGGGCAACGAAAAACCCAACAAGTTCTTGTGCAACAACATCACCGCAGATTTCAAGCAAGTGGGAGACCAGCTTATCAGCTCCAGCGGCAAAATAGGCGGACACCAAGACATGAAAATGATCGTGAATGCTTTCAAGCACCTTCTATTGGAAGAAAAGTTCGATCTGATGTTGAACATCGAGGGAGGCGGTAGTGGAATACTGTAAGTCTCTTGATTTGCTGATATCATTGTTGTCATACTGATCTTTGTCTCTTGTAGGTATCCATCGACTAAGAATGTGGTCGATCCTTACAAGGTCATAGCGGAATCTTACAACTCAGAACTGAAAATGTCACAGAGTTGTTCGATGTCTAACAAAGGTACAGATTCTATACTAACCGACTACCTCTACCACGAGTACAATACCGCCGTGTTGACTGCCAAAGTCAGCTGTTGCGAATATCCGGCAGTAGGGAACATCCCGTATATCTGGAGAGATATATTGGCACCTTTGATGAGGGTCCTTGCCAGTACTTTGACAGGTAAGAACAAGGACTGCACAATAATCATATACTACTCTGTTTCGCCCCAAACCAAGATGTTCTTTAAACCTAGGGTTAGTGAGTCTTCTAGTTTGGCCCACACGTTATTCCGGGAATATCGTTATGTAGTGGGTTTTCCTAAAGTATGTTAAGGATAAAATGAAAACTGTTGGTGTTTCACATTGAATTCGATTTTTTCCTCAGGTGTAGAAGGTGTGGTTAAGAACAATCTTGGTGAACCAATGCTGAACGCGAGCGTAACAGTTTCTGGCATCGACCAGCCCTACGAAGTTACCAAGAAGATTGCTCATTTCAAACTTATGCTGCCTCCGGGCAATTACAATTTGGAAATCAGCTGTCATGATTATCAAACCAAGGTTCGTTTCATGTTATGATATTTGATCAGGGATGCTTCAGGAATTGCTCTAGTTACTGTATATAGATTGATGACTGATGTGCCTATGACAGAAATAAATCATTTATCACAATGTGAGAGGTACAAAATGGTGTTCACCTCGGACAAAAATTTAGGAAAAAATTCTAGGCACATGACCATTTTGGATTTTCGAATATATATTGCGATTTGCAGGTGATTCACATCTCTGTGACAGAAGGAAATCTTTTGTCATTGGATGTGGTTCTAGAAGCGAATGATTTCGGCTTAGAGGTTTATCCAGGAACCATAGTGAAGACAGACCCAGAGATTATTGTGACAAATGATGACAGTATGCACAAACCATTTGCTGGGGATATTCCTACTGGAATTAGAGGTATGTATAACAATAATTTCCATATGCCAAAAAAGATGAATTTTGTTTTTGTTTCTACAGGTTACATCCAGGATTATTCGGGTCATCCTATTCCGACAGCGACGATAACGGTGCTCGAGAAAAATGTAACTGTATTTTCTGACAAAAGTGGTAAATATGGTGTACAGCTACCACCCGGTGACTATACTATCAAAGTCAAGGCTTCCGGGTACCATCCCAACGTCAAACTTGTTACTCTCAATAAGATCAACCAGTTTCCCAAGGTCGTTATGGTCCAGCTCAAGAAAGATACCAACTTTTTCGGTGTTCCCAGGCTGGCATTCGTGTTATTAACAGGTAAAACCATAAATAATAATTATTAATGAATAATAAAATACTATCTCATTGCCGGCGAACAAATTCACAAGCGTTGTCTATTCAATGTCTCAATTCTTTCACAAACGGCCCCAAAGAAAGAAATCGCCAGGATTTAGGTCCGGGAAGCGTGCAGGTCAATGAAATGGCCCATTAAGCCACCTTTGTTTCGCAAACTTCTCGTTTAAAATGTTTGAAATCTGTTGGAGCTCCATCGTGTAGAAACTACATTGCCTAGCTCTCTTACATTCACTGTCAAATCTTCGAGTAATTCAGGCAAATTGTTTTGTGAAAATTCTGAATAATTTTCACCTGACATTCAGGGTGGCAGGACATCATATTTTATTCGATAAAATATAATTTTCTTCCGGTAAGCATGTGAGTGAAGGTCGACCTTACTTGAGATCTTAGACTATAAGAGGGACAATTTTGAGACAATTGCTTTTTTATATCTAATTGAGGATATTGCCAATTATATATTTAAGAACTTATGAATTATTGAATGAATAATATTTCTGAAGTTCCCATTCGTATTTGAACACATAGCAATTTCGCGATGGTTTGCCCCTATACTTACGAAATCTTGACGTCAGTTCTTATTGGCGGTAGATCCCTAGCCGTTTGAAAATCACCGTGACAATATTGATGATTTTAGCACTTTCAAAACGACCGAAAAAATCTGAGAAAATGTGGGATTGAAAGGTAATTGAGTGATGATTCTATTTAAAAATTTTAAAAAATTGTCTACTAGCCCATTCCTTGTGTTGGATGATATCTTAACGGAAACTGCAGCTGCTGCACTTGGGCGACACTCACCATAAATCGAAAGCATGTCAACAAGTCAATTATTTTCGTAAACGAGTGCCATTGTTCAATAATTCACGAAAAAAGCAATTGAGAAAAGGCATCCGATGACTTGCGCAGGACAAAAAAGCTATATACTGTGTAGTAACTGTAGTAGTAGGAGGGAGGGGGAGGAATCAGTCGGATAATCACCATATAAAGATTCTTACGGCCAGGATCGTAATAAAATTCTTTCAGAATTCATTACATGTTCGATCGATCATTTCTTCTTTTTTAGTCAACTTTTATCGCGGCGATAATGATAGTGAATCTTTGTGTTTCAATTAATTCTACATCCTCGTGAAAAAGTGCCTCGCCTTTGGAAACACTCTGTATATCATAATCGAATCTTTTTTCGAAACCAATGAGCTCATTATTGAGTATCTCAATTTTCTGTTTGTTAATGTTTCAGGTTTTATTTGTGCCGGTGCACTTGGTTTGGGCACAGTTTGCTACATGACATGCAAGAGGAAAAGCGAATACGGTTTAGTATCGCAACATAGTTTCTACGAAGATTACGAGTATGATTTCAAAAACGATTCGAAAGAAAAAGAACTGTTCAGAACACCGTTAGGTAAGAAACTTTATGGAATAATTTATCGACTGTATTATTAGAATATGATACAATAGAAATATCGGTCAATTCAGTCACTCGCGGGTTACAAATAGGTAAACTACTTTTTTGAATTATCCGATTTTTTATCCATTCGCATTTCTGTTCCTTCCTATTTATGTGGAATTGTCGATAAAATCGTATAGAAAAGTTACGTCACCTCTCTAGGGCTGAAAAGTTACCTTTCCGCAGGATTTTTGTATTGTTGAAAATGAGGATATTTAGGACTAACTACTTATTTCCGCACGTCTTAGGTAAATAACTATATCGCTATGCCAAGCTTCCGAAAATTTTTATTTTCTCTTTCAAGGATGCGATGTGAGTTCAAATATAAAAGGACTAATATTGAGTATTAAGAATATAGATTTTGCAGACGTAAAATCCTGTGTTTTAGGCAAACCCCTAACAAGGCCTTACTATGACGATGAAGACGAGGATGAGGATGACGATAATGCCGATTATCAAGCAGTAGACCATTTCAGCGACTCGGATGAAGATGTCATTTTGATAAATGGGAAGAAGTGAATGGATTTGTGTAACGATTCGTTTGAATAGCATTCCGCTAATTTGACATTCCTATAATGCATTTATATAATTCAAATCAACAAATTTGTCTATGAGAAAGTGAGACGGAAAATAATAAGTTGAGAATGAGAAAAGGCACTGAAGTGTGACAGCTAGAAACTGTGATCATATTTCAATGTTTGGCAGACTTTTACTTTTTATAATCAAGGCAGTGACTTCAACTAAACGTAATATATTTCTGAGCAGATGAAAAAATATTCATTAGAACATAAATCGACCTTTCATTGGTATTAAAATCTCCTCTTGTGCAGGGCACAACCAATTTTATTAGATAAGAATATTTTTTTTGATAATATCAACGTGATTTTATAGTTTTTGAAACATTTTTCTCTATTTAATTTTAGGTGTTAAGCGATAAGGTGATAAATTGTTTCTTCCATATTTTTTTGATGACAAATAGGTAATTTATTTCTATTCATGAATTCCAGAATTTTTTATGAAGTGAGCAGTGTGCCCAAAAAGAGAAGATTAATTATTTATGTAAAAACTTCACAAAAGTCCAGCTCTTTATTTCCGATCCTTTATACTCTCAACATGGACACACTGCATCACTTTTCAAGATTCAGTCTTCGACATTATCTGAAGAGAATATTGTACTAATGTATTTAATAAATATTTCTATTTTCTAGCTGTAAGTGTCAATTTAATCTCGGATTGATGACTCACCCCCACAGATCTCTGATAAAATTAGTTTTCGACTAAAGAAACCAAGGTGAAAAAACAAACATATATACACCGTGTCCCAGCTAAAATGACTTGAAATTTGGTCACCCAGTATATGTGATGATTCTCATTCGAAATATTCTATTGAATAAATCGTAGGTATGCAGGGTCACACTGAAGTGTACCTCAACTTTCTTATTTGAATAGGAACACCCAGTATAAATATTCCATATTAAAGTAGAGTTCATTATTACAAATTCAACAGTGTCGGGTTTGATGGGATTTTTTCAAACAACCACGAAGATATAAAAAATGTATATTATTAGATTTTATCAATATAACACAATTATAATCGTAAAGTGTCCTGCACATAACTACAGACCCGTAAAGGATTATCTTCGCCATCAGTTTGGAGGAAATCTAATAACCATGTCTCGATAGTGAAAGCAAACTGGCCAGCTCGGTGGCCAGACCTAACCTCACTTGATTTTTATTCGTGGGGCTACTCGAAACAACAGGTTTATGAGTCGCCAATTGTGAATATGGAAGAAATGAAAAAGAAAAACACAATTTTATGCTCACAAATTGATCGAAACGTGATACATAGGGTCACAATGAACGTTATCAAAAGAGCTAGGAGATGTTTGCAGCAAAATGAACGACATATTGAGCAGTTGAGGTTCTAATTATTTTTCTTCATTCGATTTCAATCGAGTTATATTAACAAAATCTAATTATATAATTTTTTTATTGAATCGTTCTATTTTTTGCCATATCTTCGTAGTCGTTTGGAAAAATCCCATCAAACACGGCATTGTTCAATTTGTAATAATGAAGTCTTCTTGAATATGGAATAATATACCAGATGTCCCTATTCAAATAGGAAAGTTTAGGGGCACTTCGGTCTGACCCTGTATACTAAATATACTGGGTTACCAAATTTCAAGTCATTTGATCGCGCGGTTGATTTTTTACAGGGGGGGACATTTTAGCCTGGACACAGTATATATATATATATATATATATATATATATATATATATATATATTATGAAAAATACTGGAAAAAAGAAAGGTGCTGAAAGAAAGCTTTCACAGAATCTGAATTTTATTTATAAATTAGCCTGATACTGAACATTTCGTTCTCAATCATGGAATACAACGACGAATGCATTATAAAATCTAATACAGTGAAATATGGTGAAAGAAAACAGAGAGATAAACAACATCATTGTCAAAATTCGACATTTTAGGTTAGGTAGGTTCTTGAACTGAAAATTTGAAGCATTTAGTTCACCATCCTGATCATTTGAACTTACTCATTAATCGTTTTATTATTTCACAGAGACAATATACGAAATAGGAAATATCATAGGAAATATCGTCATGAGTGAAATAAATTTGATTCCATATGAATATTTGTTGGGTAAATTTGATGGCGTGCTTCGATATCTTTGGTTACAGATTAAAATTCCAGGATAGTGGCACTAACAATTTTTATGTTACTAATCAAGCACCTGCTTTGACTCTCAAAATTATCATCCATAATTATTGATGAACAATTCGACTATGTGGATCATCACCTTATTTTCAAAAAGTGATCAGTCCAAACGACATTCATCAAAACCAACACTCCCATGCACACCCCGTAGATTAAAACAGCCCCCCACCACAAATACGACTCCCTCTTGGTAGCGTTGAAGTTTCTCAGCACCCAAATGCCGACCAGAAGCCCTGCCAAGGCCCCGGCCAAATGGGCCGTGTACCCTATATTTTGGTTCGTGTCTAGCCAGTACCGGTTATAGATGGTGCTTCCGACGTCTAGAGTACATAGGATGATGAAGAAGAGGAGTTGGAAGTGTGGAAAAGACATGTCCTTCCAGTTCTGAGGAGAAAAGTTGGTAAATGAGCTCGTTCTAGCAACAGGTACTTGTTGAAACGTTGAAAATTTCTTTAAAATTCGTTAACGAACCTTAAACCTTACGGGATTTCGCCTCACTCAAATGTATTGCTTATCGCCTATATTGACTATGTGTGGTAGAATCGCCAATTTTAAATGAAGATGAAGAGGGCAACATATCTTCATCTCTCAGAGAGGCCAAGATATATACTGCGCATGTCAGCACTTCACAGTTGAGTAATGAGGGAATTTTCAAATCATTTTGCTACAATCACTCAATTCCACTCCATTTTGTGGATCAATATTAAGAGCACTGAGGACTGAGGTAGTTAATGATATCATATTCGAAAGATTATTGCAAATTTTATGTCACGAAGTAGATAATTTATTGAAATCATGTCGAAGAATAATTTGATTCGAATACATTGAAACAGAAGGAATCAGTTTGAACGAAATCACTATTCATTGAAAAAGCAAATCAACTGAGTAGGTACATTTAGAATAAACGTCACTAATAAACACAGAAGAAGAAACACTCGAAGACGTTTTTCAGCTCTGTTGTCGATATAATCATCTAGAATGAGATGCTTTATCAGAGACGAACACCTCACATTCTTTTAGTCTACAGAAGTCAATCCACTGCGTCTTAGTAGTCTGGTCTTCAGAAGTACTACAAAAACCTTCTTACCTATGAAACAATTTGTTTTTTCCACTGGCAGAATAATAGGTTTTGTCAATGAGAATACCGTTAACCGTTCTAGCCTATGGTTCTAATAGTGGAAGTCAATTTTGGTTTTAGAAACAAATACTTTCTCGATAGGTATATCATTCAAGTGTCATAAGATGACCTTCGATTTTTGAAATTGTCATGGCAAGCGCATGCGTCGATATAACTTCCGCCATAGTAAAGGATGCGAATATATTCTTTATCTTCTACAATGTTGGCGAGTTTCTAGATTTACTTTTAACAATCCATATGGGCGAAGCCAGATCCTTTGTGGTCTAGGGTGAACGCACATATTGAACTCACCATCAAGATGGCGGCGATGTGGGCGGTGACAAGGGCATAAACGCCCCCGCTGGCTCCGGCCAAGAACACTCCTGGATCTGCCACCGAAGTTCCCAGTGAGCCGGCAATCACCCCCGCGAAATAAACTATTAACACCCTCCACCAATGGTGCACCATCTCTAGGGGGACACCTAGCGCCAACTGGACGAAAAGATTCATCGCCAAGTGCATGTACCTGCAATCAAAAATGAATAACAGCGTGTGAAAATGGTGGTTTTGCGATGAGAGCCCCACGTTGGGTGCCAAATCAGAAGACGCCCCACGTTGGGTGCCATATCAAAAGATGCCCCAAGTTGGGCGCCAAATCAGAAGAAACCCCATGGATGGCAAATCTAAAAGTTCCTCGAATTCTCACGATTTATTTAATTTGCAAACATATAGATTTGAGAGTAAACCAAGAAAAAAATCTCTCAAGGATGTAGGGCTTTGTAAGACAGGGTTCATAAAAATCTGTAAAAGCAGATTGTGATATTCCTTCTTGGACATCTAGGTTCGAGTTAATGAATTATGTTCAGGAGTACAAGAACGAACAACAGAAAAATAGTTCACATTTGATTGATTTATCAAGGAACTAATCACAATTGTTTATGTTTATTTCAGAGTTCAATATAAACAGCCAGTTCAAGATCGTTGCAAAATAGTTGAACAGCAAACTATAGGAAACCTTAGGAATTTAATAACAATTTCATCTGAAGAAAAAAATGGTTTGCTGTTTTCGAAAAAGTATTCTCTTGAAACTGAACAAAAAATCTTGATGGAGAACTTACGTTATTGATTGCCGAATAAGTATATGCATCACGTTGGATGCCAAATTATAGATGATACCCAACTTCGGGTACCAAATCATTGTGTTAATTCTGAAAAGAACAAAAAATTGTCGATATGTCGATTGTTATCAGAGATTACTCCAACAACCCATCATTGAATCCCAAATTGATGTATAAATCTGATCATTTCGAATAATCATCATCATCATCAAAATATCAAGCTATTTGAGAACAAACGCCCCACATTGGGCGCCAATAAGTTATACTCAACTACTCTAGTGCTCTCTTACCCTATGTGAACGAACATGTAGGTGAAAAACCGCCAGCATTCCTCCCTGTGATAAGGATTGTAAATGAACATTTTGGCCGTGACACCGGAATTGTTGAGCGTAGAATCTTTCTCGGTGGCTTCGTCCATGACGTAACAAGCCAGCTCGAAGGCAGAAATGACCACCATGGCGATCGGTGGAGGGCAGCAAGTGTAACTTTCTTCATAAACACCGTCTATCTCAACCTTATCTGAATCGTTTTGACGTCGTTGTGGAAGAACATTTCGTATGTAGCTAGGAATTCGAAAAATTATTTTATTTCACGTTGGGCGCCAAATTATATTATGCTGTATGTACAGGGTGATTCACCATAAATATCCCCCCATCTAGCTCAGGTAGTTTTTGAACAATCGCAAAATTTGAGGCATCTTCTGAAATAATTTTTGATAAAATTTCTTTCCGCTACTACAGAAAATACAGGGTGCTCGGAACAAACGATTTACAGGGTACTAGTTGATTTTTTCAAATGAAACATCCTGTATTTCATTGCATTCCTAGATTCTCCCTGAAGAACTGATCTCATCAATGTATGTTGTTTTTGTTGTGAATTCTTACAGAGATATAGGGTGTTCAAAATCGAGATTTTTCAACTCAAGGATTTTTTTCTGTTGAAGCTATTCATTGAACCACCCTGTAGTGTTTCGATTAAATGTCAATAGACTGAAATCAAAGGTTGAGATAGGGACATATGACTCGTTTTGACCAATAATGAATAATTTGACACAAAGTTGAAAAATCTAGATTTTAAACTCGGCCTATACCTCCGTAATTATTCCCGCCAGACCTCAAGTGTGATGCATTGATGAAATCAGCTCTTCAGGGAGAATATAAAAATGGAATGAAATACAGGGTGTCCCATTTCAAATATTCAACTAGTACCCTGTAGATCGTCTGTTCCGAGCACCCTGTATTTTCTGATGTAGCGGAAAAAACTTATTGAAAGATCATTTAAAATTTTGCGATCGGTTAAAAAATAACTGAGCTAGAGGGGGGGGGGGACATTTAAGGTGAATCAGCTTGTACGTTGGGTACCAACGTTGTGTCCGAATTCATGAGGTATCGTTCTCGAATATAATTTTTAAAATGTCAAAAAGTAAAAAAAATGTTTTTAAGGTTATCATTGATTTTATTTTACAAATTATCGAAGTTGTACTGAATAGAGAAAATCTCAATGAAATATATCTATATCAATATCTATAATGTTTCACTCATTTTATGAGATATGGAATAGGTAGTTAGTGAATTATTACTTGATGAAATATAGTAGTGCCTGATTTACCACATATATCTCACGTTAGTTGCCAAATGAGTAAGATTTTCCCACGTTGGGCGCCACATTCATATTTTTTTATTTTCAAATGATGGGACTTTCCGGATCAAAATTTTTGGAAAAAAATGACATGACTCACATGTTCATGTAGTTTTGGAAAAGTCCTTTGTAATGCTTGCTGGTGATCATAGATAAGAATTCGTCGAAATCAATCTGTCCATCTTTGTTCTGGTCGGCAGCTTTGTATATCTTCTCGACGAGCTGTTCTGGAATGTCATCGTCATGGATGATCAGCTCTTTGAGCTCTTTCAGCTCTATGATACCAGAGTGATTTTTGTCGTACTGAGAAAACGGAAACATTAAAAAAAAACATTATACCAATCCTGAAGATAATGAAAAAAGAAAGCAAAAGCTGGTGTGAGGACGAAAATGAAGACAATATGTACACCTACCATTACCAATAATAGGAACAAAAAATTCCAACAATTTGTAAATTTTTCGACTGGTTTCTTGCGGATACGTCTCAATCGAATTATGAAAAAAATAGACCGTTGTATATATAACCGCCATAAATCCATTTTATTTTAATATTATCAAGCTACTTGTGACCTCAGCAGGGCATTCGACTGTGTAGATCACGACAAATTGCTGTTGAAACTACATAATAATTATGGAGTACAATGCTCAGCAGACAAATAGATAGAAACTTTTCTCAGGAATCGCCATCAGTACTTCAGTATTACAAACATCAAACGTGATATAAAATACTCAGCAGTTGACATTTCCCTTCGAGTACCACAGGGTTCAGTGTTAGGACCCGTTCTATTTATTTCATATATAAATTACTTCAACATGTCAATATATGATATTTCCCCTACCATATACGCTGATGATACATCAGTGATTGTATCCCGAAAAAATGATATTTTACTGCAAAAAGCTATGTAGTGATATTTTCCAAAAGTTGAATATGTGAATCTCAGCTAATTCTCTGTATTTTAATTCTGAAAACACACACTTTTTTAAATTTTGTAATTACCAAAAGTCTTGCCCAGAACTGAATATCGAAATTAGTGACAATCAAATGGCTCAAAATTGTACAAGTGTTAAATTTCTAGGTATCCATTTTGACAGTGTGTTAAGTTGGAAAACTCACTGTGATAAGTTTGTTCAAAATCTCAATTCTCAGAATTATTTATTCAGAAACTCAAGGACAGTCTTGAAAACAGATTAAACACTCAATATTTACTATGAACAGGTGGAATCACGGCTGAGATATGTGTTTGTGGGGTTGGTCCTCCACACGTGCAAATAACATTTTTCTTGTACAAAAACGAATTATAAGAATTATTTCTGGTGTTTCGAAAAAGCATAGTTGTAGGGATCTACTCATGAAATTGAATATTCTAACATTATATCTTTACTTTATATATTTGAATTATGCAGTTATATCTTCAAAAATAGAGAACAATTTATCAAAAGATCAGAAATTCATGATAAAAACAATAGGTACAAAGATAATTTTCATTCCGCAAACTATAGACATTTAATCTCATATCGATCTCCTGATAGCTGATAGTGCTGCTCTGATTTTTTTCAATAGGCTACCTAATAAACTAAAATATTGTTCTACTCTCCCAAACTTCAGGAGAAAGTTGAAATGGTTTCTTATTGATAAATATGTCGTTATTCAGACAATGATTTTTTCAACGTGTGATTTTATTCAACCAGTTGGGATTGTGACAGTTGCATACTTTATATATGTATATTATTGTGTATATCTGTGATGGTTTTCTTTTCAACCTACTCTACTACTAATGTGATGACTATTATTCCTATACAAATGTATTTGTCATAAAGAAAAATAAAGTATATATTATTATTATATTTTTATTATTATTTGTGGAAAGAGCCGTTGAATTTTATGTTTATCAAAAGGCACTTGTCCGAATTCAATTGATACATTCAGAATAATTTGTGTAGGGAAAATTACGCCATCGGCATTTCTATTAATGACAACCCAATTTCAGCACCATATTGAATATAACGCACGCACTGTATACAAATCCTATGTGTAATATAGTTATTTGAAATTCATCCTTTTTTTTATCGCTGACGTCATAACTCAAACGTGGATTTTACCCTGTATATCTAATTTTTCCATATTCAATGTATCAAATTGAGGATTAAAAACGACTTGTTTCAGTTCCTCAGAAATGAATAATTTGGCTAAAAATGAATTTATTCAGTACTTTTTACAAAAGCACTTAATTTTAAGGACTCCACTATATAGAAACTCTTTAAATGATATATTTCTGAATTCAGATTTTCATGGAGATTCCAAAAATGGGATAATATAGGGTGTTCCATTTGAAAAAATTGTCGCGGACGTCATAGCTCGTACATGGATCACCCTGTATATTCAATTTTTCCTCAAAAATATGGCGAATTGATAATCAAAATCGACCTGTTTCAGGAGATTTCTCATGAATGGATAGTTTGGCTAAAAATGTATTTATTCAGTACTTTACCAAACCACTGAATTTCTTTCATGGAAATACTGATTTTATTCCACACAGTATAAATGAGATGATGACTAATAATAAAAACTCACCTTGTCAAAAATGCTCCGGTAGTATTGATGTTTTCTATCTTCTCCGGTTAGCGGAGAAAGTTCAAGATCAACTACTTCATTTTCATTTCTCATTATAGCACTTTTATGTAGAACACACTAACTAATTACATCAATTTACATTCTCTCACAAACTGAAATTATTTCAAACGTGACGATTTTGGTCAAAAGTTAACCACATCAGAATCAGTAGGTACATAATATTAAATAAATAAATGATCAATCACGGTAACGCTTTCATAAAACGCGAATTTGAATTGAAATATACGCGAAACCCAACTCGACTAGAGATTAGATAAATAATTCTTTTGTGGGCCACTCCGCGTTATCATACGATATGAATCATCACAATACAACACAAAAACCATAGTGTCTGTGTCCTATAATATTTCATGGTCTTCACAAATTTAGAAATAGATTCTTGACATTCCATTTCATTGGAAATATTATCTGTCCAATATAATACAGTATGATGCAAATGTTTGGAATAAATTCATTATTTCAAAAATGGGCGACATTTGAAAAATCCCAAAAACACGTGAGTTTTAATTTCTGAAGCCTCATCTCATGATATTTATATGAGAGATGTTGGAGTAAAGGTGAAAGGTCTACCGATCGTCTATTCAACAGTCAAAATGTTGCATAAGAAGATTGAAATTAAAATGGATTATCATGTGATTAATTGAATCTTGCAGAGGTCTGCTACTGAGAATTGAAAATACGTCGAAAAAAAAGTTCTAAACTCTAGTTTTTGGTTTTTTTTTTCGAAAGTCGTCTTGTTTTGAAATGAATTTATTCCATACATTTGCATCATACTGTATACAGGGTGTCCGCTAAAAGGAGGTCAATCCATTAACCATATTTTATATTCCTTGAACAAAAATAATATGAGTTTCTAAATACCATTTTTCATTTTAGCCCTCCATATTCGATATACAGGGTGTCAAAGTTGGAAATTAAAAACTGTTTTTTTTTAATTACTCGCGTAATTCATAAGATATTAATCTCAAAATTAGTACATTACTTCAGCACAAAGAGTTACATCGTGTGAGGAAGACAAAACAGAAAATAACTGTCAAATATTCAAAATACTGGGGGTCAAGTACACACTTACCCCCATATTTTTCTTGTTCGTGCGCTAATGACTTCTTATCTATTTTTCTTCAAGTGTACAATCATTTTTGAGTATTTTTAGATTTTTGTAAAATTCCGATAAAATTATTTGTTTTTAAGATAATTCGAAAAGTACTGGTTATTATTTCATGCCTCGCGGCTTACGGTAATCTCATAATGTTCACATACTCCTATTTATTTCGTCGAAATTGGAAGAGGGCGTATCTTTTTACGTATGAAAAGGTAAATATGGAAATACCGGGTGCTCAGAGCAAATGTACTAAAATAATTTTTACAGAAAAAAAAATTGAAAAATTGTAAAAATTATTTTAATACATTCGCTCTGAGCACCCGGTATTTCCATATTTACCTTTTCGTACGTAAAAAGATACGCCCTCTTCCAATTTCGACGAAATAAATAGGAGTATGTGAACATTATGAGATTACCGTAAGACGCATAGGCATCAAACAATAACCAGTACTTTTCAAATTATCTTAAAAACAAATGATTTAATCGAAATTTTACAAGAAACACAAATTACTCAAAAATGATTGAACACTTGAAGGAAAATAGATAGGAAGTCATTAGCGCACGTACAAAAAAAATATGGGAGTAAGTGTGTACTTGACCCCCAGTATTTTGAATATTTGACAGTAATTTTCTGTTATGTTTTCCTCACACGATGTAACTCTTTGTGCTGAAGTAATGTACCAATTTTGAGATTGATATCTTATCAAATACGCGAGTAATTAGAAAAAAACAGTTTTTAATTTCCAACTTTGACACCCTGTATATCGAATATGATGGGCTAAAATGAAAACTGGTATTTAGAAACTCATATTGTTTTTGTTCAAGGAATATGTGGTTAATGGATTGACCTCCTTTTAGCGGACACCCTGTATATTAATGATTATTCATACCGGTCCAAATTCGTAACGAATCGCACGACTAATATAGCTGAGATATGATAGGGGAGCCGTTAAAAGTGAGACACACGGTATGACCCAATGTATGACATTCATAATTATTTCATGGAAGTTGATTTTATTGGTGATCCATTGCACTATTATTACGTAGTTTCACCACGTTTTTCCCGCCAGTCGCCCAAACAAATGTTCTTCTTTTCTCGCCTCTGTATAAAATATGATTACTTGTCAATTCAGAATAGAATAGATATTTTTTACTGCAAACCAATAGACATCAAAAGGGTTACTCTATCATAATATGTATTTTTTATTGTTGTTTCAACACTGTTTGTAGCGCTGCGTGTATGAACTTTTTTCTCACCGTAGTTTTTTTCAGTTCATATACACTGAGAAAAACTGGTTAATTAAAACGTCTAGTTGGTATTTTTTTAGTACCGATAATTAAAAATATTTGGAATTTCATTAACAATGACAACGTATCCTTATTTCCTACAAATGACTTTTCTATTTTTCGCCAATTATTTGTCATCAATAAAAATACTATTTGTGACAGAATTATCACAGTGTTGTCTATTCAGTCAATTAAAATTTCATATTGGGGTTAAAAAACCTCATTCTGGGGTTACTAACAACAGCTTACTATTTGCCACAACTGATGACACATTTATCGTAAAAGGTTTATTATTATTCATAGCAGAAATTGTTTAGCCATAACTAATAATTTTAGTTGTACAGCGTCGTTCGGGACCACCTCGCGTCTCTTCGGGACCCACCGGCAAAAATTGCATCTTGCATCTGTTTGTCTTTCTGTTTCATCATTTGAACTTGTATCTTAATAGTGGGTAGATCGCACGGTCGTCGAGCTTAGACAAAATAAATAAAATAATTGTCTAGTGTAGCCGGGAGCGTCGTGTTCTTGCTGGTTCACTGCTCTGTGTGTTTTCGAATCACTGTTTTGTGTTTTTTTGCACTTTGCGCTGAGCCATTTGGCATTTGGTTGGCAAAATAATAATTCGCAGTTTACCATCGTTATCTGTGCGTCACTAGTTATCAGGTTTAGGTACCTATTCACAATTCAGTTCTGTTTACGACGGGCGACGGTGAGAAACGTCCATCCGACGTCACGTGTACACGGTGTATATTTATAATTCCCTCTCTTTTTGCTGAGCTCTGGCCTGTGGCACTTACGGTGTGTGGTGTATTCCTGTTCACGATTCCATTGGAAATTGGAAGGAAAATGGCATACAAACTGTTATCATTAGAATGGGGCCTTGATTTTAATTGATATAAAACTATTAAGTTGCCAGAATAAGTAAATTATATTTCAAACGTTACTAAATCACTTTTAATAGTAACTAGATTCCATTTCTGTCACAATTAAAAATTTAATTTGCAACAACACACTCACTATTAACGTCAGAAGAAATGAGTAATTGCCCCAACTGGGATAATTTGTTGTGATAACAAACATATATTAAAACAGTACTAACAATCTAGTTGTCATAACTATGTATCTTGATTGTGGCAAATAAAACTTGGTATTATTCCTTAAAAAGGCTTATTAGTTACCACAACAACGTCGTAGATGACTCAACTAAACTTTTCATTTGTGGCAAATAGGCGTTTCCAGAAAAACAGAATTAGTTATGGCAACAACTAACGCTTGCTGTCCCCTATCGTACTAAAAAATGTTTCTGTAGTTACTAATTTTTTAGTAACGGCTACAAATTTTTTCCCTCAGTGTAGGTACACATCGTTACGCAGTGTATTATTTATTTTATTTTTCCATGCATATTTCCTTCTCTGTATTGTATTTTGATACAATTTCCATACAGATTTTAAACAAATAAACTTGTTATTCACCCATTCTGTAATAGACATCGGCTGTTGAAATGGTGTACTGCTAAAATAATAATAATAAAAAATACCATGAAAATTCATGGTAAATGAATAAAGATTTCTGTTCGTGTACGCTGTAGTCGAACAATATTCTGAAATTATTAAAGTACTGTATGATCTAAGGTGGGAATATACTGAATGTGGGCATACTGGGAATATTTCGAATCTGAGTTTGATGAAAATCAATTGAAAGTGGGCATGGTTAGAATCATTGAGAAGTGGGTCTGGTAAGAATTGTGAAAATGCATATAGTGGCCATGCTGGAAAAACATTGAACGTGGGCCAGATGAAAATCTATTGAATGTGGGCATGGTGAGAATCTTTGAAAGGTGGGCATGGTGAGACTTAAACATTGACCCGGAACTCTTATATCCAGTCTGTTCCGTTTTTAATAACCACTATGCTGATTTCCTTCGAAAATTAACTGTTTCAGTATACATTTGTCACCCATTTAGAAAAATTCTACCGATGGAGAATCGAAAAACATTTAAAAAAGTTAGGTGGGAAACACTACCTTGTATAATGAATCTGTCAACATACGAAAAGGAATTCCCTGTATACTTTTCTGTATGTATAAGAGTTATAAATAAAAAGTATCATTAAATAGAAACAATGAAGTTTGCTATGGCATTACGTCTCATTATTTTTATAAATAGAAAATAAGTAATTTGATTCATAAGATTCCCAGGATATGATCTTAGCAAAGTCAGCCCGATCAAAATCTTATCGCAATAATTAATCCAGTGTTAGATATTGAATCATATATATCATCAGAGGAACACCTATACCTATATATGGGTTTATTAGTTACCTACCTATATCTTATCTATAACCGGTGACCAGAAATTCATAGATGTTCCATCATTCGATCATTCGCGATAGACATCTACCTATTCATTTCATAGCGTTGTGAAACTCCACTGAAAAATTCGAGAAATGGACGGAGACCACGAAAATATTCCTTTGCAAGATCTGGCTAGACGAAATCAAAAATATCGGTCTATTTTTGAACAGGTGAGATGTTCAGTTAGCTTTTACCTATATCGTTCCGCAAAATTATTTATCAGGTAATAATAAAAACTTGTTTTAAGGAGGGGTTTACCCTCTGAAAAAGGTCAATCTTTATCTAAGGTGTAAAGGGGGAAGTAAAAATCCTGTCCGAAGGAGGCGGGGCCCGATAACGAAGGAAGTCGTCTAGTGTCTCACTCCAACTCATTCTAGCGTAAAATATTTCAACATTTATAGTAAAAGCGGCCTTGAGTATTACCCCTATGCATCTGCGGTCGCCGAATTCTCCGAATACCCACAGGCACAGCGTACAAGTTGTGCTTTAGGCAATATACATCTAGTGTAGAGAAAGATATAGGACCTTCACCACCTTGAATATATATGATTATTACATAATATTCCAGCTTGACTACTTTTTGCTATGGTACCGAAAAAAAGTTATAGGCGACCAAACTCGAAAATTTAAGAAAAAAATAACTTTGCGCGTAAATATATAAACCTTTGTAACTTCGCAATTATAACACTTATATACGTAGTCTTTTCATAATTTGATCAAGCATATTCTGGAGATTCGATTCATATATAATATGTTGGGAAATTGAATTATTTTTCGATCCAAAATGTATCATTTTGTACAGAATTCGCGAAAAAATTTCCATTGTCATCTCTTCAGTTTATCATAACTTTTTAGTTCACGATATGAATTTCGATTTTTATGATATCTTTCGATAGATTGAAATGTAAGCAACAAATTTTTTCCTATAAACTTTTCGCACGTTTCAAAAATGAACTTTGTAGAAGCATTTATTGTCTAATGCGTAAGAGGCCATCCGAGCGCACGAGTGAGAACGATACAGCGGCGTTTACGTGCTCTAGACAAGAACAAACAGTAAAGATTCGGGGAGGATAACTGTCTCATTTGGGAATGGAGAAAGGAGCGTTCTTCTAAATAACTTCAGTTCATGAATATGGTCCCAAAATAATTCACTTCAAAGGCAACGAAGTGAAAATGGTAAAGAAAAATACCAAGAAGATACCTATTGGGAGATGCTAGAATTTTCCAAACATGAGTCCCAAGAAAAATTGATCAACATTATACAGCTGGAAAAACTATAGTATACCAATATGGTATATTTATGATAAAAAACTTTTTCAGAGTCTTTGAGAGGAATGTGTGATAAATTTTAGTTAGATTCAATGTTTTATATTAAAATTGACATTCTTAGCGAGCAAATATGTAAATTTATCGATATAAATCTATTATATTCATCATATCTGTGGATGGAGCTCTTGATATTATTTCATCTTCGTTCCGCACTCATGCACCAGTATCTATCGCACTCTGTCTCACTCACTGTGCATGACCTATCTAAAGTTGTACGTTATCACTCAAAGCGCTATAAAAAGTTTATTTTTGAAACGTGCGAAAAGTTTATACGAAACAAATTGTTCATTACACTTCAATCTATCTAGATGGGAGATAAGAATTGAAATTCATATCGTGACAAAGAAAGTTATTATCAATTGAAGAGGTGTTAATGCTAAATTACCTCGTAAATTACTCATGTGATGCGTGACAAAAAAATTATTTTCACATATAAAAAACTCAATTTTGCCAGTTTATATACCATGGATCAAATCCGATCGAATCTTCATCATATCCTCAACAAAATGATGAGAAGTTGAGGCATCTAAGTTATGTAGTCTCCAAGTTACAAAGGTTTATACATTTACATGCGAAGTAGATTTTTTTTTGTAATTTTTGAGTTTGTTCGTTTACTTTTTTTCGGTACCATGGAAAAAAGTAGTCAATTGTTTCTAGATAGGATAGTGAGGGTCTGATATCTTTCTACTTCCAAAATTTTCTTTGATTACTTTCACCTTGTGTCCCGCTACACTATGAGGAGGACATGTTTTCACGTAAAAATCACCTTGCTCGTTTCATCCCCTTTGCCTTCACTGATGCCAGCCGCCAGCCCCTCAAAAATGTTAAATGACATTGTAGGGGTGAGAAGTTTTCAAAGAAATATACCCGATATACCCTATATGAGCATAAATTAGTGGTATGTATCAACTCAACTGCAAAAATATAATTCGAAAGTACGAATCTGAATAATAGAAAGGCAGCAAAAACAGTTCAAGATAGGGATTTTTTTACAGAAAAATACTGCTATTCGAATAACTTGCACTCACCTATACATGATTAAATTTATTGATTGACGACAAATGCAAATGGAATATCAAAATGCATTGTTACAGGAGAAGAAAAATAACTATTACATGAGTGGAATTTTTTGGTTTGTATAAGCAGAATTTATATTGTGTAATAAACAACGCCATATACAGGGTGTCTCAGGTTTTACTCGTCTAACTTTGACAATCGATAGCAAAACTCAAAATACTAGATACGTATTTTTCTGTTTTGTCATGGAGAAACATGTTTTAATTATACGGGGTGTTAAGGATCGCATACATTTTTGGTTTTTAATTTCTGTCTCACTTGAAACAAAACCTAGCGATCTGAAATTCGGTGAGCACTTTTCTATCGGCAATATGAACAGTCCTTATCCATTGGAAAAACTGGGTGTTATCGTCACCCCCAATGGGAGTAACGATGTTATTCTTTTTCGAGCCCTCTGACATGGAACTCGTCAGATTTTTTTTTATTGAGACGCTAGTGGGTGGATCGAAGCTAATGAAAAATCATTATTATTTCTTCACCACACTTTGTGTTTTTCATTTGTTTCAATATCTTTCCTGTACGTAAACCATTCAATATTCAATTCGAATGATAATTTGATGTAAGATAAACATTCAGGTTATAAAATTGTTATACAGTATGATGCAAATGTATGGAATAAATTCATTATTTCAGAAATGGGTGACATTTGAAAAAATTCCAAAAATACGTGAGTTTCAATTTCTGAAGCCTCATCTCATGATATTCATATGAGAGATGTTACGTCACCGGTGTTGGAGTAAAGACGTAATGGACGATTTTTTCAAATACAAATAGGGGTCATGTGACACCTTTATTGAAAGGTCTACCGATCATCTATTCAACAGTCAAAATGTTGCATAAGAAGATTGAAATTAAAATAGATTATCATGTGATTAATTGAATCTTGCAGAGGTCTGCTACTGAGAATTGAACATCGAAGGGTCGTCTAGTTAAAAAAATACGTCGAAAAAAAAGTTCTAAACTCTAGTTTTTGGTCTTTTTTCGAAAGTCGTCTTGTTTTGAAATGAATTTATTCCATACATTTGCATCATACTGTATATGCATAGTAGAGGTGTAACATTATTTCGAATAACAAGGAAACTAAGAAGGATAGGGACAGTTCATATATAACAGATAGAAAAGTGCTTACCGAATGTCAAATATCTAGGTTTGGTTTCAACAAAAATAAAAAATAAAAACCAAAAATTCATGCGACCTCGAACACCCCGTATAAAGAAAACAAGTGTCTCCACGACAAAACAAATAAATACGTGCATAATATTTCAATTTTTGCTTTCGATAGTCAAAGTTAGACGAGCTAAACCTGAGACACCCTGTATATATTACAGGAACAACTTCAATTTGGAATCTCCATATTCCTTTCGAATCTACTATCCACTATTTCGATTACATTTTATTTTGCCAACATTCATCATTGCGAGGTATATTTTGACAGATTGTCTTCTGCGGTATTTATTACCAGTTCGATAATTACTTCTCGGCATTATAACTTTTGCTCATACAAATAATGCACAAATATTGAAAAACGCAAATGTCACTGTCGGAATACTGAAGTAAACTGAACAAAAACAATATTCCAATCCCCCGTGTATAACACGAATTCCAGGATTTTCGGACCCTTTATGTCCGCCGCTTTTATGCTCACCGCCTTTATGTCCATCGCTTGCCGCTTGCCAAACATGTTCAATCTTTTATCAGCTAATTGGGTGAGTCACCTGGAGCGAAACTATTATTCTTCAATGAGAGATTTCTCTGTTTATCTATTTCCAGAAGGCAAATTCTTAATGTTGACAAGAATATTAGAATATATGTAACTCGTATATTATAATATAATACCAGTTATAACCTAGAATAAATATGATGGAACTTCTGGCATTCCTTATATTCGCATTTTGAAATTATTGGAATTGGTGTCCTACCTGCAAACCGAGCTGCAAACTATACGTATTTTTATTATATGGGTTACCTAATAAACGTACCTATACGTCGTATACAAAAATTCAATCAACCCATCTAAAACTTCTTTTGGTTTCATCTCCAGTGCTAAAATTTTCTGAATAGCTTCAGTGCTACCTCGAGTGCTACTTTTTATGAATGAATTCACTATTCATTCAATAATTCATAGTATCCATGTAGAAGTGCATATTCGTGTGAGGGCGCTCGTATCAGTGAAGAAAAATGATCCAAAATTGCGTCTGCAGAGGTCCAGCAAAAATCACTTTTGATGGTGATATTTTGAATGGATCCTTGCGAATTTTTTTGACAACGAAGATAAATGTATAAGTGAGGCATCTCTCGAAGTACTTTTCGAAAAAAATATATACCTAGTGAGAAAAAAAATAGTGAATCTGGTCAATTTTCTGGAATTTTTTTCCACTATTTTTTTTCAAAAATTTGGAAAAGTACTCCGAGAGATGCCTAGATCCAACCTTCTAGAAATGATCCGTGAAAAAAAATCTTGAATTTATTTAGCGAGCTTCGAGTATTTTGATTTCTGCCGTTCCTTGTTTCCCCAATGATCGCTCATAGGGTTAAACCCCTCTTAAGTAGGTAGGTAGATAATCTATCCATACAGAGTGACACACTTCAAGTCCGTGACACTGCTATACAGGGTGAGTCATGAGGAACTGTACATATACTCCTACCATCAGAAAGTTTCTTCTTCTCTTCTTCACCAATATATAGGGTGATTTATGAGATTTGACTAAAACATCCTTTGGTCATAAGTTTCCAACAGCTCCTTATTCGATTCGTCTGATTTTTTCATGGAATATTTATCTACAAATTTCAATTGAACTCTAGCTACTGTCAAAAGTAACGCCCTAAATACATCCACAAAGTGTACCGAATTTGGTTGCTTTAAGTTCAAGAATAACGGAGATATTGATTTTTTCCTAAATTTATAACTTCACTTTCAAAGCCTATAACTCCTTAGGGAAGCAACTTGGTATAGAGGTAAGTTGCGTTAAATTGTCATATTTTGGGACCCCCTACATGCCCCTGCTCTATGTCGGTTCTTATGTGAATCACCCTGCATACCTCCACTTTTTTGATGAGATGATGAATTGAGATTTTTCATCCAACCCAAAAGCTCCTCGATAAAATAATTAGCTTATATACAAAGTGATTAATATCTTCATTCTTCAGTGGTGTAACAGACTTTCTTCTTCAGTGTGACACGAACCGAGACGGTTTCATTTGTTTTCGAGAACTCTATGATTTCCTCAATTTCAATCAAAGCAGTCGCAGATTTTTGAAAAAAAAGGCTGTAAGACGAATAGCAAAAGCGGCAGACTCTGACGGAGACAGACTATTGGATTTCGATGAGTTTATCGAGATTTTGGAGAGGCAAGATTTGCAAGATTTATTGGGAGGATATGTTTCTCGGTAAGTTTGTAAATTGTATGTTGACAAGTTGACAAGTCTTCAGCCATAAAATGCCAAACTTGGCAAAATCTAATAAGAGACACTAGACGTTGCCCAAGTGATTCACGTGGTGTCATATACTCGCGCGATAACACAATTCAGCTATCAAAACATTGGTGCTGGTTTGGGGTCTCGGTTGTAGTTTAATTTTTGATATTTATGAACTATGATTCAGTGGAATATTCTTTATGGTTGATTTATAATCTCAACTAAATTTAGAATTTACAATTACATTAGGATTTCAAAAAGCTGATTTGTTGATGAATTCGAATAGACCAATCGGCTTCCAAAGATTCTTGATTTAACTGTTTATTCTCAGTTCAGTTGAGTTTATGAATGCACCACCAAACAAGCTATTCAATGCTTCATCTTACAAAGTTGAATAAACAGTTAGGTTATGGACAATAGATATTTTGCTGGTAAGTACTACTAGTACTCATTGAAAAGGAATATTCATGAACATAGAAAAATTATATATACACAGGGTGTCTATTAAAGGTTGGGACATGGCTCGGCTGTGGACTCCTGGGATAAAAACAAGTTGATTCAGGCCTATACTTACCTATATCCAAAATCGTCTCGTTGAGTTGGTATAAGGCGTTGAAGTTTTTTTGCAAAACAATAATTTTGCTCATAAAAAGAGTAATTTTTGGCATAGCATGTTCTGTGACTGTAAGTCTCGTTTTGAGATGTTTTTGATCATCATCAGTGACCTGCAAGTGTTTCTAATAACCATGTTGTCGTACACATTTGGTGATAACTTTTCAGAGATTTTCAGTTTTTTTTTCAGAAAGATATTTCCTTCAGAAATAAACTGTATAATAAAATACGAATTTTAACGCGAGCTAAAATCACATTACAAATCTCAGAAGCACATTACATCAGTTTCATTGATACTCCTCTCGAACTAAGAAAAAATTAGCAGCTTTGATAAGATAAGATGAATCAGCAAAGGCATTGATTAATTGCATATTTGAAGAATTGATACCTGCAGATTGGTAAATCTACTGGCAGAGTAAATGTTCCTTCCATACATAATTTGATTTTCAGTCTCCTTCATTATTGAACTCATCAGCAATGCATCCGTCTTGTGTTTTAGATATGTGCGAGCATTGGTCCCTCACCCAAAGACACCTGCTGACCACGTGGACCGAGTCCACCAACTACAACTGAGAAGTTTCGGATCAGAAGAAGATGATGAAGAGGAAAAGGACCTTTGTACTCAATACACCTGTTGTCCTCCGCCCATTTTCATGTTCCTCATTTCCATGCTACAATTCGCCCTGTTCATAGCAGACGAGATGACCAAAGACGAGTCTTATTCTATATCGAGTGGCGTGACAGCCAAAGTGTTGCAGTATGATCCCCGATATAGATCAGAATTTTGGAGATATGTCACTTATATGTTCGTCCATATGGGGTAAGAGTTACATTTCATCCCTCCTCCATGAAATAACAACGTATAATATATGAACTTTTTCTGAATTCATGGAATATTTGGTGAATGATTGATTGAAAGTACTTTTTCTTCTCAGATACTACATTACTCTGGAACAAGCAAACGAGTTTTAACAAATGATTTTGAGGAACGTTCGTTATTACTTGAAGACTTGAACGTCTATAGTTACACGACTCATCCCACCTCTGATACATCTGAAATCTGTTAGGGTTTTTCCTTTTCCAGATACCACCACATCATTATGATATTTCAACTGGGATAGGGTATAGCTCTCAAAATTTTTTTTTATCTTTTGGAGTACACGAAAGGAAATTCCTATAATGTTCGTGGAACATCGTGCGAACCTAGATATAGATATGTATTACAAGAGTTTTATCCACGATTTTGAACAATTTATGATATTACTCGAACATCAAATAAATGATTTATCCCACCTCACTCACCTCTGGTAACATAACTCATTCTACCGCAGATACACTAAGAGTTCGTTGAACTTTTTTCTCAACAACTATCAGATCATTCTGAGATTTATATTTTACCTGGGATTTGGTATTCCTCTGGTCAAGTCTTGGTGAGTTTTCACGAATCTAAAGAATGTTTAGGTGAACATCTGATAACATGACTCATCCTACCTCACGTATCGACTCAAAGTCTATAGAACAATATCAATTCATCGATTTTTTCTGCATGTTCATAATATATCTGAGAATATTCCTTTTCGATAAGCCAAAAAGAGTTTATATTCACGATTTTGAGGATGTCTGAAATTATTGGAACGTATAACGATACGACTCACTCCACCTCACATACCCATTGAAATAATATCGACATTGCTTCCTCAGATATAATCACAACATCGTGGATTTGATATTATGAAAATCTATCAAGAAAACAGTATATCATCTTCAAATAAGCCAAGAAGAGTGTATATTCATGATTTTGAGGATTGCTTGAAATTATTAGGACATATAACATGACTCATTCCACCTCATGTACCTACTAAATATTAATCGACAGTAATTATTATTTCCTCAGATACCTCCACATCATCGCGAACTTGATATTTCAACTGGGATTCGGCATAGCTCTGGAAATGGTGAATGAATCGTGGAGGGTGTTGCTAATTTATTTCCTCGGAGGCATTGCCGGTTGCTTGGCGCACGGTATAATCGACTCGAATGCCATACTGGGCGGAGCGAGCGGTGGGGTATTTGCCCTTATGACCGCCCATTTGGCACAAGTTTTCTTGGTAAATACATATCCAATATCCAAAGCTTCTGTGACAGTTATTTATGTATTGAGGGCGTAAAGTAAGCTTTTAACACACCAGGGTTTATAAAAGCAAGTTACGTCCGAAACACAAACACTATATGTACGAACGTTTTAGACATTTATTTACTGTCAATATGGAATTAAATAATGGGTTTGAATTCATTTGGCCAAATTATGTATGCCATTGACGAAAAAAGATCGAATGGGAGTCTACTAGAAATTACTGAAAAAACAGTGGAATACCTTTCCGCCCACTGTACTCATTCATCGGCCAAGAGGGCAGAAGTGCTACTTTACGCCTGCGAATCCCGGCGATAAAGTGCCACTAAACACCATTTATATTTCTGGATGTACTCTCGCGAGGAAAAAAAAGTCAAATTGATAGCCCTGTAACTTTTTTAATTTTTGTTCGGTGTTGTTGAAATTTCGACCAGATCGTGAATTTATGTTTCGAAATGTTAGCCTAATTTTTCAAAGAAAAGCTGATGACTGATTATTATACAGAAAAAAACAGAAGTTACTATTTCACCATTAACTTCTTTAACACACTGTGGCAAAAGTGAGTGGTTAAACTTAGCTTCATTATGTTTTGGATTGAAGTTAGGCCTTAAGAAGTTAAGGGTGGAAGAGTAACTTGTTTAAGCCATCAGATTTTCTTGTCAACTAAAATGTAGGCCAACATTCCGAAACATAAACTACGATTGGGTCGAAATTTCCCCTAAATCGAAAAAGAATTTGATTCACAAAGTTGCAGGACGATCAGTTTGGCATCTTTTTTTCCTGGCCGGTTTTTCTTCACCGTTGACTGTAGTATCTGTAAATCTTTATTTTTCAGAACCTGGGTCATTTGCCCATTTCGATAACCTGCATCCAATTGCTGATAATATCGCTATTGGTTTTTCCCGAACTAGCCCAATCAGCTTACCATAGGTATTACCTCCAACAAATCACTGAGGCGGGGGTAACTTGTCACTTAGGAGGTGCTTTTGCCGGTTTCCTCGTTGGCATTTACATAATAAGGTAAGTACACTCATCAAAAAAAAAATGGCCACAAAAAAGTTGACCCAAAATGTTTATAGCCCTGTAACTTTTGCAAACACTTATATTTCTCTTCCTAATAAGAAAATATTGAGTTGGATCGAAAACCATTGTTTTGAGAAGGGATCACACATCAATCCAAAAATAGAATGTAATTACTTCACACACTTACACTACTGGATCTTGAGAAGTTAAGGGTGAAAGAGAAACTTTTGTTCTTCTTGAGTACCCAAAGTCATCCCAACATTCCGAAACATGAATATCTACATGATTTGGTCCAAACTTCACCAAAATCTTAGGACAATTAAAAAGTTACAGAGCGATCAATTTGAAAAAAAATTTCTCTAGCCGGTTTTATGCCGGTGAGTGTATTCGGGGTGACGAAAGACTTTTCAATAGTAGTAAATGGCAGAATAAATGGTGATTTAGGAGTGAGAACTGCAGATCTTGACATAATTATGAATGGAGGATTATTATTTTTTCTTTTTCAGAAACGTGAACATCTCTCAGACTGAGAAGTACATCTGGTGGGTAGCATTGGTGATATTCATCCTTCTTATGGCAACTGGAATAGCTCTCAACGTATTGCATGTGACTGTTTGAACATAGACAGATTCCTACTCAGTCTCAATGACTACTTGTCTCTACTGATCTCTATAACAACCAGTATAAAGAACTGCCAATGCAATATCACTATGTAATATATCTATTATTCTTTTATATATGCATTCTTTTTTTTGAACGTGAAGTTATATTTTCTAGAAATAAATGATTTAACTCCTCTCATGGAAGGAGAATCAATTACCTATGCAGTTATTGAAGTTTTTCCGAAAGAATGAGATGACTCAGGATATTTTGCGAAATTTTCTGAAATAAGGGTACTTTACTCTTGAGCAATTTATATATTTTTTGACCTACCCTCTGTATGCTGTTTGACTTGCAACCATTCTAAGTGCACCTAAAAACCAACTTTCGGCACTATCTGAATTTTGTTTGTGCAATTCATTAAAAAGATTCCCATAATTATGTTGCACACTTAAATGACCACACTGTATAACGCACTTGGTACATAAATAACAATTAGCGGGCGTTATGATTCATAACGCCCTCCATAACGCCCAGGGCGTTATGGTTCTGTTAATAACAACCGTTGCCAAGGTATTATAAAACAGTATAATGGACAAGTGAAATAGTAATTTTCCTAACAAGTACGGAAAGTGATTCTTTCCCGCACGCGACTGCCGTTGACACGAACGACGCGAAGCGGGGTTCGGGCAAGCAGTCGAGTGCGGGAAAGACACTTTCCGCATGAGTTAGGAACAATATTTTTTATACAAGCGTAGGAAGTTGATTGATTTGTTCAATTAATTATTCATTCATATAGGAACAACTAACAAGAGAAATATATTCTCTCTCTACTGATTATTAGTAATAGCTATTGTGAACTTACAGTTTGACGCATTATGTATAGATTCATTGCGGAAGCCAGCAGGCCCATAAGGTGTTTGGTCTCTAGGTTTCACACACTTCTAGGAAATGAGCCAAAAATACGTCTTCTTTATTTGGTATTTTTATTTCTTTATTTGGTAATTTTGCACTTATCATGCAATGGTTTTTTTTTTTCGAAAAATTTGTTTGGTACTTACGTATTTTTGTCTGAAAAACACGACTTTGATAATGAAAATGTGAACAAACCACTATTTTTCGAGATATTTCAAGAAAAAGTTCGAAATTTTGCCTTCTTTTGTCATTGGACACTTTATATACTCATGATGTGCTTCAATGACACATTTTAAGATAGAAAATTCAACAGGAAATATGATTTTTATGGTGAGTTTTTCCTATTTAGTGAGTAAGGTATATGCTTACGGCCATTTAATCCATAAGCAATCCAAATACATCATGTCAAATGTCAATAGATTGCTTTGGAATGACATTGCACACGCCATTATTTCAAATGATATATATTCTTCCTTCTTTTCACTAAACATGGATGAATCACAAGAAAATCTATTTCTAGTTGACTCATATAATAAAAAAATGTGTCAAACATTGTGTGATATATATAAATTGTCCAATGATGGAAAAAAAGGGCAAATTGTTCTAAATGCGACCCAGAAGACAGGCGGAAAATAAGGTGGAATTTCTAACTTTATAGTGAAATATCTTAATAAATAATGGTTTGTACACATTTTCATTATCGAATTCGTGTTTTTCAGACAAAAATACGTAAGTACCAAAAAAAAAAATAATTCAAAAAGAAACCATCGCATGATAAGTGCAAAATTTTGTTGTTTTTGCACCATTCAATAAAACGCTTGAATAGCTTCTCATACCTTTCTTCATCCCTATAGCTGGGAGTTTTTGATCACATTGTGGCAATTCCACTGAATCGAAAACGACAGTAACGCTGTGTCTGTCACTTCGACAATTACAAACTCATTTGAGGTTTGATTGGCATGACAACAATAATCGTTTCCCATCAGATCAATCCAAATCTATAGGGGGATTATTTTAATAATCAATTTTTATTTTTCAATATTTCTTGATTTTCACAATAAATAGTGCAATTTGATGGATGATTCTGAACATACATACTTAATACTACAACAAACAAACTCAAACTCTCATATTCCATCACCTACCATCACTCATATTCTGCCATATTATCATATTTTTGTTTTTCCCGCAATGTTGCCGGAAAATGACACTTCCTAAATTGCATGCGGGTATAGGGTGAATCACGCACGCGAGTAGAAAAAATAAAATACCTACACGACCACTTTCGCTTGATTGCAACTAATAGTATATCTTTTTTTTTCTTTCAAGTCATGATTTTTTACCTATCGCAGCCATCGAACGTTCCAAAATTTGCAGTTAATTTGTATGCACTATTGTTTCGGGGCTGAAAATGAAAATAATTTAGCCGATCCTGTTAATTTGGAATGAGTTGATTTTTTGCATATGGAGGTTCGAAAGCATGGTAAACAATAATTTGAAGTTAGATTTCTTGCAAAAAAATACGAATATAATTTTATATAAATCGACCCCTTTTTATTCTAATGAAAAAGCACAGCACTGATCAAGAGGATGTTTTGTCTCTGAAAAACTGATCACATTGATGATTATTCATACCGGTCCAAATTCGTGAGGAATCGTACGACTAATAGCGGAGATATAGAGGGAGGCGTTAAAAATGTGACACGCTGACGTATATATACAGGGTGGGGCATTATAGTGCGTCGGAGCTCGAATGCATTGATGTTTTACAGATGAGAATGTGTATCGATGAAAATGGCCTACCTATAGTTTTAGAAGTAGAATAATTCAAAAATGGCGTGACGGATATCTATATGGATGTTGAGATGAAAGATGTTTGTGTTTCGATTTTACACCAAATGACCAAAAATATATGGGGAGTTTCATTTGAAAAATTCGAGAAAAATCACTTCCAAAAGTTCCGAATTGAAAAAACATTTTCAGCCACCCTGTATAATTTGAGGGCATGAAAATTTTACATAAATATCACGCATCTTTCCATCAAATGATATCATGATTATTATCTCTTAAACTCCATAATTATTGTGATTGCAGTGATTTTTTTCGGTATATGGATCTGCAGATGACATTATTTCAAAAAAAAAATAATAACTTTGAAATGATCGAGAAATAGTCAACAATATCATAGAAGTGGATGGAGGTCACAGGAATGTCACAAAAAATGTGCTAATATATAGGGCATTCCATTTAAAAAAAGTGATCCTGATTTTCTAGATTTTTTCCGATGCCCTTGTTTTCTCACTGACATTCGTTTTTGAATCAAGTCTGTAGCTATCATAGAACTCGAGCAATCGAGCTCCGACGCCCCACCCTGTATAACCCAATGTATGACATTTATATGGAAGATTTTATTGGTGATCTATTGCAACTAGAATCACATAATACCATGAGAATGCGGTAAATAAATTTCAGTTCGTGAACGCTGTAATCAAACAATATTTTAAAATTATTGAAGTCCACTCTGGATATTGTTATACGTATTAATATAGTGGGTCTATAATGGGCCTGATGAGAATCTATCGAATGTGGGGATAGTGGGAATATTCTGAATGTGACATACTAGGTGTATATTATTGAACATGTGAACCTGATGAAAATCAATTGAAAGTGCGCATGGTTAGAATCCTTGAAAAGTGGGTCTGGTAGTAATTGTGTGGAAATTCATAAACTGGCCATGCTGGAAAAACATCGAATGTGGGCCAGATGAAAATCTATTGAATATGGGCATGATGAGAATCCTTGAATGGTGGGCATGGTAAGATTAAAACATTTTCCCGGAATAAGTTATCTAGCCGCTGTTCCGTTTTCAATAGCCACTATGCTAATTTCCTTCGAAAATTAACCGTTGCAGTATACGAAATTTGTTAATATACGGAAAAGCATTCTCTTATTTCTCTGAATCGTTTTTTGTATGTAGGAGTTGTAGATGAAAAGTGTAAAAAGTGGTGAATCTTCAGGCTGAATTCTCTCTGAATGAAAACAGACATGGAATGTAAAATTGATAGAATGGATACGGAAATCAGAGGACTTTTACAGGAAAAAACTATTATGGAACGCAAATGTGACATTCTAAAACAAGCAACGAAGATAAACAATCTTAGACTTTTCAACTGGCCCGAAAAAAACAAGGAAAATCTCAAAGATGAAATCATTAATCTACTGAATTCGAAGATGTCGATTGGACTGAATGAAAATGATGTCGCAATCTGTTACAGGATAGGAAAACAAGAAGGAAATAAGGCGAGAGGTGTATTTCTGAAACTAAAAAACCACGAAGTGAGAAACGAAATATACAGAAGAAAGAAGCTCATGAAAGGGACCGGCATCGTCATTAGAGAAGATCTGACAAGACTGAGAGTAGACTACTTACAAAGACTACAGAAAAAACTTCGCTGAAAAATGTTTGGACCGACATGGGAACTATAATAATAAGCTCCACATCATAAAATCAAAAAATGATTACGCTAGAGTTTTTGGATAAATATATACCGGGTGACACAGGGTATCGGGCCACCCCTGTAACTTCTGCATTCGTCAACGGATTTTTCTGAAATTCGGTACGGTTATATAAGCAATCATTTCGGATTTGATCACATTACAATCCAATATGGCGGACTTCCGGTATTTTCGGAAATGCCAGCAACTTTGTTTTTTCAAATGAAACACCCTGTATATTTTTACATATCCAAGTTCAACAGGTCGAAACAAGTGCAATATTTATTTCAAATGTCATTTTTTCGAAAAAATTTAAATTAAAACTGTTTTTTCATTTTACCTCGTGGATAAATGAGATGTGGTCAAGACTATTCACAATGAGTCACACATAACAGAAGATCATAATTTCTTCTGAAAAATTATTTTTTGTGTCACTTATCCAGGAATCAATAAAGTCACATCACTTTTTGATCAAAAATCAATTTTTTTCGAATGGAACCCCTATCCACCTACCCGTCTCTCTAAAACATACATTAAGGAACAAGATGACATATCATTTTTGTTTTTCGGTGCAGTAACAAATTGTATACATTCAAAAATCAACAACTAGTTTATGAATTTCCTTGCAGTTAGAATAATTTTTCAAATAGGTGAGCTGTGGAATAAATGACATTAGACATCAACATTGCACTTGTTTTGACCTGTTAAACTTGAATATGTTAAAATATACAGGGTGTTCCATTTGAAAAAACAAAATTGCTGGCATTTCCAGAGAAACCGGAAGTCCGCCATATTGGATTGTAATGTGATCAAATCCGAAATAGTTGCTTATATAACTGTACCGAATTTCAGAAAAATCCGTTGACGAATGCAGAAGTTACAGGGGTGGCCCGATAACCTGTGTCACCCGGTATATATATATATTTTTTTCATTCTTGTTAAATTATCTTTATTCAGTATTTCAGTACGAGAATTTACAAAAAAATAGGAAGCACATGTCATAGGGTTCTTTCGATGTTAGAGTATTTAGATTTATTGGATGAAGAAAAAGAGATAAAAACAACAGTATTAACTAATTTACACGAATATTTCAAATCCACGGTAAAGAAAGAAAAAGGTGGGCAGTTAATGACGATTATACATTTCAATGTGAGAAGTATCAGAAAAAATTTCGATGAGCTACTAGTTTATTTAGAGGGGAGAACAGAGTTTATAGACGTTATAGTTTTATCAGAAACATGGAACATCCAAATGGTAAGTGACTTTAATATACCCAATTATAACCTTTACTATGATGACTCGATCAAAAACCAAAACGATGGATTGCTCGTTTATGTCAAAAGTTGTTTTTTCAACTAAGGTACATGTCGTGAGTTTAACAGATACAAATTTACTTAGATTATCCTTATGTATTGATAACACTTGTATTGGTATAACATCATCTTACAGACCTCCCTCCATTGATCCAAATGTTTATTTGAGTGACCTAGAAAACTATTTCAGTAACTCACAGAAAAAAAGTATAGAAATATTAGTGGGAGATATAAACATGAATATATTGGACAAATCTACCAATGAGACCATCAGATAGATACCTGAATCTTATGTCCGAAAACGGTTCTAAATTACCAGGGTAACAGAAAATACTAGTAGTACAATTCATCATTTTTTTGTTAGATGTGTATCAAATAGGAATATCAGATTCAGTCCAATTGTTTTTCAAACTAACCTAACGGCCCATTACTCAATATTTCTGAGGATATCCAGTGATAAAGCAGATGAACTATCAACAAACAAACCACAACAAAAAGTTATAAGAAACACTGATACTAATAAACTCAAAGGCATTCTAATAAATGAAAATTGGGATGATGTCATGAATTGTGAGGACACCCAACTAGCTTACGACAAATTCATCAATAAGTTAAAAAACTATATCCATCTCACTACTACGACAAAACACGTAAATTTTAGTAAAATGTGCAAAATCAAGCCATGGATAACAACCGGATTAATCGCCTCTATTAGACAACGGGATTATCTTAAACAGAGACTCACAAAGACAAATACACAAGAAATAAGAAATGAATACACATCATATAGAAACAAACTAAATCAAATAATTAAAAAAACCAAAAATCAATACTACAAAGATAAATTAACTGACGCTAAAGGAAATGGGAAAAAAACATGGGATATCATCAATAAAGTAACAAATAGAAATACAAAAAAACAATCACTCAACAGTATACCTATCAAAAACTCAAAAGGTGAAATGATAGAAAACAATAAAACTAAAACGGATATTTTTAATGAATACTTCACAAGCGTTGGAATAGAAATGGCCAAAAAAATTAAAAAAATTGAAACCCTTCCTGAGAACTTTCTTAATGATCCACCGATCTCAGCATCACTTTTTCTTCAACCTGTCACTTATAATGAGATTATTGTTCTAATGGCCAACTTGAAAAATAACTGTGCCCCCGGCCCTGACGGTATCACTAGTAAACTCATTAAAAGTATCCACAAAGAAATAGTTTTTCCTTTAGTTCATGTTATCAACCTTTCTTTAAAAAATGGGAAAATTCCTAGGCAATAGAAAGAATCGCTAGTTACCCCAGTATATAAATCAGCCGAACACAATCTCTTGAATAATTACCGACCTATATCTCTGTGATAAATAATTTCGCAAAGTTATTTGAACAAAGTGTCAAAAATAGACTAACAGCTTTTTTTACCGAACATGATGTTATTACAGATAGGCAATTTGGCTTTAGAAACAATTCAAATACTGAGAAAGCAGTTTTAGATTTCATTGAAAAAACTGTCAATGCCTTGGATAGATCAGAACAATGCCTAGCCATTTTTCTTGATCTGGCCAAGGCATTTCATACTGTATCACATTATTTGTTGCTAAAAAATTAGAGAATTATGGAGTTAGAGGTATTGTACTTAATTTGATGAGAGATTATTTATCGCAGATATCGCAAATCGTAAAAATTGAAGACTGTCTCAGTAAACCAATTGATATCAAAATTGGAGTTCCGCAAGGAACAGTATTGGGCCCGGTACTTTTCCTCGTATATATCAATAGTATAACTTCAATAAAAAATTTCAAAGGAAAAATAATATCATATGCTGACGATACAGCTTTATTATATAGGGGAGACTCGTGGCAACAATTAAAAGCTGACTCAGAAAATGATCTACGAAATCTACAAATATGGCTCAATTATAATCTTTTGAGTCTCAACGTGAGTAAAACAAATTTTCTATCGTTTTCGAACTATAAATCCGAACAACCTCTCTTTAACCATCTAACAATACATACGATTGTAACGACACAAACAAGTGCACTTGCCCAACTGTAGAAAAAACATCAAATATGGAATATCTCGGCATTATACTAGATCAGCATCTACGGTGGGTGATCACGTGACACATGTAACAAAAAGGCTCAGACAACTTATCAATAAATTTTATAGTATCAGAGATATCCTGAATAAAAAAAATCTTTTAATATTATACAACTCCCTGGTTGAATCGGTCATTAGGTACTGCATAACAGTGTGGGGAGGTCTGTATGAAAAGTCCTTGAGTGAACTGCAATCAACCCAGAATTCCTTATTGAAAATAATATTAAAAAAAAAAAAACTTTATTCCACCGATCAGCTCTATAAGGATGTTGAAACACTTGATACAAGAGGATTATATATTTATCAGTCTCTGATTTGGATGTTTCATAATAAACAAAAATATATCACTCCCAAAACTAAGCAAACCCGTTTTGCTGAAAACAAGTATATGATATTACCAATTTACCGGAAAGCACACACACAACGATATATATTTTTTTATGGACCTAAATTGTACAATTTCCTGCCATACAACATAAAAACTACCACCTCTTTGAAAAAATACAAAACATTAATGAAAAAATTTATACATGAAAATAAAAACTTATTAAAAATTTTCTGACTGACAAAAAACCAAAAACCATCACTTAATGATAATACCTACCTTCTCGTTTTGGTTAACTAAACCCTTGTTTCTCACCTCAATCTCTCATACCGCCTTCTTTTTTTTTGCTATTGTTATTATTTTCGTAATCTTGAATCTCTTTTATTTTTTTTATTTTTTTTTATATTCCTTAATATTATTGAAATCTGCTACCTACCGCTAAATTTGATGAATTATATAAACGCACTTCAAACTCATTGCAAGGCCACAACACAAGCATTTTGAATGCTTAGGTGGGTTGTTTGTTTTGTGGAAGTGGAACATATATTTGAAACTTAAACTATGTTAATTCTGTAAATTATGGTATGTGAATAAATTGAATTGAAAAAAAAATTGAATTGAATTGAAATTGAATTTGATTCATAAGATTCCCAAGATATCATGCATCTTTGCAAATTCAAACTGATTAAAATCTTATCGCAATCAATGCAGTTTTAGATATTGAATTATATATATAACCGCTGCACAAAAATTCATAGATATTACATCATTCGAGATAGACATCTACCTATTCATTTCATAGCGTTGGGAAACTCCACTGAAAAATTCGAGAAATGGACGGACACCAAGAAGATATTCCTTTGCAAGATCTGGCTGGACGAAATCAAAATCAGGTGAGATGTTCAGTTAGCTTTTATATACCTATATCGTTTCGCAATAGTACATTACACACCTAGGGACTGCATTGGTATTTTAAATCCCGGGACGAAAAGTTCATATACAGAGATGTGCACAAAAAACGGCCAGGAATGTAACTTTTGAATTATTCTAGATAGGGTTCTGAAAATTGATGGGTAGCAAGTTTACCAAATTTTTTTCTATCACTTCGAGTTTCACCGGCAACTTTTGATTTTTAAATGCATTGCATTCCATAATCGGTCAGGGAATATCATGACGAATTCAGCGATACCGCGGGTTTGATAGGGTTATTTCAAACGATTACAATTATATTTGCGTTCGAAGTTTCCATATGCTCAATGGGTGTGACCTCGCAATATCAAAACTTCTTTCTCTGTCACACTCATTGAGCATATGGAAACTTAGAGCGCTAATTAATATCTGCATAATCGTTCAAAAATAACCCTATCAAACCCGGTATTGATGAATTCGTTATGACAATCCATAACCGATTATGTAATACAATACAGGGTGTCCCATTTGAAAATCAAAAGTTGGGGTCGTTTCCAGTAAAACCGGAAGTGATAGAACATAAATTGTTTCGTCAATTAATGAGCCATTTGGTATACCAATTTTCAAAACTCTATCTCGAATAATTCAAAAGTTACAGTCCTGGCTGTTTTTTTGTGCACTTCTCTGAATATAATTTGTTGAGGGATTCAAAAACACTTTAGTCCTGAGGCGTGTATATTATTTTATTCACTTCAGGATAGGTTCAAAGTTGAAAATAACGAAAAAAAAAATGCTACTGAAAAAAACTGTAACTGCTCTAAAATCGAGAAAACTGAATCTATCAAATATCTAGGACTCATTCAGGATGAATGAACATATTTTATGCATTACAAAAAAAAAATGAGGCTACTCATGCATAAGTTCTATGTTCGCAGAGATATTCTTTCTCGAAAAAATCTAATGATTTTATAAATTCATTAGTAGAGTCAATAATAAATTATTGCATAACAGCATGGGGCGGTACTTTCAATAATACGATGAGGAGCCTACAATCAGTAGAAAACATGATACTTAAAATAATAACGAGAAAACGTAAACTATCTTCAACAGAGATACTGTATAAGGAAACAAATGTGTTTGATATAAGGTTCTTATACACTTATCGGTCCCTAATCTGGATGTACATAAATATTCATAATTTCAGTTTGCAATGTTCTAGACTATTCTAGAGGATGACCCGATTCAGTGAAAATAAAATTATTCAAATTCCTCTATATAAAAAGAGCCATACACAACGTTTTGTTTTCTACTTTGGACCAAAACTGTATAACCTTCTGCCTAAATGTTTAAAAAACACGAATGAAATAAAACATTTCAAAACTGCTCTCAATCAATTTATGCTTCACAATGCATCTGTATTCAAAATTTTCTGAAAAAAAAAATGCCATCTCTATATCTTTCACTCTTCTTCTCCTCTTTCCCTTTCCAATAATCGTAAGTATAGAAAAGCACTGTTCTTGTTCATGGAATAAACCATTTGCTATGTATTTTAACATAATAACCCTCCCATGCTTCATGAGGGAGAAATGCAAAACAGGCAGCCTATTGCCGTTGATTGATATATCACGCTTACGCTTAAGCGTAATATATCAATCAACGCTGTTGCCTAGGCGTTTCTCGCTCATGTTCACAGGAGAAAAAAAATCTACGAAAAAAAATTGTAATACTGATACTGTATCATCAAATCTTTGAATAAATCTTGGAATCTTGAAATCCCTGGAGTGCATACAATTATTTATCAGGTAATACTGAAAACATAAGTAGGTATAGGTATAGATAATCTCTCCATACAGAGTGGCACACTTCCAGTCCGTGACACTTCTATAAAAATGCTCATTCTGCTAGAACATGTTCACACATATCATACATCATTCGGTATGTACCCTTTAATTCCCTGAAGTGCATAAAAATACTTATCAGGTAATAATGAAAACATGTTTCAAGTAGGTAGGTATAGATAATATATCCATACAGAGTGGCACACTTCCAGTTCGTGACACTTTTATAAAACATATTCACAAATAAAAGGGCTTTCACGCTGGTTTGATAGTTGATGCGCAATACTTGGTAACAATGTCGTGCCAAAACTGCACATCGAAAAATACTAGTAACTTTCGAAATGGGCGAACCGCGTTATCGATTTAAGTTGGTAAAACTGTACACCGATGCCAGATTTATTTGACATTTCTAGAAGCGATTTGTTGTGATTAGCTGATCTCTGGGAACAATTCATTACTGACAATTTGTACTTTCAAGAAATTGTTTGTGATTTATTTGTGGATCATAGGTGAAATTCGATTTATTCAAAATGCCTAAACCATTGAGTGCGGAAGCGCAGAAGATGATGGTATATGCTGCTATATATTGGGGTTAGAAAATTTTATTATTTAGTGTAAGATTATATCTGTAGACTAGGGTTAGAAAATTGTAGTATATAGTGTTAGTTTATTGTAATGACATAGTGGTTTCATGAGTTTTTGTGGGTTTTCCTCTTGAATTATATTGAGAATATCGAAGTAAGAACAACTCTTGTTGTCTATTTCATAATTTCCAATATAAGAAGATGAACCACAAAATAAAATCAATTGATGGAATTTAATTTCACCAATTTAAAGTAATTGCAAAACATTCAAAACGATTAGATAACCTCAAAATTGAATTCGAAGTTTTTATTATTTTCACTCAGTAAATGTGAATACTGATCAGTTTTATAAAAAAAAAATAATTCAAGACATAATTGTGTATTAGTAGAAAAATAAGTTATCTTTGATGTCAATATCTGTGATTGTTTGTTCATGTTATATAATGAATCATTCTCCAAGTTATTATTCTTTATAAGAAGAAAATGATATCCTAAGAGTGTTTCGTGTAGGTAAAGTCAACACCAATAAACCACGGCCTATGAAAGTAATCTTTGCCAATAATAGCATAGTTCAACAACTGCTTCGTTCTTCTTTTAAGCTCAAAGATTCCGAGTTTAAGATTGGTCAAGATAGAACTAAGCTCCAACAGAGTTATCTAAATAATATGAAAGAGGAGTTCAAGTCACAACTGAACAATGGAGTAAAAGACATTGAACTGAAATTCTTTAATGGGACTCCCAGAATTGTTACCTCTAGAAACAATAAAGTAAGGCAATCGCGGCCAAAAAACGTATAGCAAAATTCAACTGTTACTACCAGAATGTGGGTGGTTTGAGGACTAAACTTGATTTACTTAAGCAGACTGTGTCGTTATGTGAATATGATGCTATAGTCCTTACCGAAACATGGCTGAACTCTGATATTTTGCTAAGTGAAACTAACTTTCATGGATTTAATGTTTTTAGACAAGATAGAAATTATCTCACAAGTGATCATTTACGAGGGGGTGGAGTATTAATAGCAGTACGCAACACATTTGCTGCTAAGTTGGTTACCATATCTTGTGAAAGTATTGAACAAATTTTTATCTCCATTTGTACTGGCTCAGAAAAAATCCTGCTAGGGGCAGTATATCTACCACCGAAATCTGACTTGGATAGCTATGTACAACACTGTCATGTTGTGGAGGAGATCGCGAACCATCATCCAGACCATACTTTATTACTGGCTGGTGATTATAACTTACCTGAGGCTGTCTGGAGTAATGATGATGGAAGTGGTCTCTCAGTAAGATGTCCTGCAAACTCTGCAGCTAACTTTTTATGTGAATGTTTTTCATTTTTGAATCTTTATCAAATCAATGATATAAGTAACAATCATGGTGTATACTTGGACCTAATTTTTTCACACTGTCAGGATATTAATAATACTACATCTGATGACTTACTATTAGATAATAACTTTCATCATGTAGCATACTTCTTTCAAGTTCCACTGAATGTTAAATCTGATAATCTGAGAACTGTATATACTTATTATGATTTTAGAAATGCTGATTATCCTATGTTGAATAACTTTTTCTCATCCATTGATTGGTGTAACATTTTTGATAATCTTGATGTTGATTCAATGGTCCGATACTTTTATGGCTTCAACCTATATGTACCTGTCAAATCATTCAAGAGCTCTACATTTCCAGTATGGTTCTCAAGTGAACTGAAAAGCTTAATTATTGAAAAGAAAAAGGCCCAAAAAATATATAAAACGAGTCTCAGTGCACATGATTATAATGTTTTTTCAAACTTGCGTTCCTTATGTAAGGAACTTTCTTCCCAATGTTATCAATCTTACATGCATAGAGTTGAGTATCATCTTATTGATGAACCCTCCCTATTCTGGAATCATGTTAATAAAATGCGTAAATATAATGAATATCCCAACCATATGTTCTTAGAGGATGAAATTAGTACAAATGGTATTGAATCAGTGAATCTTTTTGCCAAATTCTTTTCAAGTGTTTATCGAGCTGACGATCCTAACTTACAGATACCAAATTATCTAGAAACCGTAAAACAATGTAACAACTTTGTGATCCCTACCTTCAGTTGCCTTGAAATTTTCGAAAACATTACTAAATTACCTAATAAACTCTGTTCTGGACCAGATGGTGTTCCACCTTTTCTCTTGAAAAAATGTGTTTGTACACTTGCAAAACCACTTGAACACATATTCAATCGTTCATTGCAGACATGCTGCTTTCCCGCTTACTGGAAGAGCAGTTATATTACTCCTATTTTCAAATCTGGGAACCGGGAAGATATTACTAATTATAGAGGCATATGTATTCAATCAACTATTCCCAAAATGCTAGATAAAATGGTAACAGCCTATCTGTCAGCACAAATTTCGAATATAATCATTACTGAACAACATGGTTTCTGCTCTGGTAAATCTACCATTAGTAACCTCTTAACATATCAGAACTTCCTATTGAACGCCTTTGAGAATAAAACCCAAGTTGATAGTATCTATACCGATTTTTCAAAGGCGTTTGACAGGGTGAGTCATACTTTATTAATAGCAAAACTTAGTGATATGGGTATAAATCTTGGTTTGGTAGCATGGATTGAAAGTTTCTTAGTTGGTCGTCAACAGCAGGTGAGGATCAAAAGTTTTTTATCTAACGTAATTCCAGTACTGTCAGGAGTTCCTCAAGGCTCTCATTGTGGACCGTTACTTTTCAATTTGTTTGTCAACGATATTAGCAAATATATTTTTCACTCTGTTTTTACATTATATGCTGATGACTTCAAAATATATAAAGAAATTCAGCATCATATGGATATTGATCTGCTGCAATCTGATTTGAATAAATTCCATGTCTGGTCTAGAGTTAATTACTTGGACCTCAATATTTCAAAGTGTTTTTGTATCACTTTCTCAATGGGTCATAATTATATTGAAAACGCTTATAGAATGAATAACTCTGTATTGAAGAGAGTCAATGAGATAAAGGACTTAGGCATAATATTCGATATTAAACTAACTTTTAGAAGTCATATTACTAAGGTAGTGAACACTGCATCAAGAAACTTAGGTTTTATTACTAGGAACAGTAAACAATTCTCTCCTGAAACACTTAGTTCACTTTATTGCCATCTGGTTAGACCTTCACTTGAGTATGGTTCCATCATTTGGAGGCCTTTTTATCAAATACATATTGATAGTTTAGAGCGAATTCAGAAAAGGTTCCTGAGAACATATTCATATCGCAAGAGTTATCATGTTGCTCATATAAACTACCCAGATATCTTAATGGAGCTTAATCTACTAACTTTAGAAAATCGTAGATTAGTGTTGGATATGTGTTTCCTATATAAATTGGTCAATGGCCTTATTAATTCTCCAGATCTGCTTAGTTTGATTAGATTTAATACAATGACCAGAACAAGAAATCCTCCTTTATTTTCCTTGACTTTTCACTCAACGAATTATGGCAACAATAACCCTATTTCAAGGCTACAAAGGAATTATGTCGTTCTTCAAAATCATTGTGACCTATTCTGTGGCAGTCTAGGTAAATTCAAAACTAATGTTGTGAAAACAATTAGGAATACCTGATTAATATAATAAGTGCTACATTTCTATGAGTGTAATTTTCATTGCTCCTACTATTATTATTCATATTTTTGTTGTAATTTTTTTTATAAAAATGGTGTAACCGTTGAAATAAATAAATAAATAAATAAATAAATAAATAAATAAATTTCATTATCATTAAATTTCATACTCAGTATATTGTTTAGGTGCTGATTTTGAAACATAAATGGACGGCTTTTGAGTTGGTTCCAAAAAACATTATAACGTCCGACGATCGTAACACTAGAAATATCCATATTCAGGCTGTTGGTAATTCAGTCATTTCCTTTCAACTGGCAACACTGTATATCTTCACATATTGACGTCACTATCAACCCTGTGTGAAAGCCCTTTATCATTCATCATTCGCAATACAAAATCGGATTCGACCTCGATTGGAATTTACAGAACACGAGACACAATTATCGATTTTCAATGCAATTTCATTACATACAGTGTGTAAGAGTCAAATGGAATAAATTCATTATTTCGGTTACTCTACATATTTATGAAAAATCTCGAAACACGTCGACTACTTTTTCGAGGGGGACGTTCTAAATTATTTTCAGCTCTGCGGCGTTGCCGCTTCTAACGAAAAGTAGCAACAACTTTGTTATTTCAAATGGAACACCCTGTATTTCATTGCATTTTTAGATTCTCTCCAAAGAGCTGATTCCATTAATGCATTACACTTGAGATCTTGCGGGAATGATTACAGAGCTATAGGGTGTTCAAAATCGAGATTTTTCAACTTAAGGATTTTTTTGTGTGTTTTGTAAATATTTCCGAAACCCTCTATGTTGAGGTAACGAAATTTTGTACATGTATATACTTTTCGTGCCCGATTCGGAAATGTCAAGAATTTTTCGAAATTTTGATCAGGGGCGTAAGGAATATTTGGGGCTAGGGGCATTTCTGCCCCCAACTTTTTTTTTTGCAATTTTAGGCAGTTTGACCAAGAAATGATCACCCAGTATCCATTCCAATTAAATGTCAGTAGATAGTAAATCAAACGTTAAGATGGGACATGCAAGCCGTTTTCAGGGGGAACTTAAAAATGTAATGAAGTACAGGGTATTCCATTCAAAATATCAAAGTAGCTACTACTTTCTGGTATAAGCGACAACGCTGCATTCCTGGAAATATTCCAGATCGATAGACCAAAAGCAACTACTTGAGTAACCAAACGCCTAAGGTACTATATAGACCGTGACCCACCCTGTATAGTTAAATGAAAATAACGGTAGTTTCAACTGCTCATGTTATTGTAAATCTATTTCAAGAATTAGTATAATTCTTCTTGAATTGTTCATGTTATTGTAGAACTATATATAATAGCTCCACAAACGATAAGATTTCCGCGAAATTTTCAATCACACGACATGTTTCGCTAACACAGTAGCTTCATCAGGTGAACTACTGGTACAATGAACTGTTGATTGTACAGTCGTATTCAATAAAAAAGCGTACAAGTATCGAGAAGAGAGGATTTCGGGATCCTAGAGTTCTAGTTGTGTAAAACTGGCTCAGCCAATGCTTTGTGTTTTCGAGAACCTATGACAACTTTACTGTCAACAATCATTCCCGATAGCCCGTTTTATGCAGAATAAAATGACGTTAATAATTTCTCTCTGTAATTAATATACTTGTAACGCTTTTTTTTTGAATGCGACTGTACCAGTATTTCACCTGATGAAGCTACTGTGTTAGCGAAACATGTATTATTGACTATTCCACTCTTGATCTCGAGAACCAATCAGAATCGACCATTTTCACGGTTTCTTCTGTATTCTAGCGATATTTTTTGTTCATTAAATTTTATCGGACTTGCTCTACCAATACAGAAGCCGAATTGACCCACACGTGACCAACAAACCTCGTTTATCAGCGATAAAATTTTGACATCGTGTCTGGTCAAGATTGCCTTGGATTCAAATCTGAAATCTGAGACAATAACCTAAGTTCCTACTTTATTTTATTTACTTATAATTTGCGTTAGTGAGACATTTTGTACGAAAGGCGAGACAATTTTATTCTGGCTGGACGTTTCATGTGTAATTTAGAAAGTTTACATATATGTTGACGATCTGACAACAATAGTAGAATTCAAATTCTTTTTTAAAGTAACCTCCAATAATTCAAGTTATTGTGACAGACAGAAATATCAGATGATGTGGCGCAACTGATAGGATTGTTGCGCGTGCGAGCAACTATCTCCAAGATAATAAAAAAAATACTGTCTATCAAAATTGTACATTCCACTTTGTGAATAACTATAAGTAGGTAGTTAATTTCTAAAAAATTTAATTCTGTATTTCATTACTATCATTATGTTCTTCTTCGCAGTTTGAGTTGGAATATACTTAAATTATATGTTTCTTATTTCTTATATATACAGGGTGTAACTGAATAAGTGTAAAACATTTAAGGAGATGATTCCTCATCGAAAAAAAGATAGGATCTTTCATATAAAGAAACTTCATTGGAGCATCCCTTGTTAAGATACAGCCCCTTAAAGGGGGTACATAAAATTTGTATAACAATTTTTTTCACAAACACTGAAAAAGTTACAATATTGAAATTAACCTGACGTTTTGTACTACCAAAAAGACACTTAGCCAGTAATTTATTTGGTTTACCCCATGGTTGTAAGGGGTGAAAAACGCAACCCCTAAAATTTATTTCCAATGTAACTTTTTGTCTTATTATTTGTTTACCATTTAAAAATTTATTTCCGATAGCCTGTTTCATTCTAAACAAAAAATGTCTCTTGGGTTTTTTGCCCAAAATAAACCAGTAAGCAGCAAAACATTATTTTACGAACAACTACAGAGATACATCGTCATAAATGCGAAAATACGAAACTAATCTATCTAGTAGGTCGCTATTAGCGATAGTGACAATTAAATTGGTATGACGCTGTCAGGTTAATTTCAATATTGTAACTTTTTCAGTGCTTGTGAAAAAAATTGTTATACAAATTTTATGTACCCCCTTTAAGGGGCTGTATCTTAACAAGGGATGCTCCAATGAAGTTTCTTTATATGAAAGATCCTATCTTTTTTTCGATGAGGAATCACCTCCTTAAATGTTTTACACTTATTCAGTTACACCCTGTATAGTCTCATTCAATCATGAAATAGTCATACGAATACAACTCGTGATACTATTTTTCCTGGAAATATTCGTCGATTGACATACTCCAGCTTGCTGCTCTAATTTCGCTCATGACATTGATCCAAAACTACTCGCCTACAGCTCGTAGTTTTGATAACAATGTCATTCACGAAATTACTGGGCAACAAGCTGTCGTAACAATCACCGAATATTTCCGGCAAAATATTATCACTTGTGGTATTATATATGAGAATTTTGTGGAAATCTTATCGTTTGTTAAGTTTTTACATTTGCCATGGATTTCCATCAAGTAACGGCCGAGTCAATTTGAAAAATTTCAAGAATTAGTAATATTTCTTGTATTATGAAATACCTACTAATCAATTCAAATTGAAATGATAATTAATTTAATTCAATCGTAGAAAAAATTTTGTGTACCACATGTGCAAAATGCATATAGGTACTTGGAAATAGCCTTCTTTTAACCCACGTTTTTGATCAGATGATGAATTGAGATTTTTCACCCAACCCAAAAGCTTCACTATAAAATGATTAGCTTATGAACATGGTGATTAATATCTTCAGTGGTGTAACATACTTTCTTCTTCAGTGTGAAGCGAACCGAGACGAGAATTCGGAGAGTCCAAATTTGTTGGAAATATATTTTTCTCGGTAAGTTTGGATCAAATCATGCATTATCATATTTTCATTTGAATTGTATTTCCTATTATCAAGTGAATTGTTTGAAATTTGCAACACTGTCTTCTACTTCTACCATACACCGCAAGTTGACAAGTCTTCAGCCATAAAATGTTAAACTTGGCAACATCTAATAAGAGAAACTAGACGTTGTCCATGTGAATCACGTGGTCTATCTGGATAAATAGTGGTTTGTTCACATTTTCATTATCAAATTCGTGTTTTTAAGACAAAAATACGTGATTACCAAAAAAAATTTTCGAAAAAAAACCCATCGCATGCTAAATGCAGTTTTACCCTTGAAACTTCCAAAAATCATTCGTATCAGTGATATGGGAATATTATCTTTCACAAACAGGTTATATGATTTTATACGAATGAAGTCATTTCGGGTATCAAACCCTCCTCAGTAACCTGTTATTCATGTCCACCTAGTAGGCGACCTAGTGCGAGATATAAAATTGTCTGTTCATTCAATCAAAATATGTCTGTCTGTCAAGTGGCGCTGGGGACGATAAAAAGGAAAGAGCTCATTTGTTTATGTATGTCAAAATAGACTATTTTAGGTTGATATTCTCTTCTTCTATTTTTCTCCAATATGTACTCAACCACAGACGTCAACCATCATTGACGTGACATTTGATACGAAGGCGATGAAGAAGATTCTTTCATGAGATTGAGATGTCGTAATCATAAAATTATTTTCTGACAGTTGTCATTAACTTATAACTTCGTCTTTGTGGATGAGTTGAACTTTGAATTCGTATCCTTGAAAATACAATTATACCTAATTATTATTTCTTTCAATATTGGTTTTCTACCTAAAGTTTGTAGATTGGTTTGTGAGTGCGATTGTGTTATTTTGCAATGTCATCTGAGAACTGCGCACTCCAGGGATGGAGTTGTAAAATTATCAAGACATGGTTTCCCCAATCCCCAATGTTGTGAATTTGAGCCTCAAATCCTGAGGCATCAATGCGTTACCACCGATACATCAATGGTTTCGGCGATCTTTCAATAGATGGTGACATTGCACAACTATGACATCTGTCAATTTTGAAATTGTCGCAGATTTTCCGAATTTCGAGTGAAATAAACCGTTACCACCGATACAACAAGGCCAGCAGACTCTGACGTAAACAGCTCGTGACGTCACCAAGAGAGGCCAGTGTTTTATTTTATCGCTTGTCGACTAACGACGCGTCAGTTCGTTTTAATTCATCGGTGATTCACGTATGTTTTTGGAACGGTCCCGAATTCTTTTGTTGTTTATTCATCAAAATAATTGGCGGAAAAATTACTGTTTTGTGAAATATTTTGTGTTGTGATCAGCGAAATAACAATGCCTTTCAAGTGCTGTGTTCCCTTTTGTCGGGGGAATTATGTGGGTGGTTCAAAAGTTCATGCTTTTAGTTTCCCGTTGGACGAGGAGCTATCGAAAATGTGGGTATATGCAATTCACCGCGAGGATTTTACTCCATCTAAGTTCAGTAGTAAACAGAGCTCAATTTATAATGATGAATTAATAATAGTATAAGTAGAGGAAAAATAGAAAAGCTTTGGTTGTGCAGTTAGTTTTGTATTCGTATATTATAGTCAACAAAATCATCTCTGAATTCGAGGAAATTTCCTTGAATGTTCATAATAAACAGGCATTTTTGATTCTCATTCTCAAATTTCTTTCTGAAAACGGTCATTTGCCTCGTGGCAATGAATGCAGAATTCATTCCAATGATAAAATTGCAACTATCATATAAACATGAACTACAAACACTCTACTTAAAAACGTAAAACTGCATTCATCATGATATTTATCATGAAGATATTTGACTAAAAAGTTCAAAATTTCACCTTCTTTTTCACCTGTCTTCTGGATGGCATTTAGAACAAATTTCCCTTCTTTTTTCATCATATTGGACAATTTATATATAATTCAACTATAAATATGATTTTCTTGAGATTAATCCATATTTAGTGAAAAGAAGGAAGAATATCATTCAAAATAATGGCGTGTGTAATGTCATTCGAAAGCAATCTATTGACATTTGACATCTCGTATTTTGATTGACTATTGATTAAATGGTCGTCATCTGGAATGCTTGTTCACTAAGTATGAAAAACTCGCCATAAAAACATATTTCCTGTTGAATTTTCTATATGAAAATGTGCCATCGAAGTATATCATGAGTATATAAAGTGTCCAATGACAAAATAAGAGCAAGTAGCTTCAAATGCCCCCAACACAAGGGGAGAAAGAAGGCGAAATTTCGAACTTTTTCTTGAAATATCTCAATAAATAGTGGTTTGTTCACATTTTCATTATAAAATTCGGTTTATCAGACAAAAATACGTGAGTACCGAAAAAAAAATTCAAACAAAAAAAACCATCGCATGATAAATGCAGTTTTACCCTTAAAAATTACGGTTTCAAGTGTAACGATCCACTTGGGTGAAAAATCCAACAACAGAAAATTGAAAACACTCACTGGTTATTCTTTTTTCAGGTAATAGGAATTCTCCAAGATAAATATAGGTAATTGTAACAAACGGCATGTCAATCAAAATAAAATACATTTTCCACAATTTTCTTTCGATCAATCTCACGATAAGTTTATGTTCTGCGGGCCCTGTATAAGTAGGTGTGAAGTTTACCTTCACCACAATTTTTGCCAATATATTTAATTCGAATGGGTTGCTGTAGGTGGATATTTGTGTTTTATCCTGGTTTTTGCTTTAAAACTTCGTTTTTCCATAATAAAATCGAATGGGGTGCGAAGAAGGGCTCAGTGGACGACTGGCATCCTTTTTTAACCAGAAGCCCTTCAAAAAACAGCAAAATCGGCTCAATGATGATCTAAAAAAAATCGAAATACGCGGTCGCCTTATAGCGCTATAAGCGCTTGTCGTTTCGAGCCGCTGGTTAGGCCTCACTAAGTGACGTCACCCACGGAGCATGCAGGCCTTGTTGTATCGGTGGTAACGGTTTATGCCATATTCATTGGATTCCAAGGTGAAATTTTTTTCTTTAATAGCATAATATTTGAAACTTAATAAATTGATATTCCAGGAATGGGAGTTTTTGAAGTAAGTGAACATGATATACTGTGTATCTTTCCAACATTTTAAGGGAACTGTTTCTTGCCAATGAAGAATAGGAAACGGTTTTGGAAGGAAGGTTCGGTTCCAAGTTTGTTTAAGGTAGGTATATATAAATAAAATGATATTTACCTATATACAAACTTTTTGTAGCAATTATCTTATCAGTTTCTAGTTTACTAGATTTATTGGTTTCAGTATTAAAATTACCAAGAACTTGACTTTGGTTCCTCTGAAAATTGTTACATAGTCAAAAGTCATTAAATTCATTTCAGAATCGTACAGGACATTGAAGCTAGGGACAAAATAGGTATCAATATTTTTATAATTTCAGAATATAGTTTGGAATATGATGCTGAAGAGGAATTCCTTCCTCAAGGAACACGACATGAAGTTGAAGAAACATCTGAGGGGGAAATGGGCATTTGAACAGATATTATAGAATGATAATAAATGATAATAAAGTTTATTCATAATGATGACACAATATAAATTAAAAAGTAACACATTGGTATTGAATGTTCGTGTGGTTTGATTTGTGGTAATTATAGCCACATCTCATATTTAGTGAAGTTATAGTTGCTTCAATAAGATGATTTTATAAAAGATAATCATTTTTTAGCTAAAAAAATATTTTACCTATATACCTTTGTTACAATATCACAGGTGTTTTCCGAGGTGTTTTCAAACTTACTTGCCAATACATCTGTACAACAATAAAAGGGTATCAGAAGAGAACAAACTAGTAGAATAAAAATTGAAATAATTCTTCATAATTATCCTACAATTTATTAAAAAAATATAATTGTATTGTTATTCCTACATACAAGTTATTTTCCAATAAAAAAAATTTTAAATATCCCAGCATCTTGACCAAAAACCCTGAACAATAGGAAACCATATATCTGAAGATAATTCCTATGCAATCTTGAAATCACTACTCTAGTGAAATTCTGATTATCTCACTATGAAAATGGTCCTGAGTGTGCTTGAGTGGAATATCACATGTTCCTCATCATCTAAATGATTGCTCGAAAAATAAATAAATTGAATATAAACTATGAAATAGCCACAATGCTCAGTGGAATGAAATAGTAAATAAATGTGAAGCTCAGAGTGTTCATAAAATGAACAACAATGGTAGATTTCGGGAAAAAAAACAACTACTTCCCTGGCTAATGCCACGCAGGATATTGAATTACATCCTCCCGAAATCTATGCATCGACTCGTTCAAACGAATATTGATACAGATGATTCTTTCCTGAATGCCTATCGATTTCGATTAAGCCAGGCCGCTAGACAACCACAGACCGGTTTCGAGCTCTTTGATTCTCATCAGTGCAGCGTAGTTTCCAGCCAGCAGTCCTAAGACCGCCGACTCAGCGAAGCCTAGCCAACCAAAAATTAAGTTGGCATTATATCCACCCCGAGGCGTCTTTCATCGATAAAATGAAAGTAACGCCATCTGGGTAGAACCGAGGAAAGAATCACTCCAAAACTGATATTCCCATACGGGAGTGGCTGGCAGCCCGACTGGCGTGATATGAACTACGAAATAGCAATTACTCATAGAAATTGAACCTACCTATAAAACATATAATGATATTTTGTGTTTGGAGCAGAATATGCATAAAACATTGATGAAATAACCAGATTGAGACTAACCTTATTAATTGCTTCTATATATTCATTCCAGTTAGGAAATTTTCCATTCTGTTCTCGAACATCATCATCCTTCTGGTACATTTCTTCTGAACATTTCTCACATAATGATTCCTAATGCGATTCTACCACATCAATTTGTTTGTATCACTCATAGTTTTTCGTTTTTCAACTGAAAAGCTATTCATGTAGGTACTCTTCCCTGTAGAGGCAGGTACCTGGAATTTTCAAGTATAGTGATTTCGATGTGTACAGGGTGGCCAACTAAGAATCCAGAGTTCGATACCTCTGTTGTCTTGAGAGATACAAAAAAAAGTTTGGCATTCAAATTAAAGTGATAACCGAGCTTCACATTTCAAAATTTCTTTGAAATACACAGGGTGTTCCGTAAGGTCACAGCACATCAAAGCTATGCTTTTTTCATAGGAACACCCTATATTTTATTTCATTTTTGAATTCTCCCTGAAAATCTGATTTCAACGACGTATCATACTTAGGGTCTAGCAGTGAAAGTTACTGACATATAGGGTGTGCAAAATCGAGATTTTCCAAGTTTAGGATTTTTTTTTGTCGAAACTGTTCATTATTCGTCAAAACGGTTTACATGTCCCTATCTCAACTTTTCACTCACTATCAATTGGTGTTCAATTGACATTTAATTGAAACAAATTATAAATTTAGATTTTTTGACCACCTTGTATCAATTTCAATTGAACACCGATTGATAGTGAGTGAAAAGTTGAGATAGGGACATGTAAACCGTTTTGATGAATAATGAACAGTTTCGACAGAAAAAAATCCTGAACTTAGAAAATCTCGATTTTGCACACCCTATATGTCAGTAACTTTCAGTGCTAGCCCCTTAGTATGATGGGTCGTTGAAATCAGATCTTCAGGGAGAATTCAAAAATGAAATAAAATATAGGGTGTTCCAATGAAAAAAACATGGCTTTGATGTGCTGTGACCTTACGGAACACCCTGTGTATTTCAGAGAAATTTTGAAATGTGAAGCTCGGTTATTACTTCAATTTTGATTCATGATTTTTTTTTGTATCTCTCAAGACAACAGAGAAATCGAACTCTGGAGTCTTAGTTGGCCACCCTGTACATGGTTTACATCACTAGAGACATCTTTTCAATGCAAATAACCAAATTTCAGTAACTTATCAAAAATATAGAAGGAAATAAGCAGCCCCTACCTTTCTGCTTGGCTTGCATGTCGAAAAAGTGTAAAAGCATTGATGAGTTTCCGAAGTTTCCACAGTGCATCATGAGTCAACCTAATCTAATACAGCATTGCCGAAACATCTTCCTGCTTCCATTGAAGTATAGGTAGATGGTTTTCATACTTGAATAATATCTCTCGTGATGATGTTTCATTATCGGATTTCATCATGACAGATTTTTATTTACAAACTTGACAGGACGATGCAAAAATTTTCGGTTAGGAATGAAAAAATGAATAACTTAGTTTACTTAGTTCACGTAGATGTCTCTGAACTACATATTTTCTCATTTTCATTTTCAATGAACAGACAATATTATAGCTCCTGCCTACTAACTACCTAACTAGGTTGTCATCTAGAAGGACAATGTTTCAGGCATTATTCATGAAATATACAATTTTCATCTCTCTCATCTGGGTATGCTTCTGTTTTTGGATGTATGACAAATTGATATTCATCATACAGCATGTGGAATTTCTTTCCACATGCTGTATGATGAATTTCTATTTTAAACTGTATAATAAAATAAGTTTTGACGAGAGCTAAAATCACATAACAAATCTCAGAAGCACATTCCATCAATTTCATTTTGATACTCCTCTAGGACTAAGAAAAAGTGATCAGCTTTGATAAGATATGATGAATCAGCAAAGTCATTCATTAATTGCAGATTGGTAAATCAACTGGTAGAGTAAATGTTCCTTTCATACATAATTTTCTTTGCAGTCTCCTTCATTATTGAACTCATCAGCAATGCATTCGTTTTGGGTTTTAGATATGTGCGAGCACTGGTCCCAGAGGTCCCCCACCCTGCTGAACGAGCAGAGTACAATCCGCATGTTTATTTTATGTTTCTCTATTCCATGGGACAATTAGCCCTGTTCATAGCAGACGAGGTGACCAAAGACGAGTCTTATTCTACATCGAGTGGCGTGATAGCCAAAGTGTTGCAATATGATCCTCAATATAGATCACAATTTTGGAGATATTTTACTTATATCTTCGTCCATAGTGGGTAAGAAAAACTTTTTATCCCTCCACCATAAAATAACGTATTTATGAACTTTTTTTGTATTCATGGAATGGTTGGAAGGTTTATATTGAATAGCAATATTTTTATTCGCACGAGGCACAGAAATAACATCTAATTTCATGATTAATCACACCTCCATTCTTAATGATTTGTTGAAAGTACATTTTCTTCTCAGATCCTATGTTATTCTGAAACAAGCAAACGAGTTTTTATAAATGATTTTGAAAAAGTTCGAAATTACTTGGAGACTTGAACGTCTAGATACATGATTCATCCCACCTCTGATACATCCAAAATCTGTTAGGGTGTTTTCTCTTCCAGATACCACCACATCATTGTCATATTTCAACTGGAATAGGGTGTAGCTCTTGAGATGGTTTTATCTCTTGGAGAACACGAAAGGAAATTCCTATAATATTCATGCAACATCGTGCGGACCTAGATATATACAGGGTGTTTCGAAATTCGACCGACAACGCTTGACAGGTGATAGCCCTCGTGATTTCATAATCACTGAGATAGGGACAGACGGTCTTGAAGTGTTCAGTTCTCGAGATATAGGGCGTTGAAGTTGAGAAATTAAAATAGTTTTTTTCTCGATATCTCATGAAAAATTGAATTGAATGCATTCAAATTCGGTATATGGTTTGATCTTCCAATGGTTAATTTTCTGACCAGAAAGACATTCCGAGAATTTTATCCAGAGGTGCGCTACAGAGGGTTGTGATAACTTTCCCTCCCATATTTTCTACGCCACTGAGTAGATTTCGATTATTTCCAATTCCTCGAATTTATTGTTCAATTTTGTTCAAAAAATGTATCACCTTTAACTGAGCTGAAATGAATAGTTTTCGAGATATTCGACCCAAAATAGAAGATTGCATAGTAATTTTTCATCTTCCTCAGTAGTAGAAAATAACAAAAATGTTTGTTTTCTCTTTATGCGTGGAATAACTATTTCTGTTCAGCTACAGGATGAGATCTGAATAGTATCTGATCTACTCAACACCAGAAAAATATTTTTGCAATTTTCTACTACTGAAAATGATGAAATATTACTATGCAATCTTCTATTTTGGGTCGAATATCTCGAAAACTGTTTATTTCAGCTCAGTTGAAGGTGATGCATTTTCTGAACAAAATTGAACAATGAATTCGAGGAATTGGAAATAATCGAAATTCAATCAGTGGCGTAGAAAATATGGAAGGAAAAAATGCCACAACCCCCTGTAGGGCACCACTGGACAAAATGTCCGGAATGGCTTCCAGGTCAAAAAATGGCCCATTCAAAGATGAAACCATATACCGAAGTTGAATGCATTATATTCAATTATTCTTGAGATATTGCGAAACAACTATTTTCATTTCTCAACTTCAACGCCCTGTATCTCGAGAACTGAACACTTGAAGACCGAATGTTCCTATCTCAATGATTATGAAATCACGAGGGCTATCACCTGTCAAACGTTGTCGGTCGAATTTCGAAACACCCTGTATATGTATTACAAGTGTTTCATCCTCGATTTCAAACAATATACGAAATGACTTGAACATCAAATAAATGGCTCATCCCACCTCACTTACCGCTAGTAACATAACCTATTTACCACAGATACACTAATAAGAGTCTGTTGAACTTTTTCTTAGCTACTTACACATCATCGCGAGATTCATATTTTATCTTGGATTTGGTATTGCTTTGGACGTCTTGGTGAGTTTTCACGAATCTGAAGAATGTTTGGGTGAACATCTGATAACATGACTCACCCTACCTCACGCATCGACTCAAAGTCTATAGAACAATATCATTTTATCATTTTTTTTTCATGTTCATAATATATCTGAGCATATTCCATTTCAATTGAAATGGAATATTAATATTAATATATTATTAATAAGCCAAGGAGTTTTAATTCATGATTTTGAGGATGTCTGAAATTACTGAAATGACTCACTCCACCTCATATTCCCATAAAATTAATATCGACATTATTTCCTCAGATAAAATCATAACATCGTGGATTTAATTTTATGGAATTCTATTAAAGAACAACACATGATTTTTTTTTGATGCATGATAAATTGACATTCATCATACAGGGTGTGGAAAGAAATTCTGGATTGAGAAAAACCTAATCACGAATCTGCGATTGAAGTCTATAAAAATTACAAGTTTCCATCGTTCAAGTTTGAACCCCTTGATTGGGTGGAAGTATTGAAAAGGAACATTCTCAGATATATTTATAAACACAAAAAATAGACATATATATAAAGAAATACATTGAGAATTCGCATTCTCCATGTGATGAAAATATTGATTGTCTTTATTACCCCAAGAAACATTATTGTTTATAATAGGGATATATACAACAAAACATACATATAACATAATAAATCGCAACAATAATAATTGCACAATAATTGTCTTTACAAAAAAAATCATAATAATAAAATATGAAATGAAAATATTTTAATCCATTACAAGTAATCAAATTGTGAATGATTAGTAGATATGGAATTGAAGTTTACTGGGCAGATATTTCTTTAATCTGACTTATAATTGTTTGCTATTGATAAATTAAATTGCCTTGTTTCATGGGCGTGAATCGTCGTATTAACTCCATTAAAATTCAAATTCGATATTTTCAATTCCTTCCTGACAAAATGAATGAAACAACAGATTTTGAGTTCATATAATAAAACTAGATTCAGCAAGTCTTTAGGTTTGTATAGATTCACAGTTGATTCTAAAAAAAGTAAATTGAAAATGCACTTTATTTGACTTTATTGTTTTATTTTGTAATTTCATGAATGGCTTCAAACGTGAAATATTTGTACTTCCCCAAATAGATATAAGATATTGTAAATTTTAATAAAAAATAAAGAAATAAATACTCTTTAGGTATCTAACAGGAATGAAATTTCGAATTTTATATATAATACCAGCAATAGGATTCAATTTTTTCCTCAATTGATCTATATGTAGAGTCCACGATAATTGTTCATCAATATAAAGACCTAAAAATTTTGTTACATTTGTATATTCAATGGATTTGTTATTGAAACATATTGGGGTATTATTCAATATATCCGTTGTTCTTCTTGAGATGTAGATATACGTAGATTTACTATAATAAAGAGTCAACTTATTGGTCGTTAACCAAGATGATATTTGTTTCAAATCATTTTTAATATTCATTTTAGTCCAGTCACCAGGTACTTTTTACCTGGACAAAGGTCCGAAGTTGATGATCTTCTGATATGTTGTTAGTGGGTATTTCGTGGTATTAAAACCAAGTTTTCCAATTCGAGAACCTTGTGCAAACTTCAGGGCAATCGAAAGACCAAAAAATTTTGCCTGTTCTTTCACTATTTTGCTTATTACTACTAAAATAAGCACTTTATTCAAAAATACTCTATTACAAAAGTTGTAGAGCATACAATTTTCAACAATTTACATCCATAAACCGTTGCTCAAAGTTTGATAGGTACCGAGATATGGCGCTTTGAAGTATCGACATTTCTTCCAAATATCGAAAAACTGCAAATAATGCACGTTTTTCTCGAGTGACTTCTATCTTTCACGTTTCAATATCCTTATAAGAATAACTTTCAATAACCTGAACAATGGAAACATCTTTCTCAATGAGATTTGAATTTATTGACTGAGTAAAATGATTACAAATAAAAAGCCTTCACTTTGTTGTTCCCAATGGCAGGTCGGCATCTTCGTCCTGAGCAATGGTCTCATCCATGTCGACCTCCTCGTCGCACTCAATGTCGGTATCTTCCTCTTTGAGTTCGGTTTCAGGCGAATTCTCACAAGCATTTCCTGCACAATTCTTGCAGATGGCTGAACACCGGAGTCCTGCTTTTTTGCAGCTGCAAGCTCCGGTGCTACAACCTGTCGTGCACTTACATTGTATCATGTGCAGCAACTTTTCTGGAGCTGCATCTGTGGTCGTTGTTATGGGTATCAACCCTCGTTTTGTGAGAGTCCAGCCCCAAACAGACGGTGACTTTTCGTTGCCCAGCCACGTCTGCACTTGTAAATAAGTCCTAAAAGAATGGTACCGGGCAGCGTCTCGTGTAGGGGGCAATCGAGCAAGGTGAAATCTGGATTTTGCCACAGAGTTCGAGAATATTCGGTAGCGAAGATCGTCCACAGTGTCTGTGTCTATGTTTCCACCATAGAGTGCCACAAGAAATTTTTCTCCTGCTACCGAAATTTGGCGTGGTGTTGCATCTTCATCTTTGAAAACACTAACAATGTCAGACAGAAAATGGTTTTTCTCATAAATAGAGAGGACTTTCTTCTTTCCCACTCCAAAAGGGTTCGATGTAGTGTCACACCCGCTAACTGCATGGAGGAAAAGAATATCCTGAGTATTATATTTGCAAGATGATGACGAATACAAAGTACTAGGAGCATTACCTCTGCCACTCTTTTGGAAATACACGTTCTTTAGAGATGAGCCCAACGCAGTCAGCAATACTAACAGATCTACGTCTTCACCTATAATAGTAACACTATCGAAGTCAGAAGCTTTAGATATCGCAGTTTTCACTATCATGACATCAGCATCTTCTATTGCCTGCTTAACCTCAATACCCTTTGTTTCCATTTGAGTCATCAGCAACGAAATGAAATTCTTCTTGTTTGTGTCGTTGGACAAGAATTTTTCTTGTGGCAGTGTTACGGCCGTTGATAATGAGAATACGAATGTTGTCGAAGAATGCAGCAAAGCCCTACGATGTCTTTCAGCTGCTTTGGTGCTCTGATGAGCAACGTCACTTGGGTATCCATCGAACACTACTATGGAATTACACCCAAAGTGTTTCTGAACGTAGTCCACATAGGTCTTGCAAACTGACTCGAACGTGGGTGATGTAGTCTTACCCCATACAACCTTATGCAGCAAGTACCCACCATCAATTACTGCACACTTTCTGCTGCCAAGGTATTCTTCCTTCACAGAAGTGAATGCTTCGTATAACGCTGACTTTTTGCCCTTGCGCATCATACCTTCCTCACTGAAGAGGGACATGGGAAATGGTGCAAGCTCGAATCTGAATAATTCATTGAGATCCTCAGCAGACTGTTTGGTAATGCAAACTCGTTGAAAAAGAGTTAGAGGGTCAACTGTGAATTTTTTGTTTTTGATTTTCAGAACACTGGAAACTGAGGCTAAAGTTAACACCTTATTCTTCCGTTTTAACTTTACTTCTTCAAAATTTTCTCCCACCATTTTCTTCATGCAGCTGATGCCGATTTCTCGCGCCATGTGACAGTTCACCCCTTCATCAGCAATAGCACCTGTGCTTAGTGACACAAGTTCCTCGATTTCAAGAAATGGTGGATGTTCAGCAAACCAACTTCTCAGTTTCTCGATATCAACATTATCTCTGGTTACACGGGAAGGCCGCATATCCACATGTTGTTCAGATGTTGCTGAGCGGACATCGGTAAACATCTCTATCTGATCACAGATGTGTTGGAGACATAGCATACCAACAATCCATCGAGAAAGCACACTATCAGTTACGCCGCGTCCACGGGTCAGCCCGCCATAACTTTTCATCGCTCTCATTAGAACCTGCTCTATGGTCATGTCCGACCATATGCCAGACCAGAATTTATCAGTTCTACGGATAGTAAAGTAGCCTTCAGTGGTAAACTTATGATATTCATCAGGATCCATTTTCATTTCTAAGCTGAGCATGTCTTGGAGGTAGAGGTGTGCACTTTTGGCATAATTCAAATGACCTGCTGCATGGAAGTAAGGTATCATATCTCTGACACACTCCAGGTGGAGGTTCCAGTCCCCCATCCGCTCAGCTTGGATGTAATTTTTCATTAGGGTACACATACGGAAATATTGAATCCACAGTCTAGCTGTTCGGCCACTATTCTCAATTTTTTTCAGAATTGCTGAGAATTTGTCAGTCACTGCAAGGATCACCGGATCTCTATGTGCCCTCAGAATGATGGATCTTTCAGGAGAATTGATAACTGTATCTAGCGCAGATACTTCTTCCGGGGTCAATTCCAACCGTTCAATAATTAAACCAGCCAGCGCAGCATGGGTGAGGAAATGGGATCGAATAGCCCTGGCATACGCATGTCCAGACAAGATCTTATCAACACTGTTTCCAGCGTAAACCATGCAAAACAGCTCTTTCAATCCACTTCCAGCCATAATGGTCCCCATCGCACCCATGAATGACATCAAAAGGTGGAAGCCTCCAAGCCTCACGACGACGCTATTTAGCTCTGGAAAAGAGTTATTTGCTACCACATCACGGGCCTTCCAGTACAGAGGCTGGTCATAAGTGACGACACATGTTTTCTGATTCAGTGCCTTACATTCACCAATTGCAACCAGAATGGATGTGTATACTGTTGCGTACTCGCTAGGAGGTGCGTTAATAAAAGGGAGGCATACTATTTTAGAACATTCATATTTCTCAGAATGTGTCCCCAGCTCCATGAAACCATTCCAGCCAGGTACTGATGATGAGAAAGATGAGTTCTTGCCATAAAGCCAGGCGACATCAGACGCAGACGGCACAACATCCTGTAAGGAGCTGATATTGATGTCCTTTACTTTGACGGTTTTCAATCCTCCATTGGTTGGCCTGTGATATGACTCAACCCTCACACTGCCAGCTTTGTTTACCAAGTCAGATGCTGATACATGCGCTTTCAGGCGAGCTACATCTCTTTCGTAGGTTACTGCTTTCCGAGGGGTCACTGCCATAATTCCTCCCATGGCGTGGAAAGTGCCATGCCCATCCAATGTGTTCACATTAAAGTCAGCATTGTCGAAGATAAACTGACTGAATGGATTGACTGACTCATCGATTTCGGTCCTTTCCGCTTGCAGAACGTAGGATCCTTCGAGCCTAGTTGCTTCTGTGTAAGGAGCTGAAAATCCTAAAGTGGCTAAAAGGTTCAGCAAATGTCTGGATCCAAACTTTTTGTATACATATGTGGCTACTGCGATCATTATAGAAGATAAGAAAGATCTTGGCCGCACGGCTATCAATATGGCATGCGCTAGAGCAAGACATTTAATTTTCCAAGAATTCATAGAACTGCGTTTGTTTGTCAAGATAATAGTGTGTAGTAGGAGAAGCAGAGTTTCGGGTACAACAGAATGGGAATCACCTAAAAAATTATCTATTGGAGGGTAAGCGACAGTGCTGAACATTTTCGAACGAATATCCTCTAAAATAATTTTTCCAGCAGTTTTAACAACCCGGAGCCTTTCTTCTTTTGGGTCTCCTTTTTTTTCGTTCACGTACCAGTTGTCTGACAAAATTTTGTGACCAGTGTTTTTGAAGCAGATGATACACTCTCTGTTGGGTGAATCAGAGATGATTATGTCGTCACCGTATTTACCCTCTAGGCGTCTTTTCAAGGTTTTTGGATGTGGACGACAGTCTTCAGGTACCAGATCGAGTAACTGTCCAACGGAAAATTGACACTCTTCACTATTGTCTTCAAGAAACTTGAAAATAATTTCCATGGCTTCGTCGACGTAGGTGGCTGGACAGTGTCCCCTTTTTTGGACACGTGAAGGTAATTGATAAAATGTTTGGAGACACTTTTGATGGTATTCCGCATTAACTGCTACTAGATCTGTGTTCAGATTATTCAACTGGGAAACACGATCTTCAATTTTTTGTCCCCACTCATCACCTCGCTTTTGTGCATACGCCAAAATCGTGTTTGCTACTTCACGAAGCGTCACTTTAACCGTACCATTGCGCCTGTCGATTGGCAACTTGGCCTGTCTTTTTCTGTATTCATCTGTAATCACATCCTCACATAAAAAGCACCTATTGTTGAAATCAAATGGCGCTCTTTCTGATCGGTACGATCTGAGAGAGGGCCGAGGAGCGTCATGTCCGCGACGTAATGAAGCCTTTATCATCCCCTCGTTATTGTACTTTTTTTGACAAGCACTGTGAACTGTCACTTGCTTAAGATTTTTCAGGAACTGTTCATCTGCAGATTTTTTTCGTTTGACACTAGAGTCGAGAAGTCTGGCAACACCTTTCGCTTTAACTACATTCACTTCACCTTCTGCTAAACTGTTTTGGCAGATGAAACACAGCCCTGCCTCTGTGGAAGATGCCATATTATAACAACGCACTCGTAAGTCACATACAAACTGATATAACGCCTTCACTGGCTACCACATATCTACTTGATGTGTAGTTGATGACTGCTTATTTCTGTCCTTGCCTCGAGTTCCCATCCAAACTGCCCCCCTCTCTATAGCGCACTGTCATTACCAAGGGCTAAAAATAGTCCAGACAGAAAGAATAGGTGACTCACTGATCGGCTGGTCACCCATGCCACACTCTTCTGAAAAGAGTGCTCTCAGGGCAAAATGAATTGAGTTTGTAAGGCAACTAACAACGACAAATGATGGGATGTTAATGAGATTTTAAGTATGTGTTTACGCCCTGTATCTTGAAAACGGAAGCCCGGAGAAAAATTTCGTAAAGAAAAAACATTCCTCTTTTTTTATGAGGAATCTACAGTTTTCCGTTGTTACACTAATTTATTAACACCCTGTATACCCATTTGAAAATGATGGAAGATGATAAGATGAAATATACTAGTGAAGAACCTGAATTTCTCGCAGTTTTTCGATATTGTGAGACTTTGAAGCGCTATATCTCGGTACGTATCTGGTGAAAAAAATAAGTGATAGATGATAATTGTAGGAAATTTAATCCTCTTGAAGTTTTGTTACTTCGTGTTTTCCTCTTGAACGCGTTGTTTAGGAGTTATAAGCAAAATATTGAAAAAAGTCCGGAAATTTACTAGTTTTTCGGATGCCCTGAAGTTAGCACAGGGTCCTCGAATTGGAAAACTTGAATTCTACACCACAGACTTGCCACATCCATCATATGAAAAGATCGTTAACTTCGGACCTTTGTCCAGGTAACCCCACTGTGAAGTACAGGGTGACTGGACTATTTTACTTGATTCTTTGGGATTTTCTCTCCTCATTTCCATAAAATAAAAATATTCGTATTATTTCAATTTATTTGTAGTGGGACAAATTAGATGATTTGCCCCAAAATGTCACTGCGTTCAACAAATTTTTCTATCAGGTAGTCTAAAAGAAAAATCCAGTAGCTTGTCAGTGACAATTTGTTTGAAAAGATGTTTGAAGGAAAGAAATATAGATATATTGAAAAAAATATCGAATTTTTACTTATCTTTGGACGTTTCGGGACCGAATCTGCTCCCGTTCTCAACATATAAATGCAAAATATTTTTCTTCGAAAGTTTTGCTGCTTATAGTTTGACAATTTTCAGTGTCATACTGATGTTGGCATATGAATGAGTGATTTTAGTCTACAAATGAGTTACAGGATGTTTTCATTAATTGATCTTGAATCTACCATTTTCATGTTCAGTTCAGTAGTGAATTACATGTTCTATCTATATCAACTGAACAGGAAGCAATGCTGTTGTCTCCGTTTAGAAGAATGCAAGCGGATTCCTTGATTTTTCTTTTTTGGTTGTTATCTTCCTCTCCCAAAGAATCAAGTGGAATGAATATACCACCTCCTCGATTAACCTACAGACAGCATTTTCAATATCATTATTGATATCAAGACAAGGAAGAGATTATTGGACATAGTCCTCATGAAGAAATAACCGTAGACACGTGTTTCGGGCTTTCGGCCCTCATCAGTACGTTGAAAAAGTGTGCAACAGGTAGGCAACACTTGTTGTATCTTCTTCCACCAAGTGTTGCCTTCCTGTTGCACACTTTTTCACCGTACTGATGAGGGCCGAAAGCCCGAAACACGTGTCTACGGTTATTTCTTCATGAGAGCTATGTCCAATAATCTCTTCCTTGTCTCTCTACAGTTCCCTCGATATTACTTTCATTTTATTATTGATATCGTTAAAATCTTTTGAAGTATAGATTATTGTTGTATGATGTGCGAATAATTTTAGTTTTCTTTTCAATTTCAAAGTAGATATTGAGATAATGTTAATTAAAAATAAAATTGGCCCCAAAACTGACCCTTGCGGTACACCACATGTAATATTCATCAAGGAACTACAAGTATTATTCACATCAACATACTGTTTTCTATTCTTCAAATAATTTTGAAACCAATCATGAATTTTTCCTCTGACACCTATTGATGATAATTTAGTCAATAAAATATTATGATTTACAGTGTCAAAGGCCTTACACAGATCCAAAGACAAAATGCCTCATTTGTGATTGTCGTCTATTCGTAACTGAATATCTGATATGACATCCAACACAGCTACCTCTCTGTGTCTTTTGACCTACGAAATCCATATTTTTCACTAAACAATAGGCCATTATTTTCAAGATAATTTATTAGACGGTTATTCACAATTTTTTCTAAAATTTTGGAAAAGATCGGGGAAACAGAAATTGGTCTATAACTATTTAAATCATCTTTCTTCCAATTTTTGTGAATTGGTTATACTTCAGCAACTTTCATTTTGTCAGGAATTATACCAGTTTTGAGCGATTTCCAAAAAGATAGCATGAAAAATCAAAATCCTCTGAAATTGAGAATCGACATCATTTCTCAAATCCAATAGAATAATATGATGTATTATGATATAAAAATATAACTTACCGATATGTTCAGTATTGAAATGAAAATTGAAATGTTAAGGAGGAGTATACTTTTATGAACTCTGATCTTGATGAGCTTGGAACTTCCAAAAAAATCAATCAAGGGGTTCAAACTTGAACGATAGAAACTTGTTATTTTTATAGACCTCAATCACAGATTCGTGATTCGTGATTAGGTTTTTCCCAATTCAGAATTTCTTTCCACGTCCTGTATGATGAATGTCAATTTATCATACATCCAAAAAACCACTGCCCAAATGACAGGAGTATATGTCAACAAATCGTAATAATTCTCAGATGTCAGTCCGTTATAGTTTTAGTTATATTATAGGGAGATTAAAATTGTGTATATCATGAAGAATGGCTGAAAGAATAACTGGACTTCAGGTTACTGATGAGGATATGATATCCGAAATGAATTCATATAACCTCTGTGTGTGAGAGATATAATTCCCATATCACTGATACGAATGATTTTTCTGGAAGTTCCAAGCTCATCAAGATCAGAGTTCATAATAGACTGTTGGCCCGCGACACAGGGTTTATCGATGTTCTAAGTCGGTATGCCATTTAAGGCACTCACTCACTTAGTCCAAGTTAACAGGAAGAAGTGCCTCGGAGAGTCGCATCCCAGTCCTTGCCCTGACCCTGACCTCACCTTTTGGTTGGAAAAAAGTTCAAAATTTTGTTTAAGAAGAAGCTCGGCAATGAAGTGCAATGATCTTATCTCTCGAAAATTGGGGCGCTTGCCGGTTTGCATACGCCTAGGTCACTCCCCAAGGGCGGCATACGAACCGGAAGTGTTATAGTCGATGATCTAAGAATGTATGCCCTTTGGCGAAACAATGAATTGGGACCCATTAATCAATTTCCCGACATTTGCATACGATTCCGGAGAGGGGAGCTCGACTGGATATCCTTCAAATAATCGATAATCGAAGAAATGTTCAAATTTCGACCATGGTAAGTATGGACCACACAGTATATATGAGATGATGGTTTGCATACAATTTGCACATTCCGTACAGGGTGGTTCACTATAAATATCTCCCAGCAAGGGCGTCGCCAGCGGAAAAAATAGGGGGGGGGGCATCATAAAAAAACAAGAGAAAAATCAAATAGAAAGAGTTTAATGAGAAAATAAAAAAACAGAAAAAAATCTATACAGTAAATCAGTTGAAAAATAATCTTCTAGGGTTCTTTGGGAATTCGTTGGTCACTTTTTGACGAAATCGAAAAGTTTTTGAAAATATGTTGCCTGTGTATACTCATCATTGCGAGGCCATTGAGTCGAGCATCATACATGGTGCTCCTCAACCAGATTTTGATTCTCCTAAGGCTACTAAATGACCTTTCAACTTACAAGGTAAAGGCAACAAGGATCTTCAGAGCCTTCTCAACTTCAGGAGAAAAATATACTTTCGGAAGTTCTTTGCTAAAAGTGAGCGTTATCATAAGTTATATCACGATATTCTTAATATTCGAGATAATTCTGTTGCCTCATTGTACACGAAATTGTGTTGCTGAGCAACACCACGAGTCAGGATGAAAGGTAGGGCTGTACGGCAACACAATAGATTTGACAATTAAATGAAGAATTATGAGAATATATTCAGAACAGAGTGGAGACTATTTCACGTTCACGAAGCAAAGAAGCATTTATTTTGAATGAATGATTCATTCTGACAAGTACAGTCATTAATTTTTGTCAAATTGACAGACTTCGCTTCGCTACCCATGGTTACATCGTTGAAAACATCTAGTTTTCGCGATAAGCACACGTTTTCTCTGGTTTGTGATTGGTCAGATCATGTGATGAATGAAATAGTCGTTTCAATGATAGCAGGGTGACTGGTGAGCGTTAACCGTATAGGGGGGGGGGCAGCTGCCCCACCCTGCCCCTCTCTGGCGACGCCCTTGTCTCCCATTGTAACTTAGTTGTTTCTGAACCGATTTTAAAATTTCAAAAACCAATTTTGAGTGGTTTATCGAGGGGCGAACCGTGCTTCTCCCGAAGACTGGAGATTTGTCCAATCCAAAGAGTTACAGACCAATTACCTGCCTGAATGCATGTTACAAGTTGTTCACACGCATCTTGTACATGCGAGTACTTCTAGTAGTTGACCCGGTTTACCAGCGGATTTTTGAGCAGCGTGGGTCAAAGAGAGGTGTCGCTGGCTGCAAGGAGAACCTGTTGATAGATAGATCTATCACACAGGACTCCGTGCAGTACAAGCGGAATCTTTCTGTGACAAGCGTCTATAAACACCGAAGGCTCTCCGCATCCGATGATGTCCGATCACCTTCGGATCATTCGCAGCTGCCTTTCGCGCGCGTTTGATTTTCACCCAGCTACTTCTTATTATTTGTGGTTATTGTGTGTATGAATTGATTTTGGCATTGTATTTTTACTATTTTTTCGAATTGTTTGCTTCTTTACCAGAAATCCAGAATGACTTGGTGCCCTATTTGTAATCAATCGTTTT